TTCATCTTACAGAGCAGAAAACAATGATACCAAAGATATTATCATATCTTGATTTAAAGGGAGTTTTAGCCCCTATTAGGAGTTTTCGGAGTGCGTTAAAAAATTCTAAGTCCAAATTTCAGAGTTTTAAGGGCCTAACATTCTTAAAAGATGTCCTAAGACAAAATTGAATACATATTCTTTCTCGTCTCATTGAAACGAAGAAAATGATGTAAAACACATGAGGATAGCTCTACAATTAAAAATTTCATCCCCAAAAAGGAATTATTTCAAAGTGGAAATTAGGGTTAGATGAAACTCCCAGAAATGAACAAGGTTTTTAGGGTCCAAATTTTTATTTGTGAAACTATCTAAAGGTTCTTTATATCATTTTCTTCGTCTTTTGGAGACGAGAAAGAATATGTAATCAGATTTTTTGTAGGATACCTAATAAAAATTTCAGCCCCTCAACTCCTTTGAATTTGGACTTAGAAATTTTCAGTGCGCTAATTAAAGTGCTTTTTGGGGCTGTTTTCTTTAAATTTCAAGCAACATACACATACTTTATATCATTATGTTCATCTTACAGAGCAGAAAACAATGATACCAAAGATATTATCATATCTTGATTTAAAGGGAGTTTTAGCCCCTATTAGGAGTTTTCGGAGTGCGTTAAAAAATTCTAAGTCCAAATTTCAGAGTTTTAAGGGCCTAACATTCTTAAAAGATGTCTTAAGATAAAATTGATTACATATTCTTTCTCGTCTCATTGAGACAAAGAAAATGATGTAAAACACATGAGGATAGCTCTACAATTAAAAATTTCATCCCCAAAAAGGAATTATTTCAAAGTAGAAATTAGGGTTAGATGAAACTCCCAGAAATGAACAAGGTTTTTAGGGTCCAAATTTTTATTTCTCATCCTATCTAAGGGTTCTTTACATCATTTTCTTCGTCTCTTCGAGACGAGAAAGAATATGTAATCAGATTTGTTGTAGGATACCTAATAAAAATTTCAGCCCCTCAACTCCTTTGAATTTGGACTTAGAAATTTTCAGTGCGCTAATTAAAGTGCTTTTTGGGGCTGTTTTCTTTAAATTTCAAGCAACATACACATACTTTATATCATTATGTTCATCTTACAGAGCAGAAAACAATGATACCAAAGATATTATCATATCTTGATTTAAAGGGAGTTTTAGCCCCTATTAGGAGTTTTCGGAGTGCGTTAAAAAATTCTAAGTCCAAATTTCAGAGTTTTAAGGGCCTAACATTCTTAAAAGATCTTATATGATAAAATTGATTACATATTCTTTCTCGTCTCATTGAGACAAAGAAAATGATGTAAAACACATGAGGATAGCTCTACAATTAAAAATTTCATCCCCAAAAAGGAATTATTTCAAAGTAGAAATTAGGGTTAGATGAAACTCCCAGAAATGAACAAGGTTTTTAGGGTCCAAATTTTTATTTGTGACCCTATCTAAAGGTTCTTTATATCATTTTCTTCGTCTTTTGGAGACGAGAAAGAATATGTAATCAGATTTTTTGTAGGATACATAATAAAAATTTCAGCCCCTAAACTCCTTTGAATTGGGACTTAGAAAATTTTCGAAGTCCAAAATAATATTAATAAGGTTGTAAATTAATATTTTCTATTCTACAATTCATTTGATTATATATTCTTTTTTGTCTCAATGAGAGGAAAAAAAATGATATAAAAAACTTTAACCTAGCTCAATAAATAAAAGATTTATACCCTTATGAGTATGTTTTTCACATGCGTCGAAAATTTCAAAGTCCAAAAATACAGTAAATTAGCTCATAGAATTTTTATTTTTTAAGTTACAATGAATCTGATTAGATGTAATTCTTTGTCTCACTGAGACGAAGAAAATGATATAAAAAACTTTTACCTAGCTCTATAAATAAAAAATTTATAGCCTTATGAGTATGTTTTTTATACGCGTCAAAAATTTCTAAGTCCAAATAACACTCTTTAGGTTATAAAATTTTTATTTTTTAAGTTACAATGAATCTGATTACATATTCTTTTTTGTCTTAATGAGACGAAGAAAATGATATAAAGTATTTTGTTGTAGGTCAATAAATAATATATTTTTAGCAAAGTGGGTATTGAATACCCACTTTTATGATTGACCTTAATTTTAAAGGTTTTTTGGAGCTAACTTTTTTATTTTCAAAGTTAAACTAAATCTGAATAGATATAATTCTTTGTCTCACAGAGACGAAGAAAATGATATAAATTTTTTTTACCTAGCTCTATAAATAAAAGATTTATAGCCTTATGAGTATGTTTTTCACACGCGTCTAAAATTTCAAAGTCCAAAATTACATTAAATAAGCCCATAAAATTTTTATTTTTTAAGTTACAATAAATCTGATTAGATATAATTCTTTGTCTCACTGAGACGAAGAAAATGATATTAAAAAGTTTTACCTAGCTCTATAAATAAAAGATTTATACCCGTATGAGTATGTTTTTTACACGCGTCGAAGATTTCTAAGTCCAAATAACACTATTTAGGTTATAAAATTTTTATTTTTTAAGTTACAATTAATCTGATTACATATTCTTTTTTGTCTTAACGAGACGAAGAAAATGATATAAAGAATTCGGTTGTAGGTCAATAAATAATATATTTTTAGCAAAGTGGGTATTGAATACCCATGTCAGATTGACCTAACTTTTAAAGGTTTTTTGGAGCTAACTTTTTTATTTTTTAAGTTACAATAAATCTGATTAGATATAATTCTTTGTCTCAATGAGACAAAGAAAATGATATAAAAAACTTTTACCTAGCTCTATAAATAAAAAATTTATAGCCTTATGAGTATGTTTTTTATACGCGTCAAAAATTTCTAAGTCCAAATAACACTATTTAGGTTATAAATTTTTTATTTTTTAAGTTATAATTAATCTGATTACATATTCTTTTTTGTCTTAATGAGACGAAGAAAATGATATAAAGAATTTGGTTGTAGGTCAATAAATAATATATTTTTAGCATAGTGGGTATTGAATACCCATCTTTAAGTGGGTATTGAATACCCACTTTTAAGATTGACCTTAATTTTAAAGGTTTTTTGGAGCTAACTTTTTTATTTTTCAAGATAAAATAAATCTGATTAGATATAATTCTTTGTCTCAATGAGACGAAGAAAATGATATAAAAAAGTTTTACCTAGCTCTATAAATAAAAAATTTATACCCTTATGAGTATGTTTTTCAAACGCGTGAAAAATTTCTAAGTCCAAAATTACATTAAATAAGTCCATAAAATTTTTATTTTTTAAGTTACAATAAATCTGATTAGATATAATTCTTCGTCTCACTGAGACGAAGAAAATGATATAAAAAACTTTTACCTAGCTCTATAAATAAAAGATTTATAGTCGAAAAACCTGTATTTTTCACTCGGCGTACGAAAATTCCGGACTTTCATACCCGACTTCCGGACGAACCGGATGTCCAACCGGAAAAAAAATTAGATATCTGTAATCTACTCGTCAATACGAATCAAAGGACACCTCACACATTACGAAATAACGACTTTGAAAATTCCCGGATTTTCACTCTGGACCCCCTCTCCCGTCCGGAGGGGTGGGGACAGAGTTTCCGAAAGTACCCCAAAATGTTCCCCTGGTGGAGTACTACTGCCCCACACCCCGAGTTGCCACCTGGGACCCCCCTAACCCGGTCAAAATAGGCGGTGGGCACTCAGTACCCACTTGAAAAAAAGTGGGTACTGAGTGCCCACCGAAAGTGGGTACTGAGTACCCACTTTAGCAAAAGGTCAAGCTGTTGAGCTTGTATCTGAAATAAAGATCACATGTATTAAGTTGAGAGAGTGTGCTTAAGGACATTGGCAAGTCAAGGTTTTCCGGAGAAAGAAGGTTTAATACATGGGTTTTTTCACTTATAACATAGTGATTGAGAGTGATCTCCCGTGTAGAATTCTCTAAGCGGTGGAAACCAATAAAGCGTATGTTACAGAGGTAAACAAAAGCACGATTACTTCCTTCAACGGGTAGAATCATCTATACAGCAAGAAAGAAAAGTAGAAATGGCTTTGTTGTACATTGTATTCAGGGACAAAGAGCCAATAGGTCGTCATTTACGATAGTTGTGCTCAATATGCTGGGAAGGGCAAATATGTGACATATGCTGAAAGGTAGGCCGACTGAGAACAGTTCTTAGCTAGGTCGTGTGAAGGAAGCAGTATTTAGTAACTACGAATAAAAAATAAAACAATGCCAATATTTTTGTTACAATGTGTTTCAATCAATTAAGTCAACTACATGATAAAAACAATCAACCAGTCTCTTGATCAATTTTAGCTGTTAAGGGAAGCAACTCAGAAATAATGATCGGTGCCGGTATATCCATGTTTTGTTCCGATATATAATTTTTAGCCATAATTTCTAGAAGTCATAGGAAATGAAGATACAATAATGTATATAATACAAAAACTGTATGAAATAAGTGGGTTTTGGAAAAATATTATGGTGAAAAATTATGTAGGTCCCTTTTATCAACATTTTACATAGGAAATGCATTGAGAAGTGTAAAAACATCGATTTCACAAAATCTAAAAAAGAAGGTTGGATTGGTAGGTTAAAAGGTCCAGAATATAGCCTATTTAGTACATTTAAACCTACTCAAGAGTTCTTGAAAAATTCTATACGATAACCAGGAACCTTGCCAATGTCCTTAACTATTCATGATACATATTGACAATCAAGGGCCTTTTGTGTGCATGTAGGGAGAAAATAATTTAATGTTGAAATAGGAAAACATTTATCACACATTTTAGTACAGTATTTCTTTAGTTCAATAATTTCTTTACCTTGCTGTAAATGGATGACATCTTTATATCAGGAATACAAGTACATATGTCCATTAAATGTAAATATGGAGTAAATTTTTGTAACAATGTTGTCTGTAAAAATTTTTTGCTAATTTGCAAAACCTCTGAAAACTTTTCCTTTTTTTGTAGCTGATGAGTGGTTCTGGATTTTTGAACTCATTACAAACCTTTCCTAAGGATACAATAAATGAGGAAACTGTTGAGCTTCTGCAGCCTTACCTGACAATGGAAGACTATAACTTTGAATCTGCCAAAAAAGTCTGTGGAAGTGTGGCTGGATTGTTGTCTTGGTCTACAGCTATGGCATTTTTCTATGGAATAAATAAAGAGGTTTTGCCTCTAAAGGTACATATATAGAATCATAGTTTTATTTTTAGAACTTTATCACATAGTTTCAAATAGAATTTGATCTCTAAGTTTCAAGTTTTTACTATAGGCAAATTTAGCAAAACAAGCAGCAAGATATCAAATAGCATCTAAAGAACTTGATGGGGCCCAAGCACAGCTGGATGAAAAACAAGCAGAACTTGACAAAGTGCAAGCACTGTATGATGCAGCAATGGCAGAGAAACAGGTGCAGATTTTTTGTAATTTTTTTTATTATACACTACGTCATGGTCTGTAACTGCAACAGTTTTTTAGATCACTTGAGTCATTCAGATGACTTTTTTCCAGCAATTTTGTCAATTTGATAACTATTATGTATGGTCCTTAAACTATTGAACATTTTCAAGTTCTCATGAAATATGGGTCCGTTTTCAACTGAATTTGCTTCAGAATATCCTTTGGTGACAGTGTGTAATGTTCCTATATAAACAGTGCATGTTTTGGAGTGTAACAGGTGAAATTGACACACTGAGAGAAAACTTATTTTCAACTAATGTTCCAGTGGAAGTTGACAATGGCTTTCCGAGTTGTGTCAGATTCATCTATTACCCTTCAAAACATGCCCAATTATTATACCAATTATTATACCAAGTATCTGTTTAAAACAAAGAAATGTTGGAAATTGTTATTCAGTTCTTGTTTTGAAAGGCTTTCAAACTTGCTGCTTTCATTTTTCTCAATAAAAAAGCTTCAGAGTGGATTCATGGACTTCTTTTAAAATTGTTAAGTACTTAAAAAGTCCTTATCCTTCATAATTTTGTTACTTCTACACCCACATTTTTCTTCTGTTTGTTGTTTATGCAATCAGTCCAATTTACCTGTTTGATAGGCTTATTTTCAAACATAAGTGACATGTTGAGAAATCTAGGGCAAACTGTACATACATATATTACAATTGATGAATACTATCATTTATTGAACACTCCTAATTCACAGATCTTAGATTTGGCTTTTACGTACCTAAAAAGAAGTTGCTGTCAATACACTGTATTATTGTAATAACATTTCTTTGTGAAGGCTTTGTTAGATGATGCAGAGTCCTGCAGAAGGAGAATGATGGCTGCTTCTGCTTTAATTGGAGGTCTTGGAGGGGAAAAGATACGATGGACACAGCAAAGCAAACAGTTTAAGTCCCAAATTGATAGGTACAGCATAAAATAGAACATTTCAACAGTATTATAAGTATTAAACAAGTCACTAAAATAAATAAATTATTATTACTATTATATAGTTCTTGGATAAAGGGGAAAAAATTAATTTCGTAGTCTAAATCCCATGACAGTTCTGGACAGTGGATTCAAAGTGTATTTTTAGCTCATCCGAGCCAAGAGCTCTTTGATCAAAGTATATCTATAGTGTCAGGATATATTGTCTGTAAACTTTTTGACATGGAAAAAATTTTTAAAACTTTTTCTAAAGCTGCAGGACCAAAAAAATATATACTGTCAAGACGTAATTATTCGCCACTTCAAAATGGCCATTATACTTTTTACATTGCACACCTTGATATTTAGGATCTGTCAAACAATTAACAATCTTACCTCAATACTTTGTTAATTGCCTTTCATATTTAATGCTTCCATTAATCTGTTAGGTATTGTTTTATACAGGTCCTCAGTGTAGGAGGTAGATACATTTTCCCAAGCAGTCCGAATTTCTGCCGTAAACTGATTTTTCGTGTTAATGAATTCGGCATGGGTTTATAGTGTTCTTTTTTATAGTAATCAATTGTTCTTGATAATATTGAGGTCAGGAGACTGGGCAAGCCATGATGTTGTAATTATGTTTTATTGGCAATGTATTTTTTACTAAATTTGCTCTATGAACAGGAGCAGTGTCGTTCATATATCATACTGGTTGTCTAGAAAATGTCTGGCTTAAACAGGCCAAAGGTTGTTGTCTAATATATCAATACATTTTCTTGCATTTACAGGGTTGTCCCTAAGTCCCCGGGACTGGGGAATTTCCCCACCTTTAATGACGTAATCCTCCAGTTATTCTGGTATTCCCCCTTAATCCCCTGTTAAGGGAGGAACCCTTAGGGAAAACCCTGATTTATGTTACCTACATTATTTAAAGTCCTATTCCTTTTATACACAGTTTGTTTTTATATCTATCTAATCCCTTCCTTCCTTTCCCATCCTCGTCGATTTTCTACCTGTCTCGTTTCAACAAACTTTTTCACAATGCTAGATATTGTAGACCTAGAGATTCCTAATATTCTCTCCAATTCTGATGTATTTCTATTCTTTCTATGCGCATTTACAGTCATACTGCAGATGGACTTATCTAATTCTTTTCCCTCCTGACCCATGTTGTTTTATATAAATTTATTGAGAAAAAATACAGCAGACAACAAAAATACTGTGTATACGTCATCAATTTTAGCATCACAACACAAAGATAAAAATAGAAAGGGAAAATCTTTTGTCTAATAATAGCGCTCAGCCCTACTTTAGCGAACATGTGAAAAAAAGTGACGCAATTTGGGCAGAGGTGGAGAATAATTATGTCCTTTGACGGTATATAGTAAAAAATCAATAGTTCAGCATCCTTATGTTGTGTAGATGTTATTTGTTCAATTCATGGCTCCTGGGACAAGGATGACAATAGGGATCAAAGTCTTACATAGGAAAATGTATATATATATATATAGTTTGTTTAAAGTAAGGCCCCAGGAATTAAGTTGTGGTCACAGTAAGGGGACAAAGATTAATTTATACAGAAATCGAAAACAGAGCCACAATTTTGTTGGTCTAAAAACTTTTTACTCAATCCCTAAAGGGGGCTTGAGATATATCTAAAATGATGCTGGTTCATTGATTTACTTATGGTTTAAACACCTGAAACTATATAAATTAGGTTAAACAAATTTCTAGAATCAAAAATGCAGCTTATTTTGAAAATGTCTGTATCTTGAATTTTCAAAGATATTAAGTGTTAATTGCTGGATTATGATTTAAGGCAAAGATTAATGAGTAGGGGTGAAACGATACACCTCCTTCTCGGTTCGATACGTATTGTATAATTTTGTCTCGGTTCGGTTATTTTCGATACGATACATTTTGATAGCAGGAAACAAATTCAACGTTGTTTTATGCTTTCTTTTTCTAAATCTAGTCACATATTTTACGAATTTTATTTGCAAATTGACTAGAAGAAATTGATTAAAATTATTTGACTGTCAAAAATTATTTCACAAGCTATCAGTCATCAAAAATTTACGTTTTCTATACTTATTTATACTGATTAACGTGTTTACCTTATGCCAAACCCGACTGAATAACGATCCCGACTGAAAAATGAACCGAACCGAAAATTAGAGATTTTGCACCGTGTATCAAACCGAGAAAAAATACCGCGGTGAATCGATACCGCGGTGAACCGTTTCACTCCTATGAATGAGTGATACTCCGCAGCCACAACAGAGATTTGCTCTTTCTTACATTTGCATGTATCAGTAAGTTTTCACTCGGTCAAAATGCCATTGTACATAATGTACACTATCTTTCTGTATCTTGGTATTTTACAGACTTGTTGGAGACATTTTGCTATGCACTGGCTTTTTATCCTACTCGGGACCCTTCAACCAGGAATTCAGGAATAAACTGATTGAGAACTGGCAAAAAGAATTGTACCAAAGAAGAATACCATTCACCAATGACTTGAATTTAATATCTATGCTGGTGGACAATGCTACAGCAAGTTATATATTTAGTTATTAAATATGTTAGATATATTAGTAGAGGACCAGAGGAGGTTGTGCACTGTTAATGTGTCTGGCTATAATTCAATTATTGGTCCTTGTAAACATTACTTCATTTGTAGTTCTTTCATTATTATCCCCCCCCCCCTTTTTCTATATGTATAGTAATGGGGGTGTCCGTCTGTCTAGCTGTCCGTCTATCTGTCTTTCTGTACAATAGTCACTACTATCAAAAAATAGTTGATAAAAGGCAGCAAGTCAGTGACCTGGAAATTTTTTTAAAATTGATAGTTGCTAAATATTTTTTGAAAGTATTTTTTAGCTTACCTGAGCTAAAGGCTCAAGTGAACTTTTCTGATTTGTCTGTTGTCTGTCATTAATTTTTCACAATTTCATCTTCTCCTCCAGAATTAATGGGCCATTTTCAACTAAATTAAGCTTGAGTATCCTTTGCTGAAGGGGGGTTCAAGTTTTTAATATGAAGAGCCACGTACGTCCTCTTTCCAGGGGAGATAACTTAAGAATTTGTGAAAATTTGGTGGCATCTTTTAAAAATCATCTTCTCAAGAACCACTAGCTGGACTAGAAAAGATGAAATTTATATGAAAACTTCCTCATAATATTCATAGCATTTCTGCTTTTCAAAACTACAAGCATTGTAGTTCATTTATATTCATCGTTATTTTTGCCCATTACCTGTAGAGATGCAGCAAGTTTTTCTTCATGGAGAAGGCAACATTACACTTGAGTGATTTTTTTTTCCCCTAAAGATTGGTGAATGGAATATTCAAGGACTACCAAATGATGAACTTTCTATTCAAAATGGTATAATTACAACAAAAGCTACAAGGTTCCCATTACTTGTGGATCCTCAAGGTCAAGGCAAATCCTGGATAAAAAATCGAGAAAAAGATCATGATCTGCAGGTAAGTCAGTATTTCAGACAAATGCATAAAAGACTTGTGATCTTTGTTATAAATACCTACATGAGATGGATATTGTCAAAACATTACAAATAAGTATCTCTTTTCTATTACATCTCATACTAAACATTAGGAACTTTGTTTAAGTCAACTGTAAAGATGCTCTGTTAAGTAGAGCACTTAAAAATTATAAACAAAAACAAAAACATTCTCTTGTTTAAACATTTTAATTTCACAGACTTTATTCATTTACCTTGATGATAGGTCACTTCCCTGAATCACAAATATTTTCGAACTCATTTGGAAGATTCTCTGTCACTTGGACGTCCACTTCTGATTGAGGATATTGAGGAAGAACTAGATCCAGCTTTGGACAATGTGTTGGAAAAGAATTTTATTAAATCTGGTTCAACATATAAGGTAGGATCATTGCTTTTAAGCATGATTTTTTAATTTGAAAAGGTTTTCAAGATATAGTTGAGTTTGGTATTGAGTTTCAAGTAAATGCATGGGATGGATTAATGTTTATATGATTTAAATAAAAATCACTATTAGTATACAATTAATTACCCCTTATGAGGTCAACATGGTGAAATAAGAACCCGAAACCTGGCCCACGAGGTGACCTGACCTGACCGAAGCCTTAATTACTAAATCAATTGTGAATTAGAACTATGGACTGTTATTATCAGTGTTCCATCGCGATTCGCTAGTGAAGTTGTTTACTTTTCACCTGCAAGTCTTGTAAGTTTTTGCATCGCCGATTTATTAAAACACTCAGTGATTGTCAGTAATTATAAACATGCTTTTTTATAAATTCACAAATACCATTCCAGAGTACAATGACAATCTGGTGTAGACTTTTACTGTACAAGAGAGCCGAGTCTGCATTCATCGAATTTAACATTGTAACGAGAGTTTCAATGAAAACAACAAAAGTTATGACACAACTAAAGGCCAATAGTGTTCTGTCCTAAAAATACTATACATATTTTATAACTGCATTTTTGTAATGTACAATCGTTACTGTATGCATGATTTTTTTTTAATTCGAATGGAATTTGGATTAACAGGTCATTTTTAGTGGTCATTATTTTTACTGACCGGTCATTATACCCAACGTGCAATGATTCCTAGGTCATTATTGCTGTAAACGGTACTTTTGGAGTCATTATTGAGTTTAAAAGCCTTCTAACAAGCCAGTCAAATTTGAGTATTCTTAATGGAGGTATAATAAACCAAAATATTGAACAGTTTAAGGTTTTAGGTCACCTGAGTTATTCAGGTGACCTTTTGCAATCTGTTGTCATCTGTCCCTCGTTCTTCAATCGTAAACTTTTGAACATTTTCAGCTTCTTCTCTGGGACTGCAAAACCAATTTCAACAAATTTTATGTTAGAGTTTGGGCAAAGGGGGAAAAAGTTTAATTTTATGTTCCCTGGCCTGAGGGGTGGGGCCAAAACCATTCAAATTAATACAATTTTCAAAAATCTTTCTCTTTACTCCTGGACATCAAGCAGTCAAATTGTTGCCATGATTAGAATATACAATGAGGCTTTATTAGTCCCCTACCGGTGAAACCGGAGGGGACTATAGGTTTCCTCTGAGTCTGTCCGTCCGTCTGTCTGTCAGTCTGTCCCACTTGGTTTTCCGCACTTTTTTCCTAAACGCTTGCAGATATTGAGCTGATTTTTGGTATGTGAGTGTATCTTGATGAGTTACAGATCAAGTTTGCATTTCATTCCGCTTCATTGATTTTTGGTGAGAAGGGGACTAGTATTGCTAATGCAATACTCTCAGAATGCTTGTTGATTATATAGTGAAAATGCATCATTTCTTTTTTTTAAAAAAAAAATCCTCCCAGGTATTAAGCGAACAAACTAAATGCGATTTCCTGGATGAGTGAAAAGCTTCAAGCACTACCGGGACCTAACCTGCATGGATCATCTAGGGATGCACATTACTAGGACTGTTTTTGACCTACATTTTCTAGATGAGTATGCAAGTTCATGTTTTTGAAGCAGTTTCATTGTAATGCACACTACAAGAATTGTTTTGAATGCTGGATCTGAATTTACTGAAGAAGGTTCCTTCCCAAGTAATGATAAGTTTGGTATATAGTGACCAAACTTCATTTATGATTCATCAAGGGATATACACTATAGACTTACTTCAGATGCTTGATTTGACTTTTATTTTCCAGGTGTATGAAAGGGTTATAGTTTAAACTGGTCCATACCAAGTAAATATAAGCCTTATGGTAACTGAACTTGATTTGAGTATGCTTGATACTGTGGCTGCAGACTACCAGATATGCTTTTGAAGCTGAATCTGACCTATATTTTCAGAGTGTTTTAACTGTTAAATTTTTTTGGTGCAGGTCCATTTTTAGCTCACCTGAGCTGAAAGCTCAAGTGAGCTTTTCTGATCACCTGTTGTCCGTCATCCATCCGTCCGTCTGTCCGTCCGTCTGTAAACTTTTCACATTTTTGACTTCTTCTCAAGAACCACTGGGCCAATTTTAACCAAACTTGGTACAAAGCAACCTTGGGTAAAGGGGAGTTTAAATTGTAAAAATGAAGGGCAAAGTCCCCTTCAAAGGGGAGATAATCAAGAAAATACAAAAATTAGGTGGGGTCATTAAAAAATCTTCTTCTCAAGAACCACTGGGCCAGAAAAGCTGAAACTTATCTGGAAGCATCCTAAGGTAGTGAAGATTCTAAATTGTTCAAATCATGACCCCCAGGGGTAGGGCGGGGCCACAATAGGGAATCCAAGTTTTACATTGAAATATGTAGTAAAAATCTTTAAAAATCTTCTTCTCAAGAACCACTGGGCCAGAAAAGCTGAAACTTACTTGGAAGCATGCTGGGGTAGTGTAGATTCTAAATTGTTCAAATCATGACCCCCGGGGGTAGGGCGGGGCCACAATAGGGAATCCAAGTTTTACATTGAAATATATAGGAAAAATCTTTAAAAATCTTCTTCTCAAGAACCACTTGGCCTGAAAAGCTGAAACTTATGTGGAAGCATGCTGGGGTAGTGTAGATTCTAAATTGTTCAAATCATGACCCCCGGGGGTAGGGCGGGGCCACAATAGGAAATCCAAGTTTTACATTGAAATATATAGGAAAAATCTTTAAAAATCTTCTTCTCAAGAACCACTGGGCCAGATAAGCTGAAACTTACTTGGAAGCATCCTGATAGTGTAGATTCCAATTGTTCAAATCATGACCCCTGGGGATAGGGCGGGGCCACAATTAGTACTACGGGGGGGGGGGGGGGGGGGGGGGGGAGAAATCAGGTGAAAAACAGCAAGACCAAAGTTACTCAGGTGAGCGCTGTGGCCCATGGGCCTCTTGTTAAATATTATTTAGATCCTGCCTGGACCAAACTTGTTAGGATATTGTATATGGGATGCACACTACCATCAAACATTTATTTGGAGTGCAAATTGTGAAATTCATGGCCCTAAGGTCAGGGGTTCTGGAGATGGGTGTGGGTCTATTGATCAAATAGTGAAAATGCATTGATTCTTTGAAAATCCTCTCTGCTCCTAGGTTTTTAGCTCACCTGAGCTGAAAGCTCAAGTGAGCTTTTCTTGATGATCACCTGTTGTCGGTCTGTCTGTCTGTAAACTTTTCACATTTTTCATCTTCTTCTCAAGAACCACTGGGCCAATTTTAACCAAAGTTGGTACAAAGCATCCTTAGGTGTCAGAAGGGAAATATAAATTGTTAAAATGAAGGGCCAAGCCCCCTTACAAGGGAGATAATCAAGAAAAGACACAAAAAGGGAGGGGTCATTAAAAAATCTTCTCCAGAACCACTAGGCCAGAAAAGCTGAAACTTATGTGGAAGCATCCTGGGGTAGTGTAGATTCTAAATCGTTCAAATCATTATTCCTAGGGATAGGGTGGGGTCACAATTGGGAATCCAAGTTTTACATTGAAATATATAGGAAAAATCTTTACAATTCTTCTTCTCAAGAGCCACTTGGCCAGAAAAGTTGAAACTTATGTGGAAGCATACTGGGGTACTGTAGATTCTAAATTGTTCAAATCCTGGTCCCCCGGGGTAGGGTCAGGTCACGATAGGGAATCCAAGTTTTACATTGAAACATACAGGAGAAATATTTAAAAATCATCTTAAAAATCTTATATTAGGGCCAGAAAAATGAAACTTATGTGGAAGCTTCCTGGGGTAGGGTAGATTCTAAATCATGGCCCCAGTGTGGAGCCACAATGAATATTACCAGGGGGAAATCTGGTGAAGAACAAGCAGACCCGAAGTTACTCAGGTGAGCATTGTGGCCCAAGGGCTTCTTATTGGTAGATAAAGTAAGTGCACAGTTTTGATGAGCAAGAGTGCCTCTTTTAAATTGTGAAATTCATGGCCCCTGGGACAGGGGTCTTGGTGTTAGGGACTCTATTGATAATATAGAGAAAATGCATTGTTTCAAAAATCCTCTTCTGTGTTCCTGGACATCTGGGAGAGAAACAGAGTACAGAATTGTAATGAGCAAGGGTATTTTTACCAGATTTGTGAAATTTTGGACCACTGGATTGGGCTCTTTTGGTGCTGGACAGGACTCTACTGATCTTGTGATACAGTGAATTTTGTACTCAACTGATTGAAATTATTCTCATTTGCTATTCACTTGTGAAAATTAATCACCGTAAAAAATGTATCTGATAGGTCCATTGAATAAAACAATTATACAAGAATTTTTTATGTATGATACAAAAAGTACTTTCAAAGATTTAATGACCGGTAGACTTTTAAATAATAGGTATGAAATAAAATTGAGACAAAAATACCTTATCTTTGTACTTAAAATGTTCTGCAAAGACATAGAGAAGCCAATGTGAGAGAGAATTGGTTTATTACAAGTGCTCAAGCAATATAGTTTTGTTTAGTCTGTATGGTGATAGTCACCATTGGGAGTGTATTAGCACTGGCAAGTAAATAGATCTACTTTATGATTTGTAACTGAGTACTAGACTTACTATTTTGTTGATCCTTGATCATCCTATTTCTCTTGCTAATAGGTAACATATCTTCATCTATCAGTTTTTATTTTATTTTGTACTTGTATGGATCCTTCACAGTGTTGCATTATATTAAGGTGACTGTTCAGGCCCTTGGGCCTCCTTTTTTTGGCAGGAGGGGGGTATCAAATCTGTTGACATCAGACTCTGTAGCTTGGTGTGGAAAGTGCTCGACTTGCATGGTGAGGGTACAAGGTTCACCATGTTTAATTCAAAGTCGTAACAAGCATAGCACCAAGTGGTATGGGAGGATGATCTTGTACATAATATAAAAACTTTTGTTCTCAGTGTGATTTGAAACTTTCCATTCCTGAGAAATAATTGAGCCCTCAAACAAAAGAAAACCACGAGTGGATTTTAATTAGTGATTAGTCTCTCATTGCCATACGGTTCACATTGCTTATAATCTGTTTTGTCTTAATCTGATAGGTCAAAGTTGGTGACAAAGAATGTGACATAATGAAAGGATTTTACCTGTACATGACAACAAAGTTGGCAAATCCAGCCTATACTCCAGAAGTAAGATTCATTTCAGAGGCTTATTAGCTCTTCTGAGCCAAAGGCTCAAAGGGCTAATGCTACATGGCCATTTGTGCGGTGTGCGTAAACTTTTTAGAATATGGGCCATAACTCAAGAACCCCTTGGCCAATTATTGTCAAATTTGTCACAGGGTATCCTTGGCCCAAGGGCTCCCATTTAAAACTAGGATTGTGACTCTTAAACAAGGGGAGATAATTAGGAAAATAGAAACAAAAGTACTGGTTGTTAAAAAATCTTCTCAAGAACCACTGGGCAGATTATCACCAAACTTACACAAAAGGATGAGGATATGTTGTAGATTAAAAATTGTTCAAGGGATCACCCTGGGGCAAAGGGCGTGGTCTCAAGGTCACTTCAAAGTTGACCAAAAATTACATTTTATTAAAATGTTGATATTTTGCTTACTGTAAGGACTAGGATCATCAAATCTTGTCAGTTGATGCATCTAAGGACCTCATATCATGTTGACTCAGAAGTAGGTCACGGTGACGTACTTTTTAAATTTTGCGGCCATTCTTTTTCAAAATGATTTAGAGGCATATTTTGAACAATTTAAGGCCTATGATCATCAAACTTTGTCAGTTGATGCATCTTGGGTCCTCAGAGTATGCCAACTAAAAATTAGGTCACCTTGACCTACTTTTTGAATTTTATGGCTAATCTTTTTCAAAACAGCTAAGGTCATTAATTCGAATACTGAGAGGTTTAGAATGCATCTTGGGGCCAAACTTTGTCAGTTGATGCATCTTGGGTCTTCGGAGTAAGTCGACCAAAAAGTAGGTTACCGTGACCTACTTTTGAAAATTTATGGCTTTAATTAAATATTTTCAGATACTAATTGGCTTAGGATCATCAAACTTTGTCAGTTGATGCATCTTGGGTCCTTGGAGTACGACAACTGAAAAGTAGATCATCTTGACCTACTTTTGAAATTTATGGCTGTATTTAATAATTCAGGTACTAATTGGCTTAGAATCATCAGACTTTGTCAGTTGATGCATCTTGAGTCTTTGGAGTACGTCTACTGAAAAGTAGGTCACCGTGACCTACTTTTCAATTTATATGACTATAATGAAATATTTCGGGTACTAATTAGCTTAGAATCATCAAACTTTGTCAGTTGATGCAACTTGGGTCCTTGAAGTAAGTTGACTGAAATGTAGGTCACTGTGACCTACTTTTGAAATTTTTTGGCTTTATTTAAATATATCAGGTACTTATTGGCTTAGAATCATCAAACTTAGTCAGTCGATGCATCATGGGTCCTCAAAGTATGTCATCTGAAAAGTAGGTCACTTTGACCTACTTTTGAAATTTTATGGTTATAATTTTAAAAATATTTTAGGTATTAATTGGCTTAGAATCATCAAACTTAGTTGATGTATTTTGTGTCCTCAGAGAAGTGATAAGAAGGTCACCATGACCTACTCTCAGGTACTAATTGGCTTAGAATCATCTTGGGTTCTTAGAGTGTTTCATCTAAAACGTAGGTCATGATGACCTACCTTTGGAATTTCAAGACTTTATCTAAATACATGTATACAGGATACTTAGAGGCTTCAAATAGAAGTGATAGGTTGTACAGTTTAACAGAAGAGCAATTCAAGGCCCTTGGGCCTCTTGTTTGTAAAATGTCACATTTTACGTAAAACTTACATAAATTCTGAATACTATGCAAGCATTTTTTCCACATGGTATTAACTTGCGCTTTGTACGCAGTCGCAAATTTTCTGCGGAATTACTTATATAAGTACATTTAAAGCATATAGTAACAATGTAAGAAATCTACATAATTTTCTATCTGCGTATTGAACAGAAATTTTGATTTCGCAGAATTTGACCACGTGGAAAAAAAGTACATTAAGTCATTTACAGTGATGTAAACAACTTTTCATGGGTCATAATTCTGCAGAATCACAATTTCTGTTTAATCCACAGCTAGAACATTACACTGATTTCTTGGATTGTCATTGCATGGCCTTAATGCATTTTAAGAGCACTATGAAAAATTTCTACGGAAAATTTTATGACCGCCTATCTCACTTGAATTAGTCCCAGGCAGTAAAAAAAATTATGTCTACAGCAGACCTGTCTACTCTTAAGATTTTGTTCGGATTTTGAGTCCAAAATAGATCTAACGTTTTGCTATTATGAAAATATAGAAATCGGAAATCCGTTCGTTTGGATTTTAGCAGTTAGTTTTCGTTATGATCTGTCTCAGTTTAACACTTTTTAATCACTGTAAAAAGAGAAAGATTTCAAACAATTAAGTGATGTCGGGTTGCCAAAATGCAGTGATTTAAAAAATGACGGCAATGGTAATTGGAAATGTAGTTGTCTCAATTAATATATGTAAAAATCGATGGAAAGTGAAACCTTACTGGCAAATGCCAAATCTCGCTGACAAATCTAATAAAATATACTGAGAGACAACAATATGGGTAAACAGGTCTGCTACAGTACTTGCACTACAATTACTGCTGCAATTTTTGAGAAAGCTGTTTGAATGATTATTTTTCAATAAAATCTTCTGTAATAGAGATATTCATATAATTTTTGGTAATTTTGAACAAATCAGTGATTTCTGATCATAAATGAAAAGGAGTGAATATATTTGCATACATTTATTAAAAACATGTATGTTGCTAGAAATTGGTGCATTTTCATTTTCAAATTAGTGATTTTAAGTGTTTATTTGTTGTAAGTCATTATTCCTTTTTCCAGGTGAGTGCTCGGACATCAATTATAGACTTTACTGTCACAATGAAAGGATTGGAGGATCAACTTTTAGGGCTTGTTATTCTGAAAGAAAAGAACGTGAGTATTATTTCATACACAATAAATATTCTCTTAAGATGCTTTCTTTATTTTAAGCAGAGATGATAATTGTATTTTTTCCCAACAGGAACTGGAAGCTGACAGAGCAAAATTAATGCTAGATGTCAATTCAAACAAAAGAAAAATGCAAGAGTTGGAGGATAACTTGTTATACAAATTGACAAGTACAAAGGTATTTTTTTTTCTTCACAGAGACACCTTTAATTACGAAAACCAAATTTATCTGGGAATAGAGTCTTGGTCCTTTCTTCTTTTCATTTAGTAGAGCTCTGTTTCTTAATTAGGGCCCTGTATCAATTAAAATCAACTATAGAAACATGAAATTTTCTAAGCAGAAAGATGTCTTCTCTCTTGTTACATAAAATGTCCTAGTACACACACACACACACTCATATATATATATATATATATATATATATATATATATATATATATATATATATATATATATATATATATATATGTATATAAAGAAAGCACAAAGAAATTAACTTTTTATAAGGATACCCACTTCTGCCCCAACCCAGGGTTGAACTCTCGACCTGCAGAATCTGTCTCCTAGCAGTACAGGAACAGTGTGCTAGACTGCTCGCTCATCTAGGCAAGTGAAAAAAACTTGCTTTTGATGCTGATGGAATTGTCACAGTGTCGCCCTACACTAAAGCACATTTTACAACAACTCGTAATCTAACATAACTGCCCTAAGTGAAGAAATTTTAATATAGAAAGCAAAAGAAATTCACTTTTTAAAAGGATATCCACTTTTGCCCAACCCATTGTTGAACTCTCCACCTACAGAATCTGTCTCCTAGCAGTAAAGGAAACACTCTTAAACAAAAGCAAGTTTTTCTGACTTACCTAGAGGCCGAGCGGTCTAGCACGCTGTTCCTGTACTGCAAAACTGCAATCTCAAATTATTTCTTCATTCAGATATTTTTTACATGCAAATCTGTTGAGTTGTGCATATGTCAATCAACCTGGTTTAAGGTAACTTTGTACTCTATATACATAAAAAAGAACGATCCCTATGGATATATGAAATAAAAAGCCTTTGAAAATAGTTTACGAAGACAAATTAGAAGATAGTAGGGCTTGGTATCAGTTCTCTCAGGCCAAACAAAAAAATATGTGTGGTTCTGGTTACACTTTCAAAAAAATTAGGGTAGGTAGGTAGGGATTTTTTTTTTTTTTTAACAAAATGATTTTCTTAATTTTTTGTAAATAATACCTATCACTGCTTTGCAAATGGCATTTAGATGTGGTGTAATAATATACTAGTCAATATTGGTAGGGGACTCCTACATGCTAGCTTGCTTTGATTTAACACTATTAAACACTTGCACTATGTTTTGCAAGGAGGCCGTCATTGCTGAAACTAAAACTTAAACTGGAGCCATTGATGGAAATCGGGGAAATTCCGGGAAAAATATGAAAATTGCCAAAAAAAGTTTAGAGTCGGGGGTATAAAATAGGGAAGATCGGGTAACCGGAACCACACATATTTTTTTATTTGGCCTCATCTTTGATCAACATGTCTTTAAATGAATTAATTTTATAAAACGTTAATATGTCAGTGTCCTGCCAAATCATTAGAATTTGGTGTTCATTGCTCATAAATAAATTCTTGCTGTATAATGCAACTGCAGAAATTGAAAACGCAGAAATTAATTTACTACCTTCCAGTGGTCAAATCACAAAAATTTCCAACTGCAGAAAATACCCGTTATACGGTATACTAAATACATGTATAAAGACTTTCATATTATGAAAATAATTATGTGGAGCACCTGATATTGGTTCAGAAAAAAAAGCTTGATACACCATTACCAAGTGCCTGTTTATGGAAATTGATAAAGTATGGCCGGAATCTCCAAAAATGGCTCTTTTGATAAAAATAGAACAACCATTAATCGAAATGAATATTTATAATTGAGCACCTTAAATACACCACAACTGACTTAATTTTTATCATAATCTATGATTGGAAGAACTATAGATATGAAAGTTTCTAGATCTATAGCTTGAAACATTGAAAAATGTTTACAGTTTAATATGTATGTGGAATGTTTTGACAGGGATCCCTTGTAGATGATGAGTCTCTCATTGAAGTGTTGTCAGTAACAAAAGTTACTGCTGCAGAAGTCAGTGAAAAGTTAACTGTTGCAGCGGAAACAGAAATCAAGATTAACGAGGCTCGGGAAGAATTTAGACCAGGTTTTCTTATGAATTTCAATGTAACATGAAAATGTTGAAAGGAATTTGAAGTAGAATGGTTACTAAATTAGGGAAATCTTTGAAATTCTTTCAGAATGATCTACCTTTTTTTGTCCAATTTTAATCAAACTTTCAAGAGTAGAATTTTAACAAACAAGATACATAATTATGTAAGTAGATTTTTTAAAAAAAATAGTTTCAAGTCTAGTTGCACATTTTCAACAATTTATTTGAAAAAAAAGTAGTCTTCAGTCTCAATAGAGATTTCTCATTTTCAAGTATTATATACAACATATATACTTATAGCATGAAATTTTTAATGCACTAAATTTCTTATTACAGACCCTAAAACGTGCTACTACACCACTTGCACGGTTCGGTTCGTTTCGTTTTGTGTACGGTACGGTACGCTTCTTGCACGGAACGGTACGCTTTGTGAACGGTACGGTTCGCTTTGTGCACGGTACGTTACGCTTCTTGCACGGTACGGTTCGTTTTGTGTACGGTACGGTTCGCTTTGTGCACGGTACGGTACGCTTCTTGCACGGAACGGTTCGTTTTGTGAACGGTACGCTTTGGTGAACGGTATGTAAATTAAGTGGGCAGAGCCTGTACGCTTTAGTTTATGATTGGCTACTTCATAAAGTCGTTTATTTCTTTATTATAATTTCTTTATTTTATATAAATGGAAGGACGATGTCGCAAGCATTTATAATAAGTTGTTTTTAAGTTTAAACTGTTATTATAGGTGCATTTCGTTATTACATGTAACTAGTCGTCTTAATAACTGTATCTTTTTTTAATTTAATTTCTGTATGAACTACTTTCAATTTTTAAAATAAAATAATTTTAGTTTTCTATTTATTATCTTATTTTGTACACCATCGCCTTATGGTTCAGTAACTCGGAAATGAATCGAACATATCAACAAAGACTGTATAACAAGGATGAAAAAAAAAATATTTTGGTTGCGTCGCCATAAAAGGCCTTTCTGTATTTTTTTAAGAATAAGCGTACATATGTTTTTTTCCCTTTAAATTTTCCTAATTGAATATAATTATTATTTTAAATATTCACTTATCACACTTTTAAACAAATGAGACTGATTTTATAAATCCCTCATGTTTTCTTTTCGTCTACCATTCTTTTTACGTTCTTGTCACTGTTGCTTCATTTAAAAAAAACAAACAATTTTTTTTCTCTTGACCAAATGATCAAACAAACAATAAAAAAAAAGTTATTATTTTTATTTGCGGGGAATTATAATTTTTTTTACATAGACTTCTTCGGTGTTTGGCTCGCTAGGAAAAATACATTGAAATGAAATCGGTAGAAGTGTACACAATTAGTGCAAAACATTACTCTATTTTTGTGCGCGTAATTGTTTTCCTTTTTACATAAATTTTCCATATATTTGTAAAAATGTTTTTGAAGGGAAGTTACAATCAAGAAAACGGTTAAGACAACTACAATTCCATCTACAATGTATAAATGTATATAATATATACATGTATGTATACTGACTGCAAAGACAGATTTCCGAAATAAATATTGTCAAAATGTTAGAAATAAATAGTCCGTTTTCAATTACCTTGAAAATAAATAATATGCAGCCATGCATGTCCTCAAAAACTTTGAAAATGAATAATATGCCCATGCCGGGTGCTAACCCCCCCCCCCCCCCCATTTGTTTCCTTGTCAAACTCAAACTTTTTTTATTGAAGATCTAGAAGAAAAGCTGACTGCACATGAAATTCTGTTTATATATGCTGATTAAAACTGGTTCATTGTTATAGACTTACTGTTTAAGAGACAGCAAACTGTTGATACACGTGTGAGTGTAGGCATATCTGGACTAACGGGATTAGATACTGTTCAATATACACAGCTCAAGTTTTTACCTGTGCACGTGTGAAGACAATACTTGATCAAAATTTTCAAATGTTTTAGAGTAAATAACGAAAGCATAGAAAGACGTCAGTCTAGATAACGAGACTATGGCACGAAATGTACAGCGTTTCTTAAAAAAAACTTGAACACGCATGCACGGAGTAAGCATTTTTTTTTTAAAAATATTAAACTGGGCTTTATGTGTAAATTCCAGGTAACACATTTTACCTGCAGGTTTCAGTGAGTAAAGCAAATGAAATGGGAAAATGCTTTAAATAAAAATTAATTCTGACATATAGGCCTATGATTTGTTTTTGTTTTATTACGTGTATTAAACTGAAAATTCCATGCGAAAATGTGGCGATCAAACTTTTTGACAGTATGTTATATTGGCGATAACATCTTGAGTTGGTCAGAAGAGTGTAAACGAACACAAATTATTTATATATACATCGCCTTTATTTATCTTTTTCTAGTGATCGAGAGACGTTTACATTTTAACATGACCGCTTTCAAATTGAGAATTTAGTTCGTAATTTTTTTTTGTTATTGAAATTTTGTTATTATTGTTGTTGCTAAATCTGTAATCATATCTCCCTAAAACTATTACTTACATGAATAAAAAAAAATGATTTTAAGGGCTTGGTTTCTGAAAATAGCACAGAATCTTAATGCATTTTTCAATGTGTCTTGGTTTCCGAGAACGTCCATAGCGACAAGAATAGGGTAGATAAAAGCTATAGAAATAAAAGATAAAGTATTTAATTCACTTTTATTTATTATAAATTGTACACGAAAATATTACGATGCTGCATTTAATATGGAAAAAAAATGTTAGTCAAGCACAACCCGATCATGCATAGCGAATAAAGAATCGCCTCATACTCTGTCGAGTTGTTTTGAAGTCGTAACTAGTTTTGAGTAGTTTCCTTATATTAACAGATGTAAGTCCAGATGTATGGTACTTTATAATTATATTTTGAATCTCTAGAGTTATTTCCATCCTTCTGTAACGGGCGCTGTGTCGAAAGAAATAAAAAAGAAAATTACTTACTGTATTTGGTCATTGCAAGATTCGGAATGCTTTCGGGGCGTGGCTTGCATAATTATTTAAAAAATTATTCATGAACGGTACAGTTCGCTTTGTGCACGGTACGGTACGCTTCTTGCACGGAACGGTACGCTTTGTGAACGGTACGTTTCGCTTTGTGCATGGTACGGTACGCTTCTTGCACGGTACGGTTCGTTTTGTGTACGGTACGGTTCGCTTTGTGCACGGTGCGGTACGCTTCTTGCACGGTACGGTACGCTTCTTGCACGGAACGGTATGGTTCGTTTCTGAGGTGTAGTAGCACGTTTTAGGGTCTGTAGTTGTAGTTTATAAGATATTGAACAACACTATTTTGCTGTTCATTATTTCATCTTCTTCTAATTATTCTGATTAGGAAATGCAAATATTTAAAGATTCAATGTTGCAAGTATTGTTTATTTGATCTTGCTACACAAATGACAAATCAGTGAGCAGATAAAATTTTTTAGGTCACCTGAGTCACACAGGTGACCTATTGCTATCTGTTTTTGTTCGTTGTCGGTACTAAACATTTGAACATTTTCAGCTTTTTCTCTTGAACCACTGAACCAATTTCCATAAATTTTGACATATAGCATCAATAGGTAAATTAAGGGGTACAAAAATTGTGAATTTGGTAGTCCCTTCCTCCATAGGGCCTGAGGGGTGGGTCTAAAACTATCAAAATTAGTGTTATCTTTAAAAATCCTCTTCTTTACTCTTGGACATCAAGCAGTCAAACTGTTGGCATGATTGTAATGGTCATTGAGCCCTCTATCAAAATTGTGAGTATTTATGGCCCCAGGGTCAAGGGTTCTAGAGTTAGGCTTCTAAAGTTAGGATAGGTCTCTAATGATCATGTAGTGAAAATGCATTAATTCTTTAAAAATCTTCTTCTCAGCCCCTGGGTATTTAACAGACAAACTAGTTGCATGTTTATGATGAACAAGGGTTCCTTTTTCAAAAATGTGAAAATTATGGCCCCAGGGTCAGGAGTTCTGGTGTTTGGGGAGAGCTATTGATTATATAGTGAAAGTGTATTTTTTCTTTGAAAATCTTCTTCTCTTCTCTTCTTTTGGGTATTCAGGAATCAAACAAGAGCATGCTTATAATGAGCAATTATGCCTCTTCCAAGATTGTGAATTTCATGGTCCCTGGGTCAGGAGTTCTGGAATTAGGGCAGGGCTGTGTTCAAGCTATAGTGAAAATGCATTATTTCTTTGAAAATCTTCTTCTCTGCTTATAGGCATCTAGGAGGCAAACAGAGTTTGGGTATTTTTACCAGATTTTTGAAATTCTGGACCACTTGGTCAAGTGTTCTGATGCTGGGCATGCAGGGCTCTATTAATGTGTTCTACCAAGAAAAGTTATACCTCTTTGCTATTCACATTTGATAATTAATTGATGTAATTGAAAGGTCAATTGAATAAGAGAATTTTTAAAATATATAATATGAAAAGTACTTTTGTAGTTTTTAATGGTCAGTTAGATGTAAATAATAGATAAATAAAAATGAGACCAAAAATACCTTACCTTTATACATTAAATGTTCTTTAAAGACCAAGAGAGGCCCAATATAGAGGAGGAGGAGTTGGGTTTATAATGGTGAGGAAGTACAATTGTTTTGTTTAGTATGCAGGTGATAGTGACATATGGGTCGGTGAATGGATCTTTAAGATTTCTTACTGAGTACTTGGGTAATCATTTTATTGATCCGTGATCATCCTTTTTCTATTGCTTTTGGGCAACATATACTTCATCTATCAGTTTACTTTGTTTTATTCTATACCTCTATGGATTATCATGTTTTATACTCAGGTGACCGTTAAGGCCCTTGGGCCTCTTGTATTGAATTTCTTTAGTTGCTGAGAATCTTTTAATTTTACACAAGAGAATAGCCAGTAAAATTTCTCAAGATTCTTAGATGTTTAAACATTTATTGTAGTTGCAACAAGAGGCAGTATACTCTACTTTCTGATTTGTGATATGAGTGTGGTGAACAGAATGTATCAAACATCATTGAAGCAGTTCTTGGGACTGTTTGATATATCAATGTCAAGGTAAGTGTTTCTCAATATTCAACATTTCAGTAATGGAGATTTAGGACAAGAATAGGTAAACAAGTTTTATTTTTACACTTCCCTTGAAAAAGGGGACGTTGCTTTTCCCCTGTCGGAATGTCAGTTGGTAGACCCAAGTGTTGTCTGCTCAATATCTAGAGAATCCTTTGCTTGACAGACTCAAACCGGGTACCCCCTAAAAAGTAGATGGCCTCTATTGATTTTGAGGTCACAAGGTCAAGGGTCAAACCTCGTTAGACATAGGAAGATTTTGTCTGTTCAGTATCTTGAGAACCATTTGCTTGACAGATGTAAAACTTGGTACATTGGTTTCCATTGAGGAGTAGTTGACCACTGTTTAATTTGACCAGTCACGGTAGCCTAGTGGTTAGGGTATTCACTTTATGATTGGGAGGCCTCTGTTCAATTTTTATTTGCAGTCCCACTTCAAACCTAAGAATGTAAATGTAGGTAGTGACTGTTTCTTCGCCAAGCACCCAGCATTAGAAGTGAAAATCTTGGGTCTTTCAGATGAGACCTTTTAAATCGAGGTCTCGTGTCATGGTAGGCATTGGCATGATAAAAAAAAACCCTCACTGCTCATTGACCTTGACTGCCAAGTATAGGTCTAAATTTGAAGCCCTTCACTGGTATATGGTGATGTCTATATATGAGAGAAAAATTCTCAAATGAAATGTAAAACAACATACAATCAATCAGTAAACTGTTTAATTTGAGGTCTTTAGGTCAAGGGTCAAACTGGACATAGGAATATATTGACTGCTCAATATCTAGAGTTCTAGCACTTTCCTTGACAGACATCAAACTTGGTACACTGGTTCTCCTTCAGGAGTAGATAACCCCTATTGCTTTTTGAGGTCACAAGGTCAAGGGCCAAACTGAAAATAAAAAGATTTTGACCACTCAATTTCTTGAGAACCATTTGCTTGACAGACATCTAACTTGGTAAATTGGTTTTCACCTAAGGATACTTGATACCGTAGATTTTAGGGATGAGTATCAACACACAAAAAATATACGATATATCAATATTTTTGATGTGTATCATGATAAGTTTTATTTTTCATTCAATGACATGTTCTAAAAAATGTTTTTAATTTCAAATAATTCCCATGCTTATAGAAACTGCCTAGTTAGGTCACTCTAACATTTATCTTTTCCCATTAATTGGTAATCATTATCGAGTGCTAGCTATGTTACAATGAAGTTAACATTACAATTTTACAGATCAGACAAGAGTCCAGTAACAGCAAAAAGAATTGGAAACATCATAGAGTATCTAACATTTGAGGTGTTTAGATATACTTGTAGAGGCCTCTATGAATCTCACAAATTTTTGTTCACCTTGCTTATGACTCTAAAGATCGATATGCAAACTGGAAAGGTGAAACCAGAAGAATTCCAAACATTTATAAAAGGTATAATATCTAAATTAAAAGAGCAATCGATCTTGTCAGAAATTCATCTGTGTTAATTTTTAAAATTCATTCCAAGTTTTAAACTCTACCAATCACAGCAGAGGAGCAAATAAGATAGTAAAATGTCCATCCATCTGTCTGTAAGTTATTTTCATAAACTGATACACAGATAAATTAAATCAGGATTACATAATTTAGAAAATCAATTTTCATTCTATTGATTTTTGTTGTCATGATTGCTAAAAATATAATCTTTGAATTTTAAATTTAAAAAAAAAACTATTACATGTACTTCCTCCAACAGTTTTGGCCCAATTTAAAAATAATCATGGTTGGGAGTTATTCTAGTAGGATTACATGGGAAACAGAATATTGGATTAATGTTTTACATGGGATATAAAGGAAGAAATCTTTTGAGATTGTTTTGAGAACAGCAAAGCCATGATTAGTCATATCAGAACAATGTACAGTAGCATCCTCAGATAGTGTAAATTCAAGTTTGTTCAAATCATGACCCCTGGGGATAGGGTTGGGCCACAACAGGGGATTAAAGTTTGTTCAAACTACAGCTGTATAACCCCCTAGGGAGGGAGGGGGGTGACCACTATCTATAAATTTAAACTTTTCAAATAATGAACTGGATTCTGCTCTTCTCTAGCAAAAGCATTCAAGTAAGTTATACAGTAAAACTCGTTTAGTACGAACACGGATATAGCGAATTCACGGGTATAGCGAATTTTTCTTGGATCCCCAGATATATAAATTTAACAAATTTCTTATATATGGATATAACGAATTATGAATATAGCGAAGTAATTTCACAGGTCCCAGTGACTTCGTTACAACCTAGTTTTACTGTATGGCCCATGAGCTTGTTGTCTGTTACACTAATGTAAGTACAGACCATTAGAGAGACCTTTAAGATACTTGCATCAGAAGCAAACAGTAGTGTTATGTACTAGCGATTTTTTTCTACCCTTTGGGAAAGGGTCCGGTACCGGTTCAATTGGGAAAAATAGCATTGAAGTAGAACAAAGGAGAATTTTCTGTCTTGTAAACGAATGAAATGTATTTTGCGTTTATTTCAACCTCATTACCTATTACTCGATGTTTTAAAGAATAAACAAGTATTTATTGTTTTCATATCAATGTCCCTTGTTTTCGCATTTTCATGCTTTCAATTTGTCAAAATGTATGACACTACGCTGTCTACACAACAGGTCCCACCATATTACGACTAGTCTCTACTTTCGATTTAAGCGGAAGTAAAAACAATTAGTCAACTTGTACATTGTTTCATATAAAAAGAAATACGATGTCATGGTAGTCTGTTGCTTGGCAGTGGAATTGGGAATTTTTAGTCTCAAAATTGGGAAAAATTAACGTTTTTTGCATTGTGAATGGTACCGTTTATCGGTACCAGTTATATAAGGAAAAAAAACGCTGTATACATATGATAACATATATCATGTATATAGGTGGTGCTGCACTTGACTTGAATGCTGTTATGCCCAAACCTTCAAAGTGGATATCTGATATGACCTGGTTAAATTTGGTGCAACTTAGTGGACTACCACAGTTTTCAGAAATTCTCAATCAGGTATCTTTACACTTTCAAATCTCTGTTCTATTTTAAAAAGCAAAGTTTCATCCTCTTCATATACATGTAATGTGTTATCATGTCCATCATTTCAGATTAGAAAAGGGTGTGTTGTGCCCCATTTCATGAAAGCATGGGGATAGTAAATCTCATTCATACATCTGTCTATTGGTCTATGGCAAAAACTTTAACCTTGGTCATAATTTCTGAATTTGATTTTGAGAAAAGATGGGGTGTTCATATCTCACATGTACATTACCCTTGACAAAACCTTTCATAATACATACTTTGATATTTGACCTCATGACTTTGACTTTGAAGTTTGACTTACTTTTAAAATATTTAAACTTTGGTAATAAATTTTGAATGATAGAAGAGGGGGCTTTCATATTTCACATGTGCATTACTTTTGTCACAGGCTTTTTGAGTGTTTTACGATTTTTGGACCTCATAATCTTGATGTTGAAGTTTAACCTACTTTTCAAAATTTTCACATTATTTTGTATTAAAGTATGACATGCGTATAATTGCTTTTAAAGGTGTCTAGAAATGAGAAGGCCTGGAAGAACTGGTTTGATACCGATGCACCAGAGGAGGAACATATTCCTGATGGTTATCATACATCATTAGATGCATATAGGAGACTTTTGTTAATCAGGTATTTTATCTCTAGTGATAAGCTGCAGGTTCAAGTAGCCATTCCCATAGCTCAGGTGATCTCTTTCTTTTCTTATTTGTCTTTTTTAAGTCATCAAATGTTGCTATTTGACAACATACAACAAAAAATTCATGAATAATATTTTTTTTAACCAGAGAAGTCTAGCTAATTCCTATTTGTATGTAGGGGTTGGGGGGTTGGGGTTGGGAGTTAAAAGTCTTTTATTAGAGGGGATAGACTTATAGGAAAGTGTACAAATTATTGATAAAACACTTATCATGATACAAAATTTTCACATTTTTATATATCAATTCAGAACTAAACAGCTCTGACACTAAAATGAAATACATAAAGTAAACATATTTGTATCTTATAAAATATTTTTTTTTTATTTTACACACATACATTCAGTCACAGAAAAATAGATTTTATGTGTTCATTGACAATGCAAGTGATAAATGTAAAGAATAAAATTGATTAACAGTGAAATTGGAAATAGATATATTTCAAAAGTATCAACAATTGTAATTTCAGGTGGCATATTTATTTATCCACTGTTTTTGGTTAATTTTATATTCACTCATAATGCATAACCTTATGAAGAAACATGCTTTGAATAATTTTAAATTGTTGTTATGTCCAAGCTTATACATGTATCTACCCTTGCCCAAGCATGAAATTTTGGTAAAACTAAGCTCAAGTGTAAAGTTACACTCTTTGATAAACGCAAATTGGTCTGCAATTTTTACACTTAAATTGTCCCAGATTTACAACTTCTGTGTGCAGGTCCATTGATATGGTGTCCCAATAGGGCCATTTGTGGAAGTGTAACAATGCCATGGTGTGAAACAACAGTGTGCTAGCTCGAAGTGATAAGGCGCTTGCACATTGTTCACACATGACCCGTGTTGTCACTTCACATTAGCACATTGTTACTAATGTGCTGTTATGCTTTAGCAAGTGACAGTGTGAAGTACGTGACATGGCAACATGTTGTTACTAATGCATTGTTACACTTTTGCAAATGGCCCTATCAGGACACCATAATATGATGAAATGGGGACCAAGTAATTGACATTTTATGTAAAATTTGTGTCTTTCAGATAAACATAAAAATTTTCAGTAAGCTAAAGTTTTGGATACTGTAGAACACTTTTCATTCGCGAGAACTTTATTTTCGCGTAATTATGCAAAACTGTCTGCTCACGAACACTTAATCCTTGCGTATATTTGTAGTACAAAAAATTATATAGAATAATAACCAGAGTTTGTGAATATTATGTCTCGCTTATAAATACCAAATGGCCATCTCGCGAAATTAAAGTATAGCGAAAATTTGGTGATCTACAGTATTTCGTCTTTTTCTTATAATTTCATGTGGAAAGATGCCTGTTTCTCTTTATTATTAATTCTGCATTTGCCTACACAATTGTCATATAAGTCTAATTGTAGGCTTAGAAAAACTTTATTTTTATTTCATTTTCTTTCTTTCAAGATCTTGGTGTCCAGACAGAGCCATTCCACAGGCCAGGAAGTACATAGCTGACTCCATGGGTCCAAGATATGCAGAATCAGTCATCCTTAACTTGACGCAGACCTGGGAGGAGAGTGACATCAGAACACCTCTTATTTGTCTTCTGTCAATGGGATCCGACCCCACCAATCAAATTGAGTCTTTGTCAAAGAAAGTTCATTTAGGTAATGCATTTAACCAGTGTTTTCTAGTGGGGCTGAATCAATATTTCATTATTGAAATTCTTTCTTAACACTACTTCTCCTACAGTTTTGATCTGATATCAATACAACTTGAAATACAGTAGACTACAATAAGAAACATAATTCTGATTATTGGTTTCTGATTTTGAGACTAAACCAAGGATCATTATTTTATTGATTGCTGTTGCAAAGTTTCAAGTCCAAGTGCTACTTTTCTCTTTCTTTGTTATAAGTACAAACCAGTAGAGCTACAGACTTGTCAGAGACTTCTGGTTTTAATTTATTATTAAGATAAGGCTCTACTTTATTAAATAAAAATTTTAAAAAATGCAATTTTCGAGTAGATTTCCTATAAATAGCAGGCAAATTCCTACCCATCATGCTTCTCTGTGGGAAAAAAAACCAGGATTGTTTAGCAACCTTGAATGAAAATAAGAAATCTGTATTTCACTTTCTGGTGTCTAAATGCAAAGAAAGCAAAATTCCAAATAGTTTAGTTTACAACAAAAAAATTAATTTTGACTAGGAAAACTGTAGAAGCACAAATTTTCATGGGGATAAAATTTTGTTGATTTGTCATCTAAAAAGGGCATTTAGTTTTGTTGTTTTGAAAGTAACCCTATTCAATATATAGTGATATAAAAAAAAATTGTGGAAATAAATTTTTTTGATAATTGCTAACAACGAAATAAACAAAATTTAATTCCTAATGAATATTTCTGCTTTTACAGCTGGTAGCCAAGGATTGTCTGTTTACTTTATTTAATAAATGAATACCATTGAACAAGTTGAGCATTTGAAGATTAATGACATGTTAGAAAATAAAGTTAAAAAGCTTTTAAAAGATACACCTTTTTACATTTTACTCAAATTTCTAGTTACAATATAGACAGTGGGAGAAAATTTATTATGAAACAGTCACTGTGTTAAATTTACAGATTGCCTTGAAAGTCTGGGCACCAAAACAAAATACTCGTTTTTCAATGCCATATACAGTCAAACATCCTTATCTCAAACTCGATAGGGCCATTGAAAAACTTATAGATATCTTAGTATTTGAGATATCAAGTTAAAATACTTGGAGAGTAAGTACTTGGGACTTCCAAATTACTTTGAAATATCCCTGTATTCGAGATATCAGTGTTCAAGATACTGAAGTTCGGTTGTATATACATATTACATAAACATATATATCTTGTATGTAGTCTCAATCATCAAACAATTGTGTTGAAGGTGATGACCCCATGATGAAGCTTCCTGTTTAAATTTGTTGTCACACTTGTAGCATAATAAACAAATACTGTGAAATCATTTTAATTTGTCAATGTCAATGGGTCAAAGTTCGTGGGCAAGCAAAATTTAACTTGTTCATGCATGTGGACATAATTTCATTGCAGGCTTCGACATTAACATTAGTCTGTTAGTCTCAGACTAATACATTTTCATTCGGACTAATAAAATCTGTGGCTAATTAGTCCGAACGGACTAATAAAAATTTCTGGAAAAAAATAAATAAATTACCAATGTTCGATTCTCGACAACTTTCACTGGAAAACCCGGCATGTATTTTTAGCTTTCTAGTTTCTTGGCAGGAAGTTAGGTAATTCCAAGTCAAATCAGTGCTCAATTTTAGGACTGATTGATATGAAATTAAGCATTTTAGCGATCATGTTTTAGTATGACACATAAAGAAAGATGTCGGATGTTTGGATGTATTGGATGTAATATTATGTATAGAGAAAAACGAACGAGATCGGGAATACGATCGTAGTTCCTGATCATGAGGTTTCAACGAATCTTGGAATAAAACATTTCATGTAAATGCTTTGTTTATTTCAAAAAAAGTATAAAAAGAACATTGCAATGTTTATTTTTAAATTAACTGTTACAAAACATTGATCAGGCCTGTGGGAAGCAATTTCAGTTTGGGGGGGGCACAGTCATACATTTTTCAGTTGGCAGTTGAGGGGGCAGTACCAAAAATTTCCTGACAAGCAAAAAAAAAAAAATTAATAAATAAAAAAAAATAAAGGTCATCAGGCATTTTTATTGAAGGGGCACAAGCATATAGTATCTATGTTAACTATAGTTCCCCCCCCCCCCCCCCCCCCCCCCCCCCCCCCCCGTTTCTTCGGCCATGTTGATGGTTTTTTTGGTGGACTCATAAAATCGCATGCGGACTAGTAAAAGTAAAGAAGCACTAGTCCGGCTGGACTAGAGCCTAAAAATATTAGTGTTGAACCCTGCATTGGTTACTTGTTGATATATTATAAATATAATGTATTATCAGTGATGACTCTCTTCTGATATTTAACAGAATTCCGCTAAATTGAATCCAAGAATCCGATATTTATGAGTGTTTTCCGATATTTCGAATTTTGCAGCAATCCATTTTTGTTTTTGTTTGGGTAAAAACTAAAATATTCGAGTTGTTTAGTCCATGTTTTGATCCAGAAAGAGCCCACTAACTTTTTAGAAAAGCTTTGTACAATGAAGGAAGCATTGTTTTCACAAAGACTATGTGGGTTCTCTTGTTTTAAGTAACCTTATTGAAAGATAATGTAAGACGTGAAGTATGCATAGAGCTTAATAAAATCATCACAGCTTGACATTATAATCTTTCTATAATGTTAAATGAATTTTAAAAACCTTAGCCACTGTTTATTTATTTATGCACAATTATGTATATTGAAAACCTGTCCCACTTCTATGCTTATATGGACACTTATTGCACCTCTATCGTTGAGCTACTCTCTCAAAACTTTATAGCGTGTGATGTTTCCTTTATCTATATAGAGAATGTAGAGAGTTTTCTTTACTGAATATAAAATAATGCATCACAATCCAATGTGACATCATAATATAACATCACAATGTGCAGCATGAACATGTGACCACTGTATGATAATTTAATAACTAAATAATAACATACCTACAGTGAATAGACCCAAGTGAGAAAAATTAAAAGACTCGACTTATTCCTGTTCGCTCCTTGGGGAGCAAAGGGCCGCTTTGCGGTTTCTGTAGCATGGGCTTTTTTTATGGGATGGAGTTGCTAGCCCCATGCCCAACCCCCTGGACCCAGAGGACCGGTGGTTTTCTGTTGGGGTTTTCCTTCCCCTAGTCACTGGTTCCAGTTATTTAGAGGCGCCCGAGTCTCACCTTCCGCCACTGTCACTCAGCTGCCGAAGTATTTCCAGGGTCACCAAAATGGGGAGGTGTGACGTGACTTGCTGGCAGAACCTATTTGGGCATTAACTCGAGGTTTTAGTGATGACACCTAGTGACATTTAGTGGCATCCCTCGAGACCCATACCAGCATTTGACCCCAAAATTAAAAGAACCATACCAATATCTTCAGAAAAGGACACCAACCTTGGAACATGAATGAGAAGTGCTCGAGCAATGATTGTAACATGGAGCACACCTCAGTCAGCAGCACTGTGTGTCATCTGGATAAAATGTTCTACGAAGCCTCCTTAAGGAAGTACAGTGGGCCTCCAGACATCGTTCTGTGCATAAAAAAAAAAAAACAGATAACAGAAAAGGAAATGTGAAAAATCCTCTGAAAATATAATTGTAAATGTTGAAAATTTGCAAGACTATTTCAAACTGTGCATGAATCATAACTGTTAAAGACCAGGTGGTGTCAAAACATCAATTGTCGAAAGAAAAGAAATGTACATATATCTCTGCAAACCACATGTAACAACTGTTTCTTTGAAACAAAGCCACACAAACCGTACAAAAATTGCAGTAAGAACAGAAGAAGTCCTGCAGCAGGATGTTTAAATGAAGGACTTTCAATGGTACCATTAAAGTAAAAAGAGGAAGGTACAGATCATCAAATGTTGATGGCATTTCTAGATAATAGAGGCCCAGGTTTAACAAACATCAACAATAAAATCAATAAGCAGTGTGAAAAAATGGTTAAACTTCATCAACATGGAATGATTGCAACACAGAGGTTTGCTGTGGAGGTAGCAACCTCATTTGGAAAAGGAAATCCCATTGACCAAGAAACAGACACGTTACAACAACCACAACCAAGCCGGCTGTGAAGCCAATCTGCAATCATTCAGTCTGGTTATTGAAAAAAGGACTAGTCATAATCTTCCTGTAAACAAAATATGTTCAAAAATGTAGAGTTGTAAGTATGAGGAAAACAAATGTTCTATGACTTGTAACACTAATAACTTCATTTCTTCCAGTGAAGCTAAACTTGCAATCAAAAACAAGAAAATTCATGATTCCTAAATACTAACAATAAACTCCTTGACCAGTGATGCAAATGCCCAAATAAGCAAAGTCGTTAAGGAATTTGGTTAAAAAAAAAAAAATAGAAAAGAAATGGTAACACTATCAGTTTTGTACATAGATTATGTACCATTCAGAAAAAAAAAGCATGTTTCTTAAAACTTCTGGCAGGTTTTCCCCCAAAAATTAGCAATATATATTCTCAAGTGAGACAAGAGTTGTACCCTGAAACACTTGAAAATGCAGAACAAAAGAAATCTTACTGTTACGGGACGTATTCACAGAAACACACTCTGTCCCATATTACTTTATTAGTAAAAGGCTAAAAACAAAGCAAACAATAAATTCACAATGAATTGATAAAATGCACAAATGCAGACTAAACAATTCAGAATTTTCAATTATGACAATTGAATAATGTATTTCCATAGTTTTCTGATGTTTTGTAATAAAGATTGTAACTGGTTCCCATATTTTTTTTTATATCTATTGGCTACCACGTGTATCATGTTTGTTTATTCTAATAAAAATAAAGCTTACTGTCGTGTAAAATTATGAAGAACAACAAGGGTTTGATTCATATAGGTAAAAACAGTGTTATATTGTATGCATATACAACATTTCGATTGCAAACATCGCAGTACACAAATCTGTGCACTAGACAGAAAATAGGTCATGTCAGCAAATCGACAAATTGAGAAATTGTGCATCTTCACACAAAATGCATTCTTATGCATCCAAGTACAATAATATATTACCTAAGTTTATACAACTAAACGGTTCCAATCCCACTGTGGGACATGGAGACTGGTCCTTCAGATGAGATCGTATAAACCGAGGTCCTGTGTCGCAGTAGCTCTATGGCCCTGAGTGCTGAGCATAAGTCAAAATTTGCAGCTCTCCACCAGTAAGTGGTGGAGTATGAGTGAAAAATTCTTGAGAGGGGCGTTAAACAACAAACAAACAAACTAAACCATTTTAATTAAAAACTTACACTATGGCTCTTGATAAATCTATTACCTAAGTTTATACAACTAAACCATTTGAATTAAAAACTTACAGTATGGCTCTGCATAAATCACTGCAATTCTCTTTTGACATCGTGCTTGGCTCTTAATTGCCAAGTGAACATAGCAAAAACAAAAGTAATAAAATAATCAAATTGAACATCAAATGTTTTGTTAATGTCCCACTTACGGTCCATGAGGTTTTAATCACACTCACACATGTACTTGGATTTCTTAAAATAAATCTTTCTATGACTTGTGGTCGGATCAAAGATTCAGAAAAGTAAAAATTCTTGCCTGGGCCATTACTTTGAAAGTAATTACACAGTTTAAAATGGTATTTGCCAAAATGGTCACTTTGTGACCAAAGTTGATTTCAACCTACCTAAGGATATGTCATGACTCTGGAATGAGGTCATAACCACAGGGATGGAATGTAAAACTCTAACAAGATATAGCCTTATTATGGAGGAAGTTCAGGAGGTCTTATTGAACACATTGCTCAAGACCAAGAGGTCTAAGTCATCTGCTGCAGAAGTTAAAATCTTGTTTTGGGCATGATATTTTAATGCTAAACTAAGAAATGTGACTTAAGTGAGCTCTGTGATCAATGCAGTATAGGCTCTCTTTTTATGTACCATGCTATCACTTAAATTGTGTTCTTTTTATGCCCTTTTACAAATATTTGAATGCTAGAACTGTTATGTTTACCCATTTTACAATGCACTCCTACATTATTATGTACTAACAAAATGTTATTTTTCCACAAAGATTTTAGGGCTATTTCTATGGGTCAGGGACAGGAGGTTCATGCTAGAAAATTAATTGCTCAGTTCATGCATACTGTAAGCTTGTTGAGAATTTTGTGTTGATTGCATAGTTCTTGTTTACATTTTATTTTTATATTCATTGAATTTGCTTTTTTCCCTGATGGGTGCACTTGTTTTATGTTAATTACCTATAGATGGTCCAATTTCAATTAAACTTGGTACACAAGTAAACTACAGAATAATACATAATTGAGCATATATCAGTTTTAGATTTCTACTTAAGGTTGCCATGCTTACATAAAGAATTGTGTAATTTTCACAAAACATTTGGTTTAACATTATCTAGAAGAATACTTTACCGAGATACTAAACATATTGTGTATATTAAAATCTAATTTCTACAGTAGATTATATCTTGATAACTAAAAGAGGAAATTTTTGTGAAATTCTTTTAAAATCTATAGTTTTTGTCTGATTTCAGTAAAATCTGGTACACAAAATGACTTCACAAAGCTATATAATTCAATTTATCTAATTCTGATTTCAACAAACTATATTGCAATGGTTATACTAATTAAGATATAAATACAAAGGACACATTCCTGCTTTATTTAAGCTGAAGTAAAAGATCATACATTTAAAATTGATGTCTGTTTTCAGGGTGGATGGGCATTGTTACAGAACTGTCACTTAGGTCTGGATTACATGAATGAACTGTTAGATACAGTGACAGATACACCACAAGTTAATGATGCTTTTCGGGTTTGGATTACAACTGAAGAACATGCTGGATTTCCAATCAGTCTTCTGCAGGTACATTATCAGGAACTCAACAACTGTAAATTTTTTAATAATGAGAACTTTATTTTCGTGTAATTATGAAAAACTGTGTTTGCTCATGAACATTTCATTCTCATGTATAATTATTTCATTAAAAATTATATACAGCAATTACTGTAAGGGGATTAATTTCACGGGTTGTAATTTTCACGTTTTTCTCTCCTCGGACACAATCGCGGTTTGTTGAATTCGCGGAATTGGTATATAATTTCCAAATAAAACACTGAGGTTAATATTTAAAACTTATTCACTGTTTCTTGAATTCACGGATTTATTAACACCGTGAATATAGCGAATATTAACACCGCGAGTTATTTTCCCCCTATACAGTACCTAAATTTGTGAAAATTTTGTCTGTCCTTTAAATACTTGATAACTATCTCATGAAAAAAAGGTATTGAAAATTTGGTGATCTACAGTACTTTGAGCAAAAAACAAAAAAAAAAGATGAATGAAGACTTTTCTTTGTTCATGGCATCTGGATATTTATCTTGTATAGTTTTTTTTCCCCTCAACAACAGACATCTATTAAATTTACAAATGAACCACCCCAAGGAATCAAGGCAGGATTGAAGAGAACTTATGCTGGAATTACTCAAGACTTTCTTGATGTTAGCAACATGGTTCAGTGGAGACCTATGCTCTTTGCCGTATCCTTTCTCCACACTGTTGTCCAGGTTTGTTTTGAAATAGACAAATTTTCAAAGGGATTTATAAATATTCTAAAATATAAGAAATATCATCAACTATGCCATTTTTAGGAAAGAAGAAAATTTGGCCCTCTTGGTTGGAATATCCCATATGAGTTTAACTCGTCAGACTGGACAGCCAGTGTGCAGTTTGTCCAGAATCATCTGGATGATTTGGATGTTAAAAGGGTATGGTTTGATTACATTTAAGTTTGGCAATCTACAGAGCAGTGCTTCAAGTCACACTTACTGTCAGGTAGCTAAATGGCAAACTAAAATATTTTTTTTAAATAATATATTATCAAAACAAATATTTCACTCGCCATGGCAAAAACATTTTTTGAATAACATTTAGTATAGTATAAAAAAAGGAACACTTGTATATATGTATTATGCCTTTATTAAATCAAAGATTACTTATTAAAGTGACTAAAAAGCTTTCTAGGTTGAAGAAACATTTGAAATATTGTTATTACATACAACTGGTGCCCATACATGTTAACCTACTGAGATGAAAAAGGGGGAGATTCAGACCTCAAAAAGAGGTAGCATTGTGCCTGGTGTTTTACGCTTCAAGACATATATCGATATATAAATAAAGCCTTAAATTACCACTGGAATAATTAAAATCAAAACTCAACTGCAATGAAGTAGACAAAAATACCATTTACATAAATTATACAAATAAATATTTTTTATGCTCATCACAATAGCTTTGAGTGCTGCTTTTAGCCTTTTGAAGGAAGATCTCCAGGAAGCAATAATTGTCATTACTCAATGTTCATTTAGTTGCCAAATACAGCAAATAATGTCATTATACTATTCATAAAACTTAGTTTGTACAGGATTATCTTTACAAAAGATTTAGATTTCCCATGATGACCAAAAGTGAAAGTAGAAATGCAAAATAAATATTAAATAAATGCTGATTCCCATTTTTACTTTATGAATGAGGTCAAAAGGTTTCATGCAGGTTCTAGAATACTGTCTCTTTCTTGGCTAGGATGTCAATGAAATTTATCTCAACCAATTCAATCACAGAAATGTGTGCATCTGTCGTCAAACACATGCTTAAAATTCGTGTAAACATTAGAACGAAAAAAGCATTCATGTGTTCCAAGATTCAAATCATACAATATGTAAAAAAAAACAAAGAAGATTTTATGACCGAGTAGTTTAAAAAAAAAATGGCTACCCAATCAAACCAAAAATGGAAAAGCCGTAGATTTTTAAATAAAAGAGGTAGGTGGGAGATCGGGTAAAAAAGCGGTAGACTTCACCCAAAGCAGTAGTCTAGTAAGAGTTTACATGTATGCTGGTGACCCCTATGGTTATACACAGAACACAGGTGATGTGTGCATAAGGTGGACACCTGAAGCTATTGAGACAGACCTTTGCCAGCTGTTTGCCATGTTTACTTTACGAACAATTGCTGTTAATGTCATCGAAACACTCCTAATTAGTTGTGATTTGCTAGCAGTTAACCAAATACTTCACTAACAAGAGTGCATTGTACTTGTTTTTGTGAATTAAGGGAATATCATGGACAACGGTTCGCTACATGCTTGGTGAGGTGCAGTATGGTGGGAGAGTCACAGATGATTATGACAAGAGACTTCTTAATACATTTGCAAGGGTAAGATACCTACTAGATAATTACTGTAGATCCCTTATTTTTTGCGAGTACTGTAGATCACGTTTTATTCGCGAGAACTTTATTTTCGCGTAATTACGCGAGATAACCTGCTCACAAAAATTTATTTCTCGCATATATTTGTAGTACAAAAGATTATATAGAACAATATTCAAAGTTCGTGAAAATTATATCTCGCTTATAAATACCAAATGGCCTTCTCGCGAAATTAAAGTGTCACCAAAATTTGGTGATCTACAGTACTTATTGTTGCAAAATGGCTCTTTACCGTCAAATTGAGAGATCAATAGTTCACCAGTGGGCACTTAATTAAGAGACTTTCCATGGATTTTTGCACCATAAAAATAAAAGCTACTAATTTTATTTCGCCAGTGGTGTTTCTCCCAAAATTACACGATAATTAATACTTCTTGTATATTTAGGAATCTACAGTATGTATGAAATAGCTTTATGTGTGTGTGTTTGTTTTAAAGTTTGTTTTATTTTACATTCTGAAGGTGTTACACCAAGGTGTAAAATGCGAAGTTGTGCACTGATATTAATTAAATAGTTTTGTACTTATAAGTGAAGTTTTGTATGATAAGCAAAGGATGAAGTTACAATATGTTTAATGCAGAGTTTCTCTGAAACTGATCTTCTTATCATCATTAAAATCCTAGAAAATGAGAAAAATAGAAACAAATTAAGCAACCTCTTATTAAATCCAAGCTTGTAAAAGAATCTGGCAGGAATTTTTTTTTTCTTTTAGGTATGGTTTGGGGATTTCATGTTCCAGCCAAACTTCCAATTTTATATTGGATACAAAATACCAAACATGAAATCTCTAAGTGATATCATGAACTTCATAGCAAATTTGCCATTGGTGGATTCTCCAGAAGCTTTTGGGTTACACCCAAATGCTGATATTACGTGAGTTTAATTTTGCAATTTAATTGGGGGGGGGGGGGGTTGTTACACTAAAACATGCCTACAGATTGTTAATTATTGTCAAATAATAAAGATTTGATTGCCCTTTGAACTAAGTAGCAATACATTAGGGCTTTGTAATGTACACATTTGGGGGGAAAAACTGAGTAAATATCAACACACAGACCTCTCTTTTACCAATACAGTTGAAAAACACCCCTAAAGATTCAAAGGACGCTTGGTCTAAGGTCGAAGCTAAAGATTATTTATTTTTGAGCAGATTATGGTGGCTGTCTAAAACTGTCAGCTTTTAGAGTATGTCAGATTATCCTTCAAATACAGCTCAAAAATTTTACCATTTTTGTAAATGCCCCACAACGTTAACATTTTTGTTGCAATGTTATCATCTTTGATCAGTAGATTTATGTTCTAATGAACAAGTTGGCCAAAATTTGATATGGAAGATATATGAGGGGATGCTTACTCCTCCTAGACACCTGATCCCACTTCTGGTGTTTCCAGGGTCTGTTCACGATTCATTTTGTTTACCTGATTTATGAGATTGATCACTGTTATCTTCACTTTTATGTGACATAAGTATAACAAGGTAAAAAAAATCCTAGTTAGTGGGAAGTATTCATTTTCATGTTAAATATTTTTGGCTTTTCATTTGAAATAAAACTTATTTCAGATATCAAACAAACTTATCCAAAGATGTTCTTGATACAATAATGAGCATTCAGCCAAAAGACAGTGGAGGTGGAGGAGGGGAGACAAGAGAGAGTGTTGTCTATAGACTTTCTACTGATATGTTGTCCAAACTTCCTGTTGATTACCTGCCTCATGAGGTACTATTTGGAAGGGACTGACTTTGGGAAGAGTACTAAAAGAACTAGAAATATCTTTTTATGGCCCCGGATCGAAAGATCCTGGGGGTATATTGTTTTTGTCCTGTCTGTCTGTTTGTCTGTCTGTTGTCAACTTTAACCTAGCCCATAACTATTGCGGTATCAAGGGTAAGGCTTTAATATTTGACATGAGTGTTCATTATGACAAGACCTTTCCATTGGTACAGAAATTTTTGATCATGTGACCTCAACTGTGACCTTTGACCTACATTTGAAAAACTTTAACATTGGCCATAACTATTGCACTGTAGTCTATGTCCCACTCCAGAATTGTGTTACCATCGGGGGCATAATGTTTCACAAACACATCTTGTTTATAATATTTTCATCGTAACTTGTGCACTCGTACATACACTTAAACTTGTTTAGAACAAACACATATAAAGGTGAATTTATAGGGATAGTGAACTTTTTCTGGAGACATTGCAAAATTCTTTACCATTTTTTAAATAAAAATTTTACATTTATAACAAACATTGATACATGTATAACAAATTCATGAATATAGTGAATTTTTATCCTCTGGAGGTTAAATGTGAAAAATTTTAAATCATTTAAGCAAATTTTTGAGATCTCAAGATTTTAAATATTGAACTGACATTATTTTTCGCATTTATATTTGAAATTTTAATTCATCTTAAAGCTTTTGTAAACCCCAAGGTAATTTTGTATTCGAAAATACTTCCTGAGAATATTTGGTAGTATTATTTAAAGGAAAATGTGTATATTTTCAAATTTGTTTTAACAAAATCATTATATGGATATAACAATACAGATATAGCAAAGTAAATTCACAGGTTCTCAGGACTTCCATATAACCATATATCCATTCCATATATACGATATAATTTTATTGTACAAATGAAAACCATTCAACTGTGTCATTATTTTCTGACCTTCACATTCTCTATGACCTTGATTGTACTTTACCTTATTTTCCATTTATCTTGATGAGAAACTGTTGAAGATATTTTATCAAGCTTCATACAAAGATGCAAACTGGTAAAAGCTTTTTAACTGTGTCATTATTTTCTGACCTTGAACCGACTTTAACCCTCACTTTTCCTCATTTTGCATTTGTCTTCATTTCAAAGAAACCAGTTAAGATATTTACATCAAACTTCATACAAAGATACAAATTAATAAGTGCTGTTCACCTGTGTAAAAATTTACTGACCTTGACCTTCCACATGACCTTGACTTCACTATTGTTTTCATTAAGCAAAGTTCAGAAGAAACTGTTAATACTTGCCTCAAACTTTATACACTAATACACACTGGTGAGAGCTATTGAACTGTATGTGTAATAATTTTTCTGACCTTGTCCATTCCTTTATGACTTTGACCTTCCCATGTCATTGAATCACTTTTTAAGATTTTTTTTTTTATCAAACTTCGTATACTAAGATACATATTGGTGAGAGCAATTTACCTGTATCATTATTTTCTTACCTCAACCTTTCAAATGACCTTGATTTTGCTATTCCTTCATTTTGCAGTTACCTAAGTTCTAAAAAAAATGTTAAAGATCTTTCCATATTACTTTGTATACTGATATAAACTAGTGTCAGGAATTCAATTTTGTCATAATTTTTACGTTGACCTTCTTTTTGACCCTGAATGTCTTTTTTTCCCCTTATATTGATCTTAGTTCATTACATTTTTTGATACAATAAGTCCTCTATAAAATGTAAAATTCTTGTCACATCATTGAGAGTTCCATTCCCAGATAGAGCTAAGTTAGAACCTTGTTTTCAGGTGACCAAAGTATTTTTTGTTGTATTATTGAATTTTCAAAATTCTGCAATCATTTTGAAATTTAATTAGAACCAATTCTACACATACTTCTTTGTTTTTCAGGTTAAAGATAGATTGAAAAAGTATGGAAACCTGCATCCTCTTAATATTTTCTTAAAGCAAGAAATAGATAGGATGCAACGTGTAATTTCTACAGTTCGTGTCACTCTGACAGATCTAAAGTTAGCCATTGATGGTACAATCATTATGTCTGAGGTAGGATTTTCTATGTGTGTGTGTAATAATGTATATATTTAGGCTGAAGTGTATTTTCTTAGTGTTATTCTTTCTTTTCATTTTTATGAGGTTTTATGTAAAGGATACAATGAAAATTACATCTAATATACCCTTTATGATCATATTTGGAGGGTTTACTAGAATCATATTTCTTCCAATCTGTTAAACATTTTTTTCCAAGGATTTTATTTTAAACCAATAATATTTTCAAATTATATAGAAATAAAATAAACATGTATATGTACGTAGATGACCATAGGCACATAGTAATTTCAGATTGAATTGTGAATGTTTAAAAAAAGAAAAAGAAAAAGAAAAAACAGGAGGCCCATTGTCCTGAATGCTCACCTGAGTAACTTTGGTTGTTCTTTACCAAATTTTCCCCCTTGTAATACCTATTGTGGCCTTACCCTACCCCCAGGGGTCATGATTTGAACAATTTAAAATCTACACAACCTCAGAAAGCTTCTTCGTTAAGTTTCAGCTTTTCTGGACCAGTGGTTCTTGAGAATATTTTATAAGGATTTTTCTTGCCTATAAATTTCAATGTAAAACATGGATTCCCTAATGTGACCCTACTCTACCACAGGGGTCATGATTTGAACAATTTCGAATCTTCACTACCCCAGGATCCTTCCACATAAGTTTCAGCTTTTCTGGCCAAGTGGTTCTTGAGAAGAAGATTATTAAAAAAAAATTTTCCTATATATTTCAATGTTCCCTGTTGTAGCCCCACCCTACCCCCGTGGGTCATGATTTGAACAACTTAGAATATACACTTCCTGGGGGATGCTTCCATATAATTTTCAGCATTTCTGACCCAGTGGTTCTTAAGAAGAAGATTTTTGTATGACCCCAACCTATATTTGTCTTTTCTTGATGGGCTAGGCCCTTCAATTTGACAATTTGAACTCCCCTTTAACCAAAGATGGTTTGTACCAACTTTGGTTAAAATTGGCCCAGTGGTTCTTGAGAAGATGAAAATGTAAAAAGTTTACAGACATGCGGATGGACCGATGACAGACAACGGGTGATCAGAAAAGCTAATAAAAAAAATAAAATACAGCTTTCTGACAGTTTTATTGTGTGTCAGGAAAAAGAAGAGTAAAATTTGTATTATTATCTTTGATATAACTTTGAAACCAAGAAGCTTTAGAAGCTTCCTATCAATACTTGATACAAGTTCACATGTGACCCCTATAGGTTTACCATGACCATCTACTAAGATTAATGGACAAGGTCACAGGTATTGAATTATTGTTCTAGCCATATAACTTTGAAATGGAGAAAAATTGTAGACTTGGGTTGCTTGTGACTGGAGGATATATTCTGACATAACCAGGGATAGTTTGGTCAAGGTTCTATGGGGGTAAACTTTTATCACACAATATCTACATAATAATGTTAATAGGGAATATATTTAAAACAAAAGATTTTCAAGAACAAATTCAATATAATGGACTTGTCTGTGTAGGATATATGTTGAATATGTAAAAACTTGCTTTGTTACCACAAAAAGGGTTTTCAAATGTTATTGATGTTTTTAGTAAAAATAAGTACTGAGCATTGTGGTTTATGGTTTCTTGATTTCAATCACTTGATGACAAATTTTAGAATCTTCGAGATGCCCTTGACAACATGTTTGATGCAAAAGTCCCCAGTTTATGGAGAAAAATATCTTGGCAGTCATCAACATTAGGATTTTGGTTCACGGAACTTTTGGAGAGAAATGACCAGTTCTCTACATGGGTTTTTGTTGGAAGACCAGATTCTTTCTGGATGACAGGATTCTTCAACCCTCAAGGTTTGAAAGACCTTAAACATTTCTTTATTATGAATCCTTTCATATTTAGAGCTCTTTAAAAGTTTAAAAAGAGATTAACAATAACTATTAGACATTTTATCCATTTTGATTATTATTTTCATTAACATTATCACACTAGTGTATACTTTCTGACGTATGTCCTATTATATTGATGTTGACCTACTCATCATGGTCAGTTGTCTGTTAACTATTTGAACATTTACAGTTCTCTAGAACCACTCAACAAATTTCAACCAAGCTTTGTGTATAGCACCTATGAGCAAAGGGGGACAAAATTTGTGAATATCATGCTCCCTTTCCCCCTGGGGCCTGAGGGATGGGGCCAAAACCATCAAAATTAATGCAACCTTTAAAAATCTTCTTTACTCCTGGACATCAAGAGGTCACATCTTAGCATGATTATAATGAGCATTGAGCCCTCTTCCAAAATTGAGAAATTCATGGCCCCTGGGTCAGGGATTCTTTTGCTAGGGCAGGGCTATATTGACAATAAAATGAAAATGCATGAATTCTTTAAATAATTTCATCTCTCCCTGTATATTTAGCAGACAAACTAAGTGCATGGTTATAATGAGCAAAAGTAATTTACCTTTACCTAAATTATGAAATTCATGTCCTCAGGTTCAATGGATGGTTTTAAGGCTGGGCTGTCTTAATCATGTTAATCAAGTATTCACCAAAATGTGAACAAGAGGCCCATGGGCCACATTGCTCACCTGAGCACATTGGCTAGGGAAAAAAAGCAAAAATCAGTACAGTATTGAAAAGTTTACAGGGAGGGGGTGTTGAATTTTAAACTACCTGATGATGTTTTCATATCAATATAACAAATGGCTTTGTTGTTCTTGAGCAGCAGATTTTTTTCCCATATATTCATTTGTAAAAATTTGATCCCCCATTGTGGCCCTACCCTACCCCCGGGGGCTCTTATTTGAACAAATTTCATTCTACACTACCCAAAGATGTCTCCATATCAATTTGACTAATCATGGCTTTTCTGTTCTTGAGAAAAAGACTTTTTCCTATATATTCCTCTGTAAACTTTGATCACCCATTGTGGCCCCAACCTATCCCTGGGGTAATGATTTGAATAAACTTGAATCTTCACTATCTGAGGATGCTTCCATATAAATATGACCAATCATGGCTTTACTGTTCTTAAGAAGAAGATTTTTAACGATATTTTCCTATATATTTCTATGTAAAACTTTGATCCCCAATTGTGGCCCCACCCTACCCCCGGGGGTTATTATTTGAACAAATTTGAATCTTCACTACCTGAGGATGCTTCCATATAAATATGACCAATCATGGCTTTACTGTTTTTAAGAAGAAGATTTTAGAGATATTTTCCTATATATTTCTATGTAAAATTTTGATCCCCAATTGTGGCCCCACCCTACCCCTGGGGGTTATGATTTGGACAAATTTGAATCTTCACTACCTGAGGATGCTTCCATATAAATATGACCAATCATGGCTTTACTGTTTTTAAGAAGAAGATTTTTAGAGATATTTTTCTATATATCATTGTGGCCCTATCCTACCCCCGGGGGTCATGATTTGAACAAACTTGAATCTACACTACCTGAGAATGCTTCCATAAAAATATGACCAATCATGGCTTCTTGTTCTTAAGAAGAAGATTTTTAAAGATATTTTCCTATATATTTCTATGTAAAACTTGGATCCCCCATTGTGGCCCCACCCTACCCCCGGGGGTCATGATTTGAACAAACTTGAATCTACACTACCTGAGGATGTTTCCACATAAGTTTCATCTTTCCTGGCCCAGTGGTTCTTGAGAAGAAGATTTTTAAATGATGCCATTATTTTTTCACTAATTCCTAATTATCTCCCCTTGAAAGAGGGCGTGGCCCTTCATTTGAACAAACTTGAATCCCCTTTACCCAAGGATGCTTTGTGGCAAGTTTGGTTGAATTTGGCCCAGTGGTTCTTGAGAAGAAGATGAAAATGTGAAAAGTTTACAATACCAACAACGACAGACAACAGACAAATTTTAATCAGAAAAGCTCACTTGAGCCTTTGGCTTAGGTGAGCTAAAAAGCAATAAAAGTCTTCTTTTTATGCCCCTAGATCGAAAGATCCCTGGGTATATTGTTTTTGTCCTGTCTGTCTGTTTGTCTGCCTGTCTGTTGTCAACTTTAACCTTTCCCATAACTTTTGATTGGTTGGAGCTATGACTTTCATATTTCACATGTGTATTCCTTGTGACAAGACCTTTCTTTGGGTACCATCATTTTTTACCTTGACCTTGGAGTTTGACCCACTTTTGCAAAATTTTATGAGACTTTAACCTTGGCCATAATTCCTGAACAGTTGGTGCTTGGGGTTTCAAACTTCACATGTGTATTCCTTGTGGCAAGACCTTCCTCTGGATATCAACCTCTTTGACCTTGACCAAGGAGTTTGACCTACTTTTGAAAAACCTTAACCTTGGCCATAACTTTTGAATGGTTGATGCTAGGGCTTCCATACTTCACATATGTAATCCTTGTGACATCACCTTCCTTTGGATACCAACCACTTTGACCTTGACATAGGAGTTTGACCTACTTTTGAAAAACTTTAACCTTGGCCATAACTTTTGAATGGTTGGTGCTAGGGCTTTCATACTTCACATATGTAATCCTTGTGACAAGAACTTCCTTTGGATACCAACCACTTTGACCTTGACATAGGAGTTTGACCTACTTTTGAAAAACTTTAACCTTGGCCATAGGCGCTAGGGCTTTCATACTTCACATATGTAATCCTTTTGACATCACCTTCCTTTGGATACCAACCACTTTAACCCTTTGAACTTGACATAGGAGTTTGACCTACTTTTGAAAAACTTTAACCTTGGCCATAACTTTTGAATGATTGGTGCTAGGGCTTTCATACATCACAAATGTAATCCTTGTGACAAGATCTTCCTTTGGATACCAACAACTTTGACGTTTTACTTACTTTTAAAAAACTTTAACCTTCGCCGTAACTTATGAACAGTTGCAGCTAGGTCTTTCAAATTTCACAGGTATATTCCTCGAGACAAGACCTTTCTTTGGGTACCAACATTTTTTATCTTTTGGCCTGGATTTTGACTTGCATTTGAGAAACTTTAACCTTCGCCGTAAGCTGCCATACAGGGGCATGGGTGTTTCACAAACACATCTTGTTCTCCTATGAACTTGAGAGACAACCTGAGTGCATGAATTTGATGAGCAATGGTGTCTTTACTTACATTACGAGGTCAGGGGTTCTGGTCTTAGCTCTATTGATCATACAGTGAAAATACACTAATTCTTTGAAACTCTTCTCTCCTCCCGGTAATTCAGCAGACAAACTAAGTGCATGGTAATAATGAGCAAGTGTTTTTTTACTGAATTGTGAAATTCATTTCCCCTTTGATAAGGGTTCAGCATGGTGGTAGGGTGGGCTCTATTCATCATATAATGACAATGCATTAATTCTTTTTTAGCTCACCTGAGCTGAAAGCTCAAGTGAGCTTTTCTGATCATCCGTCTGTCTGTAAACTTTCCACATTAAGAAGGGAAGGGAAAGTTTTACTCTTTTTTTCAACTTCTTCTCAAAAACCACTGGGCTAATTCTAACCAAAGTTAATACAGTGCAAATCAAGAAAAGGCAAATATCAGAGTTGTGGAAAACTTTTTCAGATAACCAGTCATTCGGACTGGCAAGAAGACAAAATAAGCCGGTCGGAAGTGATTTTTGCCGGTCCGAAATAGTAAGTCGCAAAATTAAAAAAAACATAACATTTATTTACTTCATTACACATCTATTTACTTAATAATGATATAACATTCAGTCTCCATTTCAAAGTCCTCTTCCATTTTTGTTTTTTTTTGCATTTAATATAACAATACTAGGTTTCACCGCTTTTGGGCAGGTGACAATGCTAATTCAGCATAGTAAACTTTTTTTTTTTTTTAAAACATTTATGCATTTGGGAATTACATTAACCTAGAAAATGAGTCTAAAAAAATTGTGGAAATTATGTGCATCGACAATAAAGATATCAACACGATCGATGAAAAAAACGAAATCCGGGACAGTCGGAAGTATTAGATTTATCGCTTTTCCCAACAGTGTTTGAATTCTTTCTGTCGAAATTTTTCATATTTAGCTTGATTATGTTTTCTACCTCTGTCCCAGTTGTAAATTTAATAGGTCACGAGAACATTCTGGTTTCGCTTTCATTTATAGTCTCGATCTCGTGTAAAGAAAAAGAATTACGCAATCGCATATACATGTAAGGTACGATAATTAAGCTGGGAAGTGCGCCGATGATAAATGGTAAAACAAAAAACTTTAACCAAAAAAAGCGGCTGGTCATTTGGACCGACATCGATAACATTTTTACTGGTCACACGCATTTTTTGTCGGTTTTGCCGGCATGACCAGCAGTTTTCCACAACTCTGAAATATAGGGTGAGGTCATTAAAGAAGCATCCTCTTGAAAACCACTGGGCCAGAAAGGCAGAATGAAATATATGGAGATAATGAACAGTATTCAAACTCAAAAGTCCATTAAACAATACAAAATAGGAGCAGAGCAAACACGGACCTCCAAAACATCAGAGGTGGGATCAGGTGCCATTGAGGAGCGAGCATCCCCTGCCGACCGGTCACACCCACCGTGTGCTCCTTGTCATGATCGGGAAATAATGGAAAAATCCATCGACAATTCATTGTGTAAATAATGGCCTAACAATTAGTATGAAAAATGTCAGTCAGCATTTGACTCAATGATAAATTGTACTTGCTGACAAGGTCATTGTATCCACCATAGAACTTAAGAAATGATGACTTAAAACGAGACTGGTGATATTCTTGTTTCATCAACTTGTTTGTCAATAATTTACCTCGTTTTAGAAATTGTACATTGGTAGAGCATGCTCTTGCGTATCAAATCAACTGAGAGATATAAACCCCGTATGCAGGTGATGAAGGTATATTGCTGCATAAGTAAGGGAAGTTGACGATTGAAAAGTTAAAGTCATCATGTTTATCATAAAGCTTGTTTGTTAGATTACCATTAACGTCTTTTTCAAGTAAAATATCCAAATATGAAGCAGATGTGTCAGACTCTGTGGTATCTTTTATCTCAAGCTCACATGGATATATCGTATTGACATAAGAATGGAAATAACCATTGTTAATTGACAATACGTCGTTGATATATCTAAATGTGGAATTGAAGGCCACAGCAAGTGTTTTCTTCTTTTCACGTATAAGATTTTTGACAAATTCTGCTTCATATGAATCTTATGTGGAAGCTTTCTGAGGTAATGTAGATTCTAAATTGTTCATATCCTGACTCCCTGGGGGTAGGGTAAGGCCACAATATGGAATCAAATTTTTACATTGAAGATATATATATACTTGAAATGTAGGAATATGTGCAAAAAGGAATTTTATGGGTACTATTTTATCCATATATTGGAGTTGAGTCGAAGTATCTTGGAAAAAGCTCTAGAAATCTTCTCAAGAACTACTGGACCAGAAAAGCTAAAACTTAAGTGTAAGTTGCTGAGGTAGTGTAGACTGAAAATTGATCAAATCATCTCCCCTGGGGGTAAGGTGGTGCATCAAAGGTTTACAATGAAATATATAGGAAGAATCTCTTCTCAAGAACCACTGGACCAGAAAAGATGAAATTTAGGTGAATTCTTCCTGAGGTAGTGTACTTTGTAAATTGTTCAGATCATGGTCCCTTGTGGTAGGGTTGGACCACAACACTGAATCAAAGTCTTTGATTGAAATATATAGGAAAAAACTTTAAAATATTCTCTTCTCAAGAACTACCGGCCTGGAAAAGATGAATCTTATGTGGAATCTTCTTGAAGGAGTGTAGATTTTTAGGTCACCTGAGTCACTCAGATGACCTATTGCTATCTGTTTTCGTCCGTCATCGTGCGGTTGTGTGTCGTGCGTAAACTTTTCACATTTTCGACTTCTTCTCAAGAACCACTGGGCCAATTTTCACCAAACTTCCACAAACTATCCTTGGGTAAAGATGATTCAAGTTTCTTGAAATGAAGGGCCACGCCTTCTTCCAAGGGGAGATAATTAAGAATTAGTGAAAAATTAATGGTATCTTTTAAAAATCTTCTTCTCAAGAACCACTGGACCAGGTAAGATGAAATTTGTATGGAAACATCCTCAGGTAGTGTAGACTCAAGTTTGTTCAAATCATAACCCCCGGGGGTAGGGTGGGGCCACAATGGAGGATCAAAGTTTTACATAGAAATATATAGGAAAAATCTTCAAAAATCTTCTTCTCAAGAACAGCTGAGCCCTGATTTCTCATATTTATGTGGAAGCATCTTCAGGTAGTGTAGATTCAATTTTGTTCAAATCATGACCCCCAGGGGTAGGGTGGGGCCACAATGGATGATCAAAGTTTACATAGAAATGTATAGGAAAAATCTTTTAAAATCTTCTTCTCAAGAACAGCAAAGCCATGATGAGTCATATTTATATGGAAGCATCCTCAGGTATTGTAGATTCAAGTTTGTTAAAATCATGACACCCATGGGGTAGGGTGGGACCACAATGGATGATCAATGTTTTACATGGAAATATATAGGAAAAATCTTTTAAAATCTTTTTCTCATAAACAGCAAAGCCATGATTGATCAATATATGGAAGCATCCTCAGGTAGTGTAGATTCAAGTTTGTTAAAATCCTGAACCCCCCCCCCCCCCCCCCCGGGGTAGGGTGGGGCCACAATGGGGAATCAAAGTCTTACATAGGAATATATAGGGAAATTTCTTCTTCTCAAGAACTGCAATGCCATGATTAATCATTTTAATATGATCAAAGTTTTACATAGAAGTACATAGAAAAAATCATTAAAAATTGAAAAAATTCTTTTCTCAAGAACAGCAAAGCCATGATTGGTTATATTTACATGGAAACATCCTCAGCTAGTATAGATTCAAGTTTGTTCAAATCATGACTCTGGACTCTTGGGATAGGGTGGGGCCACAAGGGAAAATCAAAGATTTACAAAAGCTTCTTCTATCAGTTTATTTTATACTCTATGGATCTTCTATAGATTGTTGTTTTATACTCAGGTGACCGTTAAGGCCCTTGGGCCTCTTGTTAATTGTTGAGATCATAATCCCCAGGGGTAGGATGAGGCCACAATAGGGATTTAAGATATATTTATGTAAGCTTATGCACTTGTTCATAATTTGGTGAGAATTTATCATCTATATTCAACTTAAAGTTTTTAGATTTCAATTTCAATTTTAAAGAAACTATTCAAGATATTCTCATCAAATTTCATACACTAATACAATTTTTCATGTTGCATTACTAATATACCCTCAGCGGGGCATTCATGTCCTATGGACATATTTCTAGTTACCTTATGACCTTGACCTTGAAGTTTAAGCTACCATTCTTTTCAAAAATTTTAACTTTGGTAATAACTTTTGAATGAGAAAAGATGGGGCTTTATAATTAATTGTACATTACCTGAGACACCACCTTTGAGAAAGAATTATAAATTTTTACATCATGACCTAAAAGTTTAGCTTACTTATCTATCATTTTTGAAAATTAGGTCAAACTTCAAGGTCACGGGATCAAACATTGCATATTCGGAAATGTCTTGCCACAAGTAAAAAGTGTTAAATATGAACAACCTCTCTTCTATTATTCAAAAATAGGCAATATTAAAAGTTTTGAAAAGGTCAAACTTCAAGGTCACAGGGTCAAAAATCAGTATATTTGGAAAGGTGTTGTCACAGGCAATTAATACATGTGAAATATGAAAGCCCTATCTCATTCAAAAGTTAAGAGCCAGGGATTTATCAATGCTGTTTTAACTACTGGTAAACGGTACCTTTCCCCTTTGGAAAATATGTCAAAAATCCCCCTTTTATGAAAAATTTCCTGATTAAACATACATGTTACATTTAAATACATCAATTTATGACAGGCATAGACATAACTCAAAGCTTATCATTAAAGGTGCAGATTTCTGCAACATTAATCTGAAAATTTCTCGAGGGACATGACCCTGGACTCCCATTATTAAGTATATTCACACCTCCTTTGCTAAATGTCTAATAACCATTCTCATCTTCCCCCTTTACTTGGTGAAGGTCATGGGTTAAAAAATTTTAGTATAATTGGAAAGGTTATGTCATAGGTAATGTACATGTTAACTATGAAAGCCCTACCTTCTCTCATTCAAAAGTTATGACCAAGGTTAAAGTTTTTTTTTGACTGACAGATGAATGAGATTTAATGTCCTCTTACTTTCGCGAAAGTGCCACTCAGGGACAATAAATAGTTGACCACTCTGTGATTTATTTACATTTTCAATGAAGCTAAGTAAAAGGGGGCAACACATGTGTTCCTTGGAACACTCTAGTTTTATAGGAAGTTTGAAGAAATTCTGTGAAAATACATGCTACTGTTTTTATTAAAATTGTTACACAGAATGGTTTTTAAATAAAACCAGTACTAGTGTATATTAAAATACTCTTAAAGTGTTCTCTCAAAAAGAACAAGAAATTCAAGTCACCACCAAAGTGGAGCAACTATATATATATGGTTTAATTTGATATGCAAGCATCTTCATGCAGTGTTAAATTTTTTAAAATCATAGCTCTTTGGGCTGGATGAGGCTATTTTTCAAGCTTGTAAGTCTTGCAATTTATAGAATAAAGATGGGAGAAAGGACCAGGGAATAACTCCCCAAAAAGATCCTGTTTTGTTGGGAGTCATCTCTAAATTCTCTTAGTTGTAATAAATTCAGTTTTTGGATTTTAATTTTAGGATTTTTGACTGCAATGAGACAAGAAGTTACAAGAGCACACAAAGGTTGGGCACTTGATTCAGTGACTTTACACAATGAGGTTATTAAAGCAGTGAAGGAAGACATAACTGCACCACCAGTGGTGAGTCACTGTCCTAGTTACTTGGGACTGTCCAATAAAATGCATGTTCAATTGTCAAAGTTTCTTGAAATTGAGTTCAACAGGAACTTGAATGTTTGTTGTAGGAAGGTGTATATGTTTATGGACTTTACCTAGACGGTGCAGGATGGGACAAAAGAAACTGTCGCCTTTGTGAGCCTCCACCCAAAGTTCTCTTCACACCAATGCCTGTTGTTCACATGTATGCTATCAATTCCACAGCTCCAAAAGACCCAAGACTGTATCAGTGTCCTGTCTACAAAAAGCCTAATCGCACAGATCTCACGTACATTACTTTCATTGTATTAAAAACAAATCAGAGTCCTGATCACTGGATATTAAGAGGAGTAGCAGCTTTGTGTGACATTAAGTAATTTCATGAAGAATTGGGGAATGGTTACTTCACAGATGTTTTACTGATAACAAGTTTATGTTTCTCTAGAATCAATATAAACATGATAAATTTAAAAGCAATATGTGACATTTAATAAGTGAGAGTTTTTATCTGTTGAATTAGTTAATTAAAAACTTTTTATTTTTGATAATGATTAAGAAATAAATTATAAATAAATTGCTTGAAAAATAATTGTTTAGTATTCTTTTGTCTTTGGTCACGGAAACTTGTACAGGCACACAGAGATGTGTGCAATAAATGTTCATTCGTGGAGCAGTATTTTCACAGACAGTGATGTACATTTTGTCCATCTCTGAGTCAGTTTTGATGAGAAAACTTGATACTTAATGATTTGGTACCCATTCAAGTTAGTTCTAATGTTTCTGATCAAGCCACCAATACTAGATTTAATTTACTGTAGCTTTTATTTGAGAATCTGAAAAATTAGGATCTGTGGCCAGTGTGCCATGAAAAGCATTTAAAATCTTTATGATCAGATTGAAGTTATTAGTGTTTCATCTTTAGGTTTTTATTTATACACAATATTTGTACTTAAATGCAAGAAAACTGATGTGTCTCATAGATGTGATATAAAGTTTTCAACCAGAAAGAATTAGTATTGCTAAATATAATGATGAAACTGCAATTGTCCAAATTTACATTAGAAGTCGGCCGTTTTGCACCTTACACTTTTTAAAGAGTTATCTGCCCTTGATGAAAATTTTCAAAAAAATTATTCTACTCAAAATATTTGGTAAATGATTAATTTTATTTCATATTCTAATAACGAGAGAGTTTTGCAAGTATTTACCCAGAGATTTGTATGAAATTCAAATTTACTTTTACAATATCTTAAAACATGCTCTTTCCTTGTACTTCAATGTAAAATGTGCAGATTCTTGTCAGGTTTCTGACTAATTAATAGCGATTCTCTGTAACCACTTAAACTTCTTTGCCACGCATGGTCACCGATTTTGATGAAACTTTGCCTATTACAACAACTTGACACCAGAAACATACATCAAATAAAATTTCGTTGCTATGTGTCTTGGTTGCCATGGTAACAGCCAGAAAAGTTGGAAAAATTGAGATTTTCAGCTAGTTTAAACCTTTATTAAGCCTTAATAAAGACTAAGAAAAACAAACAAACTATTCTCACAAAAACATGACACCTTGGTGCCACTTATGCTATAAAGAAACTATTTAGAATTTATCTCTAAGTAAGTGGTAACCATGGGTACATTTAGAATACATTTTAGATGCTGAAAAATGCTTAAAAGTGCTCAATATTCACTAATGATAGATATTACATGATCAAACTCAATCAACAACCAAAGAAAAACAATAAAAATATTTGACCTTAAGTAATTAGGTATTGGCAATATCATTCTAAAAATAACTTTCATGGTTGCTATGGTAACACAGAGCTACCATGCAAAATATGTTGCTAAGATTGGGTTAATGCTACTATCTTGAGGAAAAACAATAAAATTCATGACTGGCACATATACATCCTAAGGACCTTGCAACACCAACAACATAAGAAATATTGGGATTAATTGTTACTTTGCAGTGTAACCATGGAAACAGCGTACCAGTTGTTTAAAGTGATATTTTTTTGCTTCTTTAGGAATTTATTTAGCTTTTAATCAAGAAACATATTATTTGACTCACCTTTAATAGTACTTATCTGGTAGAACTAAAGTTGAATATCATATATTGATAAAGTTTCTTGAAAAATACAACACTGTTGCTATGGTTACCAAGAAGGGAAAATGTTCGATTTTGTTAATTTTATATCAATATTAAACCCTATGTGCCAGCTTTTTGCATCCAGTTAGAAATTGGTTGGTAGTCAAAATTGAAAGTCAGGTTAGTTGTTCATATATATAAATCGTAAAAGTTTTGGGAATCTACATACAAGGGTACGTATCCAAGGAAACAAAATATTTTTCAGATTTTTATGCATATTTTTTCCGATAATTTCCATAGCAACGCTCTATTTCAAGAACTGAATTTGAATTTTTTGAAATGTGAAAATTAGGGTCACACCAGCTCCTTTAAAAATTGATCATCAGTTATATAGAAATATGCTTTTTAAAAAGATAGGACAAGATTAAAACACTAAGAAAGTAAATTTAAAATAACTTTGTGGTATTAAAACCATGGCAACCATTGCCAACCTATGAGAAATATCATATTTCGTCCTTGGTATATGTTACAATGATCTCTTGTCTATTATTTGCTTGCATTTCAACCTATAATATTTTTTTATTCTTAAGTGTATGACTTTATAAAATTAAATGAACAAAATTATTACTTTTGAATACTTTGTTTCCATAGTAACGTATGTAATAGATGATTTACCAAACATGTTTATCATGCATTTAAGACATAAGGCCTTCAACTTTCAGAAATAGTCATTGCCACTTGTTTGCTTTGCTGCAAACGTTAACTGTGGAACTCTGAACATGTTAAAAAATGCCATTTTTCAAACTTTAGGACATGTTGCTATGGTAACCATGACACGTAGAAACCAATTTTTGCCTGATTTGAGTTTACGGTATCAAAGACTTTTATCATAGAGAGTTTGGAGAAATTCTGAGACTATGCGTGCCACAGCTCCTATATAAAAGTTAAAGTCATTACAGAGAATGGCTCTTAAATTTTAAAGTATATTTGCAAAATGTCTCTTATATAGTTAGGAATTTATGTGATCATGTATTCTTCCTTCTTACAACTGTACAACTTGACAAATGTCGCACTATGTTTAAAATCTAGCAGAGACCATGGGGACTATATTTTAGCTGAGCAGCAACGTAGGAAAATATCACAAGATTTGCTTTTCATATTTACTACAGAATGATGAATTTCGAACAATCAAAATCTGAAAAAATTTCCTGAAATAAATGAAATTAATATTATAGTAGGGACTCAAGTTTTCAAAGACATTAATTTACATGTACATGTAAATAAGATTTTCCAAACAAACCTCAATCTTCTTAGCTTTCATAAGCTTTCAATCATTGATCAATTTTGAATAAAAAAAAAAGATCAGCAATCACTTTTTTTTGTTTCAGTGAAAGTGGTTGACATTAGTTTGGATTTGACTGTCTGTGTGTAACACTTTCTTTTCCGAACGATATCTTGAGAAGCTTTTGAGCTTTTGCAATGAAATTTTATATCACAATTTTATATGGCCTAAAGAAGACCCCTATTAATTTTGAGGTCCACAAGTCAAGGTAAGAAATTCGTATATTCTGTCTGTGTGTAATTTTAACACTTCAGTTTCCGGGCCATGTCTGGAAAAGTCTTAACTTTTGCAATGAAATTATATATCGCTTCTTATGGTCTAAAGAAGACCCAATTGATTTTAAGGACAAAGGTAATGGTCGGAAATTCATACATTGAAGATAACATTTTCCAGATGATAATTTTAGTTTTCTTTGAGCTTTTTGAAGTATGAAGGCCACAGGCCCATAGTAACGGTTTCAAAAGTTGGGGGGGGGGGGGGGACTTCCCAAAAAAAAATCTGACAAAAAAAGGGGGGGGGGGTCAACCAGCATATAAAGAAAAATTTACTATAGCAAAATACTATACTCAGAAAAAGTGGAGAACGGCCCCCAAACCCTCAAAATTGATTTTAAGGTCAAGGTCAGAAGACCATATATTGAATTTATATCATTTTCCAGATGATAATTTTAGTTTTCCTGTAAGTTTTTACAGTGAAACCGAAGGTAATGAATTTCTTTAAAAAGACTCCTACTGACTTTAAGGCTGAAAGGTGAAGGTTGAATTTATTCTTCCATCTGCATATTTTTGTCAGTTTTTCCACCTTAAGGTCAAGATCTAGTAAATGATTTTAGACTGCATTTTTGATGCTAGATCCATTATGACGTCATAATCAAATTAAACTTTCTTTTTTCCCGTACTTTACGGCTGTAATAGAATTATGTAGAAAATAAAGTATTTTCCTGGAATTCAATTTGAAATCATGTGAAAAGTAATCCCGAAACCTATTATTATTTTAAAGAAGAGGCCAAGAACATACAAATTACCGTTTTCTGAGAAACTGTAGGCAATCTGGATACATTTAATTTGTCTGATATGGAAAAAAACTCCCATATTCATGACTGATTTTCCTAATTTTTCAATAAAACTGACAGTTTAATATATGATTTTTCGTCTTGTTTACCTACAAATTATGCCCCGAAACACCTTATTTGACCAAGCTATATTTATAAAGCTTCATTAAAGGAATTATTTCTCAAATTTGAGAAATCTGTAGGCTCCTTTTATTTACTAGATCTTGACCTTAATTCTTTTTTCCTTATAATCGTGGGACACAAATTCTCTGAATGGTCCCTCTAATTTAACGGTCAACAATTTGTTCAAGATTGATTTACACTGAATTGTCGACGGATTTTCCCGTTATTTCCCAATCATGACAAGGAGCACACCGCAGGTGTGACCGGTAGGCAGGGGATGCTCACTCCTCCATGGCACTTGATCCCACCTCTGATGTACATTTAGAGGTCCGTGTTTGCTCTGCTTTTATTTTATAATATTTAATGGACTTTTGAGCTCGAACACTGTTCGTTATCTCCACATATTTCATTTACTAGGTTGTGTTGGCATATGAAGAATATACCATATGTAAAAATAGGAAAAATTTAAGGTTTAAAGCATGAAGTGAAGCTTGTTTTTTTCTTCTTCAGAAATTGAATATATGTCGTATCATGATGAGAAGACAATTTGAAACAGTGAATAGAGCAGTAATTTATTATCACAACAAAAAATTAAAAATAATCAGGAGTATGTAAAAATAATATCTAGTACCATGAAGCGATGCTTTTTTAGTCGGATTATCACATTGTTATGTACACATTGTATGTGTCGTATATTTGAATTTACCGGGTGGCAGTAAGTAAATGTTGCTATATGACTTGTCATATATTTATAAATTTTGTACTTTCTGCCAGCCGGTAAATCCAAAATTTACAACATGACATATGTATGTATAAAAAAAAAAAAAAAAAAAAAAAAAAAAAAAAAAAAAGGCGCGTTCATAAAAATACATGTACTTTGTATGCTCATGGCCATAGGAAAAGGGGGATGCCCCCCAATAATTTTGCTAATATGTATATGGTATACTGTATGTCCCTTCAATAATAACATATCAAGTGACTTTTTTTTAAAAGTATTTTTTGAAATTTATTTTTATTAAATAATTTTATGTAGTCTTTTTTTTTTCCTTTCAAGGATTTTTTGCTGGGTAGTGCCCCCCCCCCTGAAATGTTTGGTTGTGCCCCCAATCTGAAATATTGCTTCCTATGGGTCAGTGTGCTACATGATGAATTATTTGCTATTTTTATATTTTAAAATGAACAGATAGAAATACATTTTGTGTGTGTGTGTTTTTTTTTTTTTTTTTTTTTTTTTTTTTGTTACAGGGTAAAAACTGGGTAATGTTTTAGGTCAGAAAATGGAAATGACTATATTGATAAAATGTTTGCATCCGGCAGTTCTTTCTGTCAACAGGTGTAATTTACTACGAAAAAATATAAAAACTGAGGACAAGTATCACCAGTCGGATAGAACAGAACAGAACATTTATTTTCTAATTTAGAGCCCATAACAGACAAGTATGAAATTATTACAATAATAAAGAAAAGATATGCCAATGGATAGTATAACAATTTGTAAATGACATATTTAATGATTTATGATTTATTTAAATGATATACATGTATTTAAAATGTTTTTTTCAAAAAAGTTGTCTCTTATTATAGGTTCATTAGACCTCAAATATAAGAATCTTAGAAAAAAAAAATAATCGTGGAAATGTTGATTTCCTGTAATTTAATATACCCTTTGTTATTGTTTTTCCTTGTATTTTATCGTTATTTTCTATTTTGGTATGTAAAAATGCCGGTTTCCCCCATGGGATATTTATAGGCATGCGGGGATTTCCGGTTTGCGTGCTTCTTGAGATAAGAAAAGAAAGTGAAAATAGTTCGCATAAGTGTACAGTCTCGCCCTTTACTAAGTAGGTAAGTAAATGACAGTTTCTATCCAGTCTCTCCCTTTAATAAGAAGGTAAGTAAATTACAGTTTCTCTATCATCAATTTAGAAGTAATTATTCAATGTTTTCTGTCAATCCAGTAAACATGCGATAATTACTGTTTAAATTAATGATTTGTGGTCAAATACTTCAGTGTTAACTTATCTGTCACAAATGAGAATTTTTACTTGACAGTAAGGGGACGGACTCCGAAGAGGGCGGGGGGGGGGGGGGGCAAAATTATTTATTTTCGTGCAAGCCAAGGACAGATTATTTATTTTCAAGATGATCAAGAACAATTTTTTTTTCACTGAAAACAAGTTTGACCAGCCATAAAAAGAAGGTAGAATGCCCAAACTCCAGAGGATAGATTATTAATTTCCAAAATATGCCACCCCTCACCCTTGCAAAATCATCTATAACTGGAAAGTCATCACAATTTTCAAATCTTCGGAATGAGCCTTTTTTTTCCTCAAAATTTGTTATTCATTCCACAGGCACTGGAAATTAACGTAAGTATAGAAAATATATGGTATTGCATGTATATCTATTTTTATACATGTACATATTTACATTAATAACCAGTGTATTTGTGTAAATATGAATTCTAAATATATCAGCCTTGGGATAGCTCAGTTGTAGAGGATTTTATCTAGTAATGCATTGGTCTCATATTGTATTTCCACCAATAAGAACAAGGGCTTATAAACCAAGAAAATGCCCAAGTGAAAATTTAAAGAGACAGTACAGCGCATCTCATCAAAATACAGACTTGATAAAATTTTCTGACAGGATTTGGAATTTTTTTACTACTCAAATGTATAAACTTTCAGAAAATATCACAAGCTTCAAAACTAAATAACTTTGATTATTTCATTATAATTAATAATTATTTATGAACCATAAATATATACATCGTAACATGTTAGGGGTTCCACATTCTCTGTTATTCACGCATGCATACTTATCATAAACAAAACAACATATGGTAAAAGAGGGTAGCTTTGTAGGCCTGCTAACTTAACAAAGTAGACCAAGAAGGAAAACAAAACTGAAAATAGAGCTTTAAAAAGCAAATTTCCTGATCAAATTTTACTTGGGGGATTGATATAATCCTTGGTGGAGGAATTAACGGGAGCTCGACGAGACTCACACAGGGCTCGTGAAGGTTTTCCTCCACCAAGGATTGTTGATGCATGTTATCATTTCTCATATCTCCATTGTTTTCAAAGAAAAAAGTAGTGTAAAATCAACATCTGTGATATATAAATATTATTGCTTTTTAAAGTGCAAATTTTAATGTAACAGTCCTGAAAATATTTTTGACATTTTGCCAAATAACTTAATATGATTTGGCAATTTACCTTCTCAGACCCCAATACACAAAACGTCAATATTTGTACTTCTAATTCTTTAAAATTCGTCTGAGAGCAGATTAAAAAGTTTATGATTAATAATTTATCTGAAAAGTTATAATATTTTGCTTTTGAGAATTGCTTTTACGTCATATTTCATTATAATTGTAAACTATACAGTTTAGGCACGTGTCATTCAGAATCGACGTGGTACAAATAAAGAGATCTAAGATTGCTCTGGTTTGTACGACCCTTTGATTTCCAGCAGATTCTAATTAATTTTGTTTGAGGAGAGGATATTCTTGTTTTCAAACTGTTGACATCAACTTTATACCTCATTTCTTAATGATATATTGGATAAATTTGATAAAAACACAGGTTTTGCAGCTGTACTGTTGCTTTAAAGTAAATCTCAATCATAACAAAATTTTCTGTAATACATGTATATCAGATAGCATTTATGTATTTCTTCATGTAAATTAAATCTCAATTAATTTCTTACAATCTCATAGGTTATAAAATTATTCATCAATGAAAATCAAATAAAGCATACACACACCAAAGAGGGCAAACATGACCCTATCCTCATATTGTCGCACTTTTTTCTCAAATTTTCAAAGTATAATATACAATTATTGCTGTTTTTTGCTGGTCAATACGATGATTTAGAAACCTGAGGAGTACAATATTCACCAAAACCGAATGGTGAGGTGAAAATTGTACTTCGAAGGTGTCTAAAGTATCTTATTGACCTCAAAAAACAGGAATAACTTTTATTATATGGTTACGGTATCTTTTTTTGGTCCAATGTAGAATAAATAATTCTTTATATTGACCTGGAAATAATTCCTTATATTGACTTGTAAGGTCATGTGCAGGTCAATATAACAGTATTTTTCTAACATTGTTGGATCTCGGCCAATCAGAGAGATGGGAATTATTCAATCAGGGAATTATTCAATCATATAATAATATTATGTATACATGTATTGTCAAAGTATGCAAAGTCTAAATTCCTTGGTTTAAAAAAAAAGAAATTAGGACCCACTCTACTTTAAAATTTATGACACAGCATTCTTATCTTTTCTATAGATATTTCAAGTTCATTTATTCAAAGGGATTAACACAAACAAATAAAGGGCATGGAACCCAGGATCCCTGCATCTCTAATCAGGTGCTCTAACAGCTGAGCTCCCAGGCCAATATCCCAAACCATAACATACTGTTCTTAGGCAACATGCATTTTGCCAAACTTTAAAAACTAACTGTATGGTTTTTTGGTCAAACAAAACTCATTCTCAGTAAGAATTCATAGGGTTTTGTGTACTGTATAATAAATTACATGTAACAAATTTTTTAGGTCACCTGAGTCATTCGGGTGACCTCTTGCTATCTGTTTTTGTCTGTCTGTGTCCATCGTGTCAGTTGTAATCTTTTGAACATTTTCAGCTTCTTTTCTCAACTACCAAACCAATTTCAACCAATTTTGGCATATAGCATCAGTTGGTGAAAGGGTACAAAAATTGTGAATTTCATGGTGTCCCCCCCCCCCGGGGACCTGAGGGGTGCATGGGGCTAAACCATGAAAAATAGTGCTATCTTTAAAAATCTTCTTTACTCCTGGACATCAAGCAGTCAAACTGTCGGCATGATTGTAATAAGAATTGAGTCGTCTACCAAAATTACGAAATACATGGCCTAAGGATCAGGGGTTATGGAGTTAGGGATGGGCTCTAATGATCAGATAGTGAAAATGAATAAATTCTTTTAAAATTGTTTTATAGTGAAACTATAAATTCTTTGAAAATCTTCTCAGCTCTTGGGTATTAAGCAAACAATCGAACTAAGTGCGTAGTTATGATTAGCGAATTGCCTCTTCCAAAATTGAGAGAACAAGAGAGACCAGTGTGAGAGGGAATTCATGCAATTAGTTTTCTAATAGTGCTGAAGCATTTTTGTTTTGTTTAGTTGAATGGTGATATTGACAAATGGGGGCAGATACAAACAAGTAAATAGATCTGCTTTAACATTTGTTACTGAGTGATAGAATAATTATTTTGTTGATCCTTGATCAACTGATTTCTCTTGGTTTTGGGCAACATAGCTTGGATCATCTATCAGTTTATTTTTGAATTTGTTTTATACTTCTTTGGATCCATTACAATGTTGTATTGTACTGAGGTGACCATTAAGGCCCTTGGGCCTCTTGTTTTTGAAAGGGAGGATGCATTGGTGTATGATAACAGATATTTCTTGATGTGAACTTTCTAATTTACAGATTCTGGTGCGGCAATAACAGACATTAATGACAAACATTTCAAATTGGTTTAAGATGGAAGTCTAATTTAGCCTGTGATTTCCCTAACTTCTAACCAATGGCCTCAAATTTGATAATAATTGATTCTGACAGTGAGGAAGACACAGAGCAAAAAACCAAAAGAGGAAGTCCTGAAAGGTTAACGTTTCCAGAAACACAAAAAAATGAAGAGGATGAGTGTTACAGGATACAAACTCCAGATATCAGAGGCCATGCAATGGAAGAGGAAACTGCTGCAAGTATTGATGAAGAAACCAATCACAGCAGCATCAATGAGCACAGGAAAAATATATCAAAAAGAGATGCTGATATTTTATCAAAACCAAAAGCAGCAAAATGTATTGAAAAAGCTTTGGTAGATTTTGGTATCGAAGCTTATGTAGAGGTCCAAGGTGAATCGTGTCTGTACGCAACAGCAGCAAATCAGGTTACAGCTGAATTAGCTGTAGACATTTCTGTGAACCTTATTTCTGAAGAAAAAATACCCATTCCATATGAAAGGAAACTTGAAAGACAAAAACTAAATGATTTAGAAAGTGATTATCTTGTTGATATTGAGGTGCAAAGCAATGTCATATCTGTGAGAGGGATTGATGATGTTTCAACTGTTAGACAGTTAATTGAAGAAACCCTGAGTGAAAAAAACAACCCTGAAGATGAAACATTACAATATCAATTCAACAGAGGCCCTGAACATGAAACATTGCAATGTCAATTCAACACAGACACTGAACATCAAACATTACAATGTCAATTCAACAGAGGACAATCAAGATGCTACAAGAGGGACCCAAATTTTATATCTAAAGTTACTTCAATGCAGAGTCATAATTTGTAAGTATATATCACACTATCACATTTTGAAAGCTTATACTTGCCACAAAGACAGATTCAGATATTTATACCCCCCAAAACCATTTTTTTTTTTTGGGGGGGGGGGGGGTCACCTTGTCCATCGGTCTGTGTGTCTAGCTGGGTGAGATCATTAAAAAATCTCCTTCTCAAGAACCACTGGGCAAGAAATTATGAAAATTATGTGAAAGTTTCTTGACATAGTGTAGATTCAATTTTGTTTAAATCCTGACCCCTGGGGTAGGGTGTGGCCACTATGGGTGCAGACCTGGGGTAATGGTAATGTGTAATGGTAATGCATTATAATCATTACATTTTTTCAAAGTAATGGGATGTAATGTGTAATGGGTCCATCTTTCAATTACAAGTATTTGTAATGTAATGCATTACTTTAAAAAAAATGTCAGTAATGACCACTACTTTTCAATTACATTTTGTATTTTAAAATAAATGTATTACTGAAGCTTAAACAAAGCAATGCCATTGAGAGGTTTTTTTTATTATTATTTATGTTAAAGTCTTAAAATTAAAATCCTATATCTTACCATTTTTTAAAAATGTTTATTCAGTGGTGATTGATAGAAATACTAAATTAATAATTGTTTTAATAGAATACGTACTTCTTGAAAAGATAGTTATAAAATCAATTGAAGAGAGCCAGAAAAAAATATTAAAAGAAATCATTAGATTTCAAAGATAGTCACAAAACAAGTGACATTTATTTAATACATGTGTGCTGAGACTACCAATTAGATACAAACTATATTTTTCAACCTGTTTTTTTTTTCTTTTCACAAAGTTCATTCTGGTAAAATGGACTTGGTAAGCAAGATCAGTATGATCTTCTTGAAGACACAAATGGAAACTAAGGCCAATATGTAAATATTGATATCGTCCATCATTCATTTTTTTTTACCTTGGGATTCACCTCTAACTTCAAACCCTATATTTAGGTACCTGTAATTATCACCTTTGGTTAATTGTGTTAAATTTATATCTTCCTTGATTATGCCTGCTCAGCTAATTACAAGTGCCAATTAATTAAATTATTGATATGTACTTGTTTTACAATTATAGAATTATCTGTTAATTAAATATCACTTTACATAGAACATACAGGAAGAAATGTTTATCATTTATTTAAAAAAAAAAAAGAGGAACTAAGATCAGAGACTGAACAAAAATACAACATTGAAAGTGTTCTTATCCACTTTCTTTATCAACTGTAGATTGGTAAACTACATAAACATGATAAATAAATCCAAAATCAAAATACCACTCTGACTTATAGACCTGAGGGAAAGCATATTAACAGAGCACAAAGTGTGAGAAAGTTAATTTATGGATATAAATTATCTGGTCATACAATATTTGTTTTTCTCTTATAAAATGTAACGTGTAATGTAATTCATTACTTTATCAAAGTAATTGTAATTTAATTAATTACTTTTCTGAATGAGAGTAATGGTAATTGTAATGGTAAAAATTCCAAAGTAATTGTAGTTTAATCTATTACACTTCAAAGTAATCGACCCCAGGTCTGTATGGGCGATCAAAGTTTAATGTGGGAATATAAAGGAAAAATGTCTTTAAAAATCTTCTTCTCAAGAACAGCAAAGCCATGGTCTGTCATATTTATATGGAAGCATTCTTAGGTAGTGTAGACTCAAGTTTGTTCAAATCATGACCCTGGGGTAGGGTGTGGCCAATATGAGCAATCACAGTTTTACATGGGAATGAATAGGACAAATTCTTTAAGAAGGCTGGGGGGTTGTGGCCATTTTAAACTATATTGATCTCCTTTAGAAGAAGAGCTCTATTTAGAGATATACAAAAATGATCAAATTTAAAACTAAAATTTATGAAATTTTTCTTTGCCAAATGAAAGTTGACAGCTTAAGATATCATACCTAAAAAATTAAGTTATATCTGATGGTTAATTTGTTGACCCCCCAGCCTCCTTAAAAACTTCTCAAGAATAGCAAAGCCTTGATTCATCATATTTATATGGAAGTATCCTTTGTGTAGATTTAAGATTGTTCAAATTGTGACCCCCAGGGTTAGGGTGTGGCCACTATGGGCAATCAAAATTATACATGGGTATAAATAGAAAAAATCTTTAAAAATGTTCTCAAGAGTGCGATAATACTTTAGTGGTTTTGCACTGAACTGGAAGAAGAAGAAGAAAAGGAAAGTACGAATAATCATACAGTGGACTCCGGGTATAAGAGATGCTGGGGACATCAGTTTAGATCTCGTTATTATACATATATCACATGGCTTCGAGGGTGACATACCAGATTGTTTGCCCCTTGGTGACAGGAAAGTCCTGGAGTGTTATGTCACCCGATGCCGAAGGCAGAGGGTGACAATAACACTCCAGGACTTTCCTATCACTGAGGGGCAAACACTCTTGTATTGTCACCCGAGAAGTCATGTGGTATATGTTATATAACATTTTTAAATTAAAAAATTGTCTAGAATTGTTTAAGTTTAGGCAAATAATCCAGAAATGCTTTCATGACATTAAGAATTGCGCTCCGTTGTTTACGTTTGCTTAGCAACCGATGTCATTAAATCTTGAACCCGAGCTACAAATGCGTAACATAAAGACATGTGAAAGTGATCGAGAGGGTGTTATAACTGTTTCCGTCGGGTGATATAACTGTTTCTGGCGTGTGACATAACTGTTTCCGGTGTGATTCAGCATTCTTCAGGGTTTATATTGAAACTTATTACATTTGTGATATATATAAATAGGAAAACTTATTAAAAAATGTTATATATATAAATGTCTGTATTTTATCAGCTGAGAGTTGATCGGTATTTTATTAAAGACTTAAATGTACCATGTAAGTCTTTATTAAAAAATATCATCATGTAAGTCTTTATTGTATTTATATTCACTGTTTGAAAACAGAATAAAATAATTTCTTTTAGAAAAATTATGCACAATTGAATTGTTGCTCAAGTGGGCTTTTCAGATTGAATTTTGTCCATTGTCTGTGGTTGTGGACATTGTTGTCATTGTTATAAACTTTTCACATTTTCATCTTCTCCAGAACCACTGGGCCAATTTTAACCAAACTTGGCACAGAGTATCCTTGGGTAAAAAGGATTCAAATTTGTTCAAATGAAGGGCCACACTCTTTTCCAAGGGGAGATACAGTGCTCCTCCCATTATAACCCCCCACCACCACCACCAAAACAATTTCAAGTCCTGATTTCCTCGCTATATAAAACCTTGTTTTACAACCATCCCCTGCCTATCACCATCCACCCATCTTATTTCGGGTACAAATCTGTCCATTACCATTATAATCACCCCCAATGATTACAGCCAATAATGAAACTTTTTGGTTTGTTTTTTCGAGACTCGGATTGATAGATCCACGCTATATTTATATAAAATGACAAATATTAAATTAAATAAATTAAATAAATAACCCTTTAAAAAACCTTATTTTTAAATATATGTTTAGAACTTTATATTGATCAGTATATATAATTGGTCATCACATTGTATAGTTAGTTTTATTGATCTGACTCTAAAACACTTTGAATATTCAAGATTTTGTCTGTAGTAATCTCATAAGTAGAAAAATTTATTTAAAGAGCAAACAACAATGGATTAAAAAAGTCAAATTACATTTATGTACGAAATTGAAGTAAGTAATTGAACTTCACAATTAATATCAATTTTACAGGTGTCTTGTGCAATGGAGCATACATGTAGCTAATCCCTGTGGTTCACAAGATAATCAAGCCATGCTGTGTTTACAAGCAGTAAATGGAGTTTTTACATAGGATCCAAGTTTCCTCAATTTTTGATTTCAATGAACAGTGTTGCCATGGTTACTAAAAATAGAAATTTTTGTTTGTGAAATACTTTCAATTACTTTCAATGCACTACTCCTCCTGCAGTCAATATAACTTGGAACTCAAGTAGACTACACTCAGAGTCATAGTTCTATATATTGGTTTTTTATTTTGATGAACGGTGTTACCATGGTTACTAATAATGGAAATTTCTGTGAAATATTTGCAAAATGCTACTCTAGAGTTTTGGTCTGATTTCAATATAGCTTGCCACAAAAAGATACTAAACCAAGGATCATTATTCTATTTATTGCTGTTGCATAGTTTCAAGTCCAAGTGCTACTTTTCTCTTCCTTTGTTTTAAGTACAAACCAGGAGAGCTACAGTCTCATCAGAGACTTCTGGTTTTTGTGACTACCAGGCCTCTTGTTTGATGTCTACATTAATCTGCCATTTTCTCTTTTACCACAGAAAAGTCAGAATGGAGATCAACACAAACAAGTGTTTGGTCATTGAGATTGAAGGAGATAAGGCCCACGGGAAACAGTACTTGGAAAATCTGAAGAGCCTAGAGCAGGAAATATGGGATGGAAAACTGGATTTATTCAAAATAAGTAAAGATGGTATGTACATTACCTGTGACAAGACCTTTCCAAATGTACAATGATTTTTGACCCAGTGATCTTGATTTTGATATTCTTTTCAAAAATTTTCAAAATGGTGACCACTGACCAGGTACATCTACATTGCTTGTGACAACTCCTGTCAGAAAGAACTGTCATTTTTAGCTCATCTGAACTGAAAGCTCAAGTGAGCTTTTCTGATCACTCGGTGTCCGGCGTCCGTTCGTCTGTCTGTAAACTTTTCACATTTTCAACTTCTTCTCTAGAACTACAGGACCAATTTTAACGAAAATTGGTAAAAAGCATCCCTGGGTAAAGGAGATTGTTGAAATGATGGGGAAATCCCCTTCCAAGGGGAGATAATCAAGAAAAGGCAAAAAATAGGGAGGGAACTTTTAAAATCTTCTTCTCAAGAACCACAGGACCAGAAAAGCTGAAACTTACTTGGAAGCTTTCTGAGGTAGCAGTGTAGATACTAAATTGTTCAAATCATGGCCCCTGGGGTAGGGTGGAATCATAATAGGGAAATTAAAGTTGTACTTTGAAGTATATAGGGAAAAGCTGTAAAAGTTTTCTTCTAAAGAACCATTGGAGTAGGAAAGCTGAAATTTATGTGGAAGTGTCCTGAGGTAGTGTTGTTCAATTCATGGCCCTTGGGGATCAGGCATGGCCACAACAGTGATAACATAGGGGGAAAACCTTTAAAACTCACTAAGAGCAAATCCACGATGAATCATATTAATTTAGAAGCATCCTGTGGTATTTTAGATCCATTTTTGTTCATATCATAGCTCTTGTGGGCCCACAAAAGGTGATAAAAAATACAGAAAAATACATGTATTTGAAGGGGGGGGGGAGGGAATCTGATCCAGAACAGCAGGACCAAAGTGACTCAGGTGAGCATTATGGCCTGTGGGCCTCTTGTTGACTTCATGACCTTGTCCTAGAAGTTTGAGCTTCTTATCTTAAATTTTAATTTTGGTCTTACTGTTGCTTCAGAAGAGACTTTTTCTCCCATATGCATTAACTGTAACAAGATCTTTCAGATTGTTTTTTGATATTTGACCTGATGACCTTAAGTATGATTCAGATTTAAAATTTGAATCTTTATAAAAATGTATTTGTTTTGTACGATGGACACTGGACAGACAAGACAGGACACACAGATAAGATGGTTAAAATTTGCCATGAAATATGTCATGAATAATTGCATCCCAACCACTTAGACACTGAAAGGGACTACAATTCTTTGAATTTGTAGATTGTATCTCTACCCTATGACTTTTACAGCTTTTCAAGTTTTACTCATTTTAGATATATTGGTTCAGGGTAAATAGATTAGAATTTGAGATAAATCTGTTTATTATAGAGACAGATGTTGCAATCATGTCAAATGGACTACGGAAGGAAGAAAAGCAGTTCATTAAAATGGCAGAATGCCAGCTTCAGTGTGGAATTATAGTAGGAAACAGCAGTAAAAAAGTCCGGCTTCCTTTTCAGTCACGACCATTTAGACAGACGTAAGAAGTATATATACTTATATTTTTTCTATTCTTGTGTATCTTATTTTTAGTAACTTTTAGTATTAATATAGTTACAAGGGGCATTTGAAAAGTTCTGAGAACTGTTTGATAAAATATGAACTGTTTAACGGGAGTTAACATTTGTTATCATTGAAAAGATCAGAAAAATTTACACATATTGTGATGACACTTTGTAATCTAATATGACGCAGAATCTCCAAAAATGACGTCAGACTCTCATGGGTTTAGCAGACTGACCATAAAAATGACATAACAAGAGACACAATTTCAGCAAGGTAAAAATTTAACAACTTTTGTTCATTACCTGGATGCAATTAATTGTCAGCTGGGAGAATGTTCATATATACTACAGTCTATCATATATGGAGTTTTATGAAGGAGCTCCTATAGTTCTGTAGGTGGTTTAAGAGTGTGTCAAACATAGCATGTTATTATTGAATCTCACACTAAATATTGGGTAAAAAAGATGTTGCTGTGAGAAAATAATAAACGCCGACAATCACAGGAGAATAGTGGATGGTGTTGCAGAATTTGCCAGCGTTATTTTGTCAGGTGTTTTAACCAGTTTGCAAATTTGATTAAAGTTCAGGAGAGGTTTAGCTAAGGGCATCCAATATTTCTAAGAAAAACCAAAAGGGCACCCCTGTACTTGTAACCCCACCGCAACTCAATAAAGTCGCAAATTTTAAGCCATTGGAAAATAATTGTCACAGTTGATATTTAATTCAATATTTTGTTACGTAATAAATTATATTTGATTAGCGCGCATTGCTAATCAAACATAGCGCCGTCTGTGTGAATGAGTGCCATGTGTGAATGTTTTGTTTTGTCACGTGATATTTCTATTTTTAGTTTACAAACTGACCAGGTATACGAATACGACCAGTGGACCAATGACAGACCACTATTTGATAATTAATATGCATGTATACTACATGTAACTTCGTGCACTACATAAGCGCTTATCCCACCAAATCAAATAACTATTAGATTTCTACCTTTACGGTGTAAGAGGTCCAAACTTTCATGTTACTTTTGAAGTCATCGACTTTCACGATGCCTTGATAATTATGTTTCATATTTTATAATACTGGATACCTGGTAAGATTTATTTCTAATGATGTAAATACTTATTAAACCAATTTCGATAATACGTAATTTATCTTTATTGGCAGCGACGTGAATTTTCATGTTATGTAATTTGTAATTTTGTTTAATGTGCCGTATTTGTCTCTTGTTAATGTGTGTGTGTTGTGAGTGTGTTTTCTATGTTTTCTAGGTTCCATTTCTTTGTTATCCTCATTAAAACTTCATAAATCCGAATCCAGCGTTATATTCTTTAACAATGACCCTGTGACATAATTAAGGAATGTTTTTAAGTTTTGTGTGAGTTATTGGTGTGTAAATCACACAAACTTGTCACGTAGGCATATTTCATGAAGCGCACTAGCGCTTCATGAAAAATATGCCTACGTGCAAGTCTGTATGATTTACACACCAATAATTCACACTAAACTTAAAAACATTCCTTATATTTACATTTTACAAGTTTAAAAGCACCAATAATATACTTAATATTTGGATTTCTTGCTGTCCTATATCATTAGAGACTACGTCTAATTTTGCTGTCCTATATCATTAGATGACTACGTCTCTGTAGCCTCATTGTGACGTCACTTTAGCGTGAGTTTCACCGTGTATATTTCTACGCGTGAGTATACACAAAAATGACTTTCAAATCAATTTCACAGTTGGCTTAGTAGAAAAACACAGCAAATGTAAATATTTAAAATTGTAAACAACAATGAAATTCAGATTTTTTTATTTTTTTTTTTTGAGTCAAAAGTCAAAAGCGATAATGAGTTCTTGATCGCCGAAGTTGAAATGATATGAAAAAATATGCACAGAAACAATTCTGAAGGAAGACTTTTGTATGTTTTATTCATAAATGGTAAGATCAGTCCTGTAACTCAACATTTCTGTCTCTTTTCAATGATTCCAAGCTCATTAACTTCCGTTAAACTGTAAATATTTCACGGTGTAGTACCTAAATGGTTGCTATCAGAAAAAATGCGCGTACATTACTGTATCTGAAAATTGTGTGGTTGCTATTGGAAAAAAATGGACGAAATGGTAAGTATTTTTCTTCGCTGGCTCAATAAAATGGTCAATAATTCAATTATCAAAGTTAAGCTACTTATTATTTCACCCTTACGGAACGTAACATACCTTTTAAAACTAACATGTATCTCTAATTTTTTATGAATAAAAGGATTGTTGATGTATAGAACGAAAACTGTCGTAAGTCTCGGACACACTTACATGCACATAAGACATATATTTAATTAGCGTCAAAATGTTTAGATATTTGATAAAAATGAATCGACAGATCGGTGTATTTTTGTAAAACGTATTGATTATTTCATAGAATTACCCATTTCAAACGGTTTCTTAAAAACAAAAGGGTTTTCATGCGGAGAAACTTATGTTACGGCTACTATTAGACAACAACACCGGTTTCTATTGGAAATGTCTTAAGTTTTCAATTTTTCTTTAATACACGTCCTTAATTCACATCTATTATGCAGTACTTTAGAAAACTATATTTGAAATGTTCATTCTATATTCTTTTTAATAACTGACTTGTTTATATTACCTTGATTTCGATCCTATAATGATAAATTGGTTTATTTCAATATCTATATGTATGGTATGACTAATAATAATAGTAGTGTTTGTAAATACCCTGTACATTTACTAAGTATCCTGCACACAATAAAATTGTTAGTCTTTAAATTATGTGCACCTTCCATTGAATTTATTAGATTTCACCTGAGTAATTATGCCAGATTCACAAATAAAGGATCGCTCATGTTTTTTTGTTTTATTTTTTGTTTTTGTTTTTTTTTTTTTGGTTGGATATAAACTATAAACTTTTATCCAATGAGTTGTGGTAATATAGTTTCTTTAGAATGGACTTGTCCCAAACACTTTTCAAAATTTGAAGGCCAGATCAGCAGCATCGGATCCTCTATATGTGTAAGCAAGGCAACCATAGATACACCATCCTTACAAGTTTCATCCAAGTGAGCGGCTCGCTTGAATAACAGACCTTATTATAGATGCTACTATATTATACATCCAGTTCAATAAACTACTTTTTTTAAATTCAGTTTTTGATGTACGAGTACAGTATGGTCAAACACTCCTAATGTCCAAAAAATATGTACATGTATTGAAAATACGAAAGTGGAATTGCACACAATTACCCCCCCCCCCCCTTTCTGTTTCAAAAAAGACTACATTTGTCTGTAAATAATAGTAATGCCCTCTCCTTTAAATGTACATAATTATATATTACTTACTGGATAAAATATTAGCCTTTTTTCATGTTCGGATCTCCACCTTTTTTAACGGAAGGGGGGTTCAAAGCCCACTCAAAAGAGACAGAGAGAGAAATAGAGGTAAATATAAGAAAATTGAAAAGCAAATAAGTAGCTCAGTCTTCTCCATCTGAAAGACCTTCTTCTTTCGAGCCCACCCCCCAGGGGGGTGATTGTCTCTTCTATCTGCATAAATTTAATAATCCAGAAAAATCATCCAAAAACGGGAATCGGACATCCTCTCCACTCAAGATCCGATGGTTTGAATAATGCGTGTTAATTGTATTTTCTGATGCAACAGCGTACCAAAGCACTACTGTCATAGGTTATACTGAAAATTTACTAGATATTATTTAGGTCTAAGTATACATATAGGCTACAAAAATTTAAAAAGAAATAGTTTTCGAAAGCTTTCCAAAGCTTTTGAAGTACTGATGGTAAAGTTCTTTCATTTAATTTAACCTTACGTTTCCTTCGTATAGCTTTCTTTTTGATTTTGTATAGTGATGTTTTTCGAAGATCAGCTCTACTTGGCAGAACACAACAAATTCGAGTTAAGTTGATAAATGTCAATTGTACATGTAGACATTGTGTTCCATATGCTCTTTGGATGAATATATTTACAATGCCTGTGCAGCCATAAGATTTTTAATTTTCTCTTTCTTGATTGAAAAACAAATTATATTTCAAATAGCAGCCGGTGCATTATATTTAGTTTATATAGCCAGTGCCTACATACCAACATTTCTGATAGTAACCGTAACTTAAGAAGATCGTGTTTTGTCCAAAAATCTCTTTCAAAATACACTTTTTATAAAAATTATCATATCTACGAATTATTATAGATTGACACATCTTTACATACCAAAATGAACTCAAACTAACCTACAAATGATGAAAAAAGGCATGGAAACTTTGAGTATATTGACTTGCGAATGGGTACATGCTTCGGAAATTTTACTATATTTAAATTTTTAGAAGGTTGTTCTACAAAATGCTTCTGGCATCATTTAAAGAAATCCCTTACTTGTTCCGTGCACAAGGATTTTTCTGAGACTAAATCGATTTGAGGTCACTTTCTGACAACTTTACCTCTTGTTCCAAGTTTTTCCGACATATTTATTTCAGCTAGTAGTCGTAAAATTTACGAAACAATAAACGCTTTTTTGTTCTGATAGCAACTGTTTAGGTACTACACCGTGTATTTTATCAAACAGTTCTCAGAACTTTACAAATATCCCTCATAAAAAAAAGGTCAGAAAAAAAAAAGATCGATTGCAAATGATACCCCTTAATATGTCGATGTTCGTATGAACAAAGGTACGTATAGTTTTTAAAAAATTGTTGATTCAAAACCACATAGGAATGATTGTAAAATGCATTAATCAATTGCAACTACTAATGGAATAAAACTTGATATCATTGACTTTTATTTAGTTTCAAAGAGGAGGATATCTTTAGTGACCTTCCAACTTCACAAGCAGAGTCTCGCTCCCGACGTTTTTCTGACTGGGAAAGAGCGACACATTCAGAGAAATTAAATGTGAGGGGCTCTACAATCCAGGTCCTTAATGTTGACGTAACACTCTGCAAGGTGTGAATCCAAAAGTGTTTTGTTTTTTTTACAAATATGTGTTGTATGTATGAGAATTAGCGAAGATAATTTGTTATGACATATTTTTAGAAATCAAATTTATAGCTCACCTGAGCCGAAGGCAAAGAGTGTCCAGCGTCTGTCTGTCATCTGTAAACTTTTCACATTTTCAACTTCTTCTCCAGAACCACTGGGCCAATTTCAACCAAACTTGCCACAAAGCATCCTTGGGTGAAGGGAATTCAAGTTTGTTCAAAGGAAGTGCCAAGCTCTTATTCAAGGGGAGATAAATTCATGAAAATTTGGTAGCATCTTTTAAAAATCTTCTGAAGAACCAGAGGGCAGGAAAAGATGAAACTTACGTGAAAGCTTCATTACATACTCTAGATTCAAATTTGTTCATATCATAACCCCCGAGAGTAGGGTGGTGCCACAGGAGGGAATCAAAGTTTTACATGGAAATATACATGAAATGTCTTTAAAAATCTTCTTGAGAACAACAAAGCCATGATTAGTTATATTATTATAGAAGTATCCTCAGGTAGTGAAGATTCAAGTTTGTTTGTTTCAGTCATGACCCCTGGGCGGTAGGGCAGGGCCACAACAGAGGGTCAAGGTTTACCATAGGAATATATAGGAAATTTCTGTTTAAATTTTCTTCTCAAGAACAGCTAAGCCATCTTCATGTAGTGTAGATTCAAGTTTGTTCAAATCATGACCCCAGGGGTAGGTCGGGGCACAATAGTGGGTCAAAGTTTTACATAGGAATATATAGGAAACATCTTTAAAAATCTTCTCAAGAACAACTAAGCCATTACATGTACAAGTCATATTTACACAGAGGCAACTTTAGGTATTGTAGAATCAAGTTTGTTCAAATTATGCCCCCCCCCCCCCCCCCCCCCCCCCCCAGCTTAGGAGAGCTCAACAAAGGGTCAAAGTTTTACATAAGAATAAATAGAAATCATCTTGAAAAAATCTTCTGCTTAAGAAAGCAAAGCCATGATTAGTCATATTATTTTAGAAGCATCTTCAGGTAGTGTAGATTCAAATTTGTTCAAATAGGGTTGGTAGGGTGGAACTACAATGAGCGATCAGTTTTACATAGGAAAAAATCTTTAAAATTCTTCTGCTCAAGAACAGCAAAGCCATGCTTAGTAATATTGATATGGAAGCATCCTGAGGTAGTGTAAATTCAAGTTTGAAAAAATCTTAGAATAGCTGGACTACAACACAGTATTTATATGGAAGCATCCCCATGTAGTGAATTTCCAAATTTGTACAAACCCTGGCTCTTGGCTGGATAGCAGCTTATCAATAAAAATTGGAATTTTTAATTCACTGTCTTCCAGTCAAATGATGGAAAGTTACATCAAAGTCAATAAGTCATATACATACTAAAGCTTAAAGCTGGTTTTGATAGTGACTAACATGCATGTACAACTTTGCCAGGTCCAGCATTTTCCAAATGATGGAAGCTGAATTTTTCATTAAATCTGTCACTGATATAAACATAATATTATATAAATTGTGCCTGTTTTGGAGGGTAACAGTCGAAATTGACACCTCAAGGAAAACCATTGTCAACCTCCACTGATGCGTCGGTTGACAATGGTTTTCCTTGGGGTATCAATTTTGACTGTTACCCTCCAAAACAGGCACCATTTATTTTATTATACTGAATGTCTTAATGATTTAGGATGTTAGCAAAAAAATTGTCGATCATTGTTAAGTTCACATTTAGAAAGCTTTCAAACTTCCCGCTACTATTTTTCTCAATAAGAAAGCTTTGTAAAAGATTTACGGACCTCCTTATTGTTTGTTTGATATTCAAAGAGTCCTTAATTATCTAAAGTTTTGTTATTTCTGTACTTGCAAGCATGTTTTGTTTGTCGTTTGTTGTTTTCAATTAAGCTACATCGGCCATATTTTATTGACATCAAGTTTATTCAGCTTCTTTCAAACACACAACTGATGTTTTGAGAATTCTACGGTGAACTGACGCGCATGATTTGCATGCAGGTGACAATTTTTTCATTGTGTTACCCGTTGTCAAGTGTGTTGCTAATGCTGAGGGTAACATTACGGATTGTTAAATGCGTCTAAACCAATCAGATTTTAGTATTCAACATGAAAGTATAATAATATTATTATCTATGAGTTGTTAATAAAAAATTTCCCACATATTGAATAGTAACTGTCTAAGACTCATTATAAGATTCGCCATCTTTCTGTTTACTCATATGAAATTTGGCTTTTGTATTTACACTTGAACTTCATTATCTCAAACAACGATAGCTCGAATACCAGGGATATGTTGAAGTGAGTTGGCAGTCCCAACTGTTTTTTCTTATGTTTTTTTTTGTCCTTATAGTTATCTCAAATCTGCAAATATATATCAAAGTTTATTCTTGAACCCATTGAGTTTGAGATAACAAAGTTTGACTGTATAAATGAAATGCAAATAACATTTGTTTAACTTGCAGTGCAAAAATGACAGCAAATTTGTCTTATTCAAGGGTGAATGATAAATGTCCATAAAACTGACAATTAAACACAATGACTTGCATTGTGTATATACTAATTTTAAAAATGATTTTTTTCAGGCCAAGTGTTTGGTAAACTTCTTTGATAGTTCATCAGGATTATCAACCAGAGGAAAGATTTTTGAACGCTTCATGAAAGAGGGTGGACAAGAATTATCTGATGTATGCATATATACATCAAGTATATAAAGTTTTCATTAGCTTACATTTACAGTAAGCAAAATTAACATTTTGTGATCAAACTTTTTTTCTTCATTCACAATAAAACTTTGGCTTATAATAGAATGAGGAGACTCTAAATGGGGAAATCTTTTGGTTTTTGTGATGTTTGTTTACCAAACTAATATTCCACATAGATGTTATTTTTATGAAAATAAAGAAAAAGGAAATTGGTTCTATACACTTGCAATACTACAACCACTAATTTTTGTGACATACTTTTGTTCCCAATTCATCATTGAAATCCATTAATGACGATTAATTTTCTTAGCAGGAAACACTGGACACAGATACATTAATACATGTATTAAATAGTTTGTTCTAGATAAGAAATACTAACAATTAAGGTCACAAAATGAGGGTATTTTTCACACTCAAAGTATCTTTACAGTATCAGTCCCAGATCTAAAAAAAAAAGGGGGGGGGGGGTCTAGCTGTAATTAAAAATTTTCTACAATGCATTGGTTAATTGACATAAATCTCTTGTTTTCCAGGAACTTTCTTCAAATTATGACTCTTCAGAAAATATTATCATGACTAAAAGTGGTGGTAAACTTCAATGTCAGCATGTTTGTCATATATTGCTCCCAAAATACAGAGGAAATCATTCATCAATACAGGTTAGTCTCACACCTGTTTACTCTTACGATTTCGCCATATTTTGTACGGATTTTGAGTCCAAAATACATCTCAGTTTTGCTATGATGAAAATACGGAAATTGAAAATCCGTTCTTTTGGATTTTAGCAGTTAATTTTTATTATAATCTGTCTCAGTTTGACTTTTTTTAATCACTAAAAAACAGAAAGATTTCAAACACTTGAGTGATGTCAGGTTGCCAAAAGCGGTGGTTTAAAAAATGACAGAAACCCCTCGAAAGAAAGCAAGTTATGATATTTTCCTTTGTTATGTTTTGGTAATCAGAAATGCACATGTAGTTGTTCTTGAGTAATATATGTAAAATCGATGGAAAGTGAAATCTTACGGGCAAATGCCATAACCTCACTGACAAATCTAACAAAAAATACTGAGAGACAACAATATGGATAAACAGGTCTCTAGTCTGGTTTTGCAATCATATCCCAGGGTATCATTAGTTTTAATGTTAAGTTGTAAAAGAGATTGACTAATATGGTCTGTTATTCTGCACAAACTTAATGTATTTTAATTGTCTTGCAAATTTTAACAAAAATCACAATTCTTTAATGCAAGTGCAGATAAAGTCAAATACCCTAGTATCTAAAGATTCAATGATTGTTCAATGTATCATGTCTTTATAATAAAAATCATTTTTATTTTCGTGTGAATTTTTGTATGGTGATGTTATGAATATGTAATATGATTTTTTAAGATAATTATATACAATCAATCCATTCATTCTACGAAGTTTATCATGAGAGATATACTGATAATTGATATACAGGTACTATGTGTTCATTTATTGATTGATTGAAATTTTAGAAGCTGCAGCAGGCAGTTAGGGAATGTTTTAGAATGTGTGCTGATCTTGATGTGTACGATATAGCAGTGCCAGCGTTAGGTGTAGGACATTTGTTACAGTATCCTGAAGGAGAAGTGGCTAATCTCCTCATATCAGAGAGTGTCTCACAAGCAAAAACAGACAGGCAATGGAAGGTAAAAAAAAAAAAAAGAATGAAGAATGTAATTATTTTTGAAGGGTTGGAAAACTATGATTTACACTTGGATTATGAAAATTCCTTTAAAAGAATTTCTATATTCAATTACTTTTAAAAAAAATTCTGAAAATCAGTACAGTCAATTTTGTAGTCATTATATCAATTATATTTTCTTATTTTCAGATAACATTTGCCATATATGACAAGAAAATCTTCTCAGTTTTTAAACAGAACCTTGACCTAAGAAGGCAGGGAAAAGAAGGAACAAGTAAATAATGATACATTTTAGTTTTGTTCAAGGGATATTTTATTTGCTGATATATACAATATACATGTAAACCAATTCTTATTGTATAAATAGTGCATGTTTTTGAGGGAAACAGTTGAAATTGACACCCCTTGGAAAACCATTGCCAATTATAACAGGAGCAGAGGTTAATGACTAGTTATACCCCCGCTCCGAAGGAGAGGGGGATATACTGTTTTACCCTTGTGTGTCTATCTGTCTGTCCATCTGTCTGTGTGTCTGTCCGTAACAAATTTTGGTTGCAGTTTTCTCAGCAACTACTCATCGCAGATGCTTGAAATTTTAGCACACTCTTTGTTTAGGCAGGCCATATGCAGGGATTCATTTTTGTACAAATCCGATGTCAACTTCCTGTTTATCCGTGTGTCTGTCTGTACCATACATAACAAATTTTGGTCGCAGTTTTCTCAGCAACTACTCATCGCAGATGCTTGAAATTTTAGCACACTCTTTGTTTAAGCATGCCATATGTTTGAATTCATTTTTGTACTGATCCGATGTTAACTTCCTGTTTATCCGTGCATCTGTCCATACCATACATAACAAATTTTGGTCGCAGTTTTCTCAGCAACTACTCATCGCAGTTGCTTGAAATTTTAGCACACTCTTTGTTTAAGCATGCCATATGTTGGGATTCATTTTTGTACGAATCCGATGTCAACTTCCTGTTTATCCGTGCGTCTGTCCATACCATACATAACAAATTTTGGTCGCAGTTTTCTCAGCAACTACTCATTGCAGATGCTTGAAATTTTAGCACACTCTTTGTTTAAGCATGCCATATGCAGGGATTCATTTTTGTAAAGATCCAATGTCCGCTTCCTGATTATCACTGTCTGTCCATAACTGAACTTGTATATTCATATCAGAGCGGGGGTATTATTAGCGAGCATTGGCTTACAGACTTCTTGTTTTCTGAGGGATGACATTTTCAACTGTTAACCTCAGAAACATGAACTATTTATTTTATTATACTGAATATCCGAGCGGGGGTATTATTAGTGAGCATTGGCTCACAGACTTCTTGCTTTCTGAGGGATGACATTTTGAACTGTTAACCTCAGAAACATGAACTATTTATTTTATTATACTGAATATCCTTTAATGATTTTTCAGCTGATTTTGAAGGGGATCTAGATACATGTGCTGGTAATGGACTCATTTGTGCTTATGCTATACTCTCTGATTGCTTGTTTTATGTACTCCAATTTACTTCTTCTTCTTTTTGAAGACTCTAGCAAACATGGAGTTCTAAGGAGGGAGTCCTCTGTTCCCAGTCTCCCTGTTCACACATTAGGTAGAGAAGGGCAAAGAAACTCAACACCAGATTTCAAAAGGTACAGAGACCATAAAAGTTTTGAGTGGGAAGGAAGGAAGGGCTGGTCGCGTCCAAAGAGTGCTAACGGAAGTCCACAAGACATTGCAGGAGACCAGTCCAAAATGACACCTGTGATTGAACTACACATATATGCTTTATCCAGAGACAAAGGGGAATCAATACGAAGTGAACTCTCTCAAATGATTAAAGAAAGGTTTCTGCATGAACATAGCATTGAGAGAATAAATTTTAGTGAAATGCCAAAACATAAAGAAAAGAAAATGTATGAAATTGGTCAGAAGTATGATGTCTTTGTTTCACTTGATAAAGGTAATACTTTGAAAAGTCAAACATTATTTAAAGAAAGTTGAATTGCTATGTCAGTAATAAGAAAGAATGTGTTATGATAAGGGTTATGATTATAACATATACATCTATCTGCAACTGTCTTGTCTACATGTGATTGAGAATTTGTGACATTTTGCTGCTTTAGGGCTAATGTTTTAACTTTATAGCAGTCATGCTTTGGGATCCATGATAACTATAATAAATAGCTAAATTTAACAGATTTGTAGCCATCAGGAATCAAAATTTTGACCTCTTTAGGACACCTGTATCACAAATGACATATTGCTATTTATTTTCATCCAAACTTGGAACTTAATTTCCACATTTTCATCTTCTTCACCAGAACCATTGCATGGACCAATTTAACCGAACTTGCAAAAGACATCCTTGATTGGTAGAAATTCAATTTCTTTTTTTTTTCCCCCAAAAGAAGGGTAATATCTCTTTTCAAGGGGAGGTCATTAAGAAATGGAGAAAACAGGTGGATTTTTTTCAAAATGTCATCTCAAGAACAACTGAGTCAGAAATGACAAACTTACATGTTGAGGTTTATTCAAACCTATTGTTGTGGAATGAAATGAAAGACGTCTTGATCGTATAGTGGTTTATTTGAGACTTGTTATTATCTATAGAAACAAACGAAAGTATTATGACGTCACAACAAAGTTAACGTTACATGAACTCGCGGATAATCCATGACACTCCGGGCACCAAAATGAATAGTAAAATTTTAAAAAGCTCATATTAAATTAACAGTTCCATTGAAATAAAAAGCAAGTTCATAATCATTAAATTAAGAAGTCCATTCACGGATTCTTTCTTTGGCTTTTGTTTTTGATACTCGATCAGAAGATTGTATTTGAAGTTCGTTCTCATTCACTTCGATTGGATATAGTTTCAAAATTGGTCTATTGGTAAGTCCATTTTTGGTCCGTAAAGTGGCAGCTCTGACGAATCCGTCTCTCCCCTGTATGAGTTCCTCCACGACAGCTAGTTTCCACATGATCCGAGGTTTCTCCTCATGGATTTGGACAATGTCACCGACTTTAATATTCTGCGACCTGTTTCCATTTGCTGTATGGTACTCTCTCAGTGATGTCAAATATTCTCTCTTCCAGCGGCTCCAAAAGTGATTTAAAATAGTATTCTGATTATCCAATCGTTGGTTTAGACGACGACAAGTCAATGAATGACAGTCGTTTGAATTCTCTGGGTCCTCTGTTGGGTATGGTAAGGAAGTCAGTCTTCTTCCGTACAGCAAATGTGATGGTGTTAATGGCTCTGGATCCTCGAGGTTCGATGAAACGTATGTTAACGGACGGTCATTTACTATCGCTTCAACCTCTGTGACTACAGTTTGTAAGGTTTCTAAATCGATGTATGAACGGCCGATTATCTTCTTCAGTGTGGATTTGGTAATTCCTATGAGTCGTTCCCAAAAGCCTCCATACCATGGAGCTGCCTTTGGAATGAATTTCCAAATAACTCCTATATTTGCGAGTTCTTCTTTAATAGTTTTAGATTCAAACAGTTGTTGCAGGTAATTCGCTGCGGACTTGAAAGTTGGCGCATTATCTGAGATGATTATCTTAGGCACGGACCTTCGGCTTGCAAATCTACGGAACGCCCGTAAAAATGACTGTTCGGATAAATCATTGACTGTCTCTAGATGAATTGCTCTTGTATTAGCACATGTAAATAGGCAAATATAAGCTTTGGATTGTCTTCGGTTCCGTTCCTTAACGAATAAAGCTCCTGTGAAGTCTACTCCCGTAGTAGTGAATGGCGCTGATTCCTCTGTACGAAAATAGGGTAAAGGCGGTAGCTCTGGTGAGGAATAGTGTTTTCCATTTACAGTTCTGCAAATTACGCAATTCCGAGTGACAGAATTTACAGCCTGTCTGATTGCTGGTATCCAAAACTTTTGTCGGATGTATGACACTGTCGCATTCGTACCAGAATGGCCACTCCGCTGATGAGCGTCTCTGATGATCAAGTGTGTAACAGTGTCCTTCTTTGGAAGTAAATAAGGGTTCTTTGTCTCGTTGTCTATTTCGGCATAGCAAATCCTACCTCTACAGCGTATGCATCCATCAGTATCAAGAAATAGACGAAGTTGTCTGATAAGAGATGGTTTGGCTCCATTGGAATTCATTTTCATAATCTCCTCGGAAAATGAGTTCTTTTGACATCCTTTTATTAAGTTCTTTTCGATAATCCATGACACTTATTGCCATTTCAGAAACTGTTTAATAATAACTACTGTGGATCCTAAACAAACACTTTAATTTTTTTTCTTATTAACTTCTTTGTAAAACTAAAGAACTCTACAATATCTTCCCTTGGTCCAAATGACAGAAGTGTTTGCCCCTCTCTGCAGTTTTCAGTGACATATATGGATTTGTCAGTAATTTGAACTTTTCAATAATCCAAGTATATATCATCAGTATGTCTGAGGTGTTTTTGTGGATCCCTATCCATCATTGCTAAAGCATATGTCTGACATAGAGAAAATAAAATTTGGAGCATGCATAACCAAGGAATGTATCTTCCTGAGGTAAATCCATAAACTGTATTATAAAGCTAAAGTTCGGGACAATTACTGAAAAAAAACTTGCATGATGACATGCAGGTCACCATTAAAACCTGTGTATTTGTTCTAAGAAAATGTTTTGGTACATGTAGTACATGAATTATGATATTATAATTAGGGTTCTGATAGACTTCATAAGAAAATATCTTATTTTAATGGATTAAAAAATTTATTTACGTAGATTTTTTTTTACAAGTTTTATTCATTTTTGGTCATTTTATTTTTAATAGGTAAGAATAGAATATCTTTGAAGGGTTCAGTTAAGGGAGTAAGCAAGGCAGGACAAGAAATAGAAAGTATCTGTACTTCAGCATCCCCTCAAGAGCCTTCGGTAAGACGAGAAAATAAACATCGCCACGGCACCGAGGAATACTGGAAAAAACTTGTAGAAGAACCACCTGTACCAACCTACTGGAAACACTTTAAGGATGGGAAATCACTTTTTGATTATGTCAAAGGACTTTTTACAAGCACAGAAAAACGCTACGAAGTGGATCCGAAAACTTTCCATGCAATTCGCAAACTAGTAGAAAGGACATTTAACCCAGAATTAGTCGGACAAGGAGCAGATGCAAGAAACCTCAACCATAAAAAAATTCATGTTCAAAAAGTAGAACTCATTGAGAATATTGATTTGTATCAAGAATATAGCCTTAAACGCAGGAAGATGTTAGCTAAAAGCATCAACAAAACGAAAGGGGCAAAATTCCCAACTAAACTGCAAATGGTTCCTGGAAAGCAAGGAATACAGAATGTTGTTGCAAAAGGTGCAATCGTCACTGAAAAAATTATTGATGAAAGGCTTAAAAAAGACATCATATCAGAACTGAATGAGGTTTACCTGTTTCACGGCACTAAAAGTCAATTTGTTGGGAATATTGTGTCAAAAGGCGTTGATCCGAAACATGGAAGTGATAGTGGCATGTTTGGTCGTGGAATTTACTGTGCTGAAAGTTCTACAAAAGCTGACCAGTATGCAGGTTTGTGTACATTTCAATATTTTTAAAAAATGTCTTAATTGCGAAAAATTACCTAATCTAGAGGTGCTATTTAAAAAGAGATGATCTAAATGAAATATAGGGAAATATACTAAAAAAAAAAACCTGCAACTGTTTACATTTTTCTATTTATAGATGATAAAGATAAACGAGGACAAAAAGGGAAAATGTTTCTAATGCGTCTCCTACTCGGACATATGTTTCTAACAGAGAGAGATAAGAAATATAAACAGCCACCATGCTATAATTGTTACAAGGATGACTGCGCAGAAGCCAACCATGTACGATTCGATTCTGTGGTAGGAGTTAAGCAACAGAGTGGGGGACTTTTCCGAGAGTTTGTGGTCTATGATAAAGATCAGTGCTACCCTGAATACTTAATCACTTACACCAGACTCTGATCCTTATCAAAACGTATAACCAGTACACAGCTAGTATACTGTGGTTTTTCCTTACCAGTGTATGTGTCTTTAGTCTATAACATTATACTCACTAGTGCATCAGTATCAAATACTGCAATACATGTAATAATAATAACAGGTTGTACAAATTATGATTCAATCATTGTTATGAAGTATACATTTAGATTAAATTATGATAACAATGTTACTCCTGACACTGGTTATATTAAGGATTTTTTGAGACATGTATTTTAGATTTCTAATTTTGTAGCTAAGTCACAATTGCAAAGAAAACTGGGGAGTTATTGTGCTTCTTACTGATCATGAATTAACTTACTTACCGTTCTTATCTTCTCTGCGCCCCGGAGGACACATGATGTAGTTCAACAAAAGACTCCATTTACGATGGTCACTGGCACCAACCTGGGCTTCTCTCCCACTGTTCCACCCCAGTTCTTCTCTTTCTCTCTCTACAGTGTTCTTTGACTTTCCTTGCTCTCTGTTTACTCCCAGAGCCCATGTTAAAGCAGGAACTGGTGTTAAGTTTGTCTATATAATTCAAATTGGAATATTCAATGAAAGTATACAAATATTCAATAAATAAAGTGAATAAAATCTGGTTTATTGTAAATATTGGTATACATCATCCTTTTTTTTTTATTTGAAGTACAATTTGATGTAGACTTTGTAGGTGTACAGTAAGGAATTAAATATTTGATATTTGTCAGTGTTAAATGAAAAATTGTTTCAAATGTGCAACCAAATTATAATTTAACAAATGATATCTTTTAATACAAACTCCAGCTGATGAACCAATTGTATTCCTAAGGGCATCTTCGATACAATGTTTTGAAAACATAAAACACTTCCATAAGGTCAACTTTAAAATAATGTTTGTTTGCCTCTCCCGACTCAGGATGAAATAAATGGGTCAGTGCATATCGGTAGGTGAGAAAAATGTTTTCCCCCAGAAAATTTCAAAATCAATGCTGAATTTTCAAAATTTATTTTCTGGAATGAATAAAAAAAAAAAGTTTTTCCTAGAGGTCAAAAAAAGTTTTGAATCCAGCCATTTTTAGCCAGTCAGTTGGGAATGGGCATGCAAACAAACATTTTTTTAAAAGATGGCCTAGACAATTTTCTTAGGTCATTAACTAATTTTCTGATAATTATTTAAAATTTAGTAACATGTACAACTCAAGATAATCAGGTAATTCATGCTTTCATTCTGAAATTGAGCTCTGTACAATATTACAGACTAATTCTATCATGCATGTAAGTCAAAGTTCAATGCAATTTATTTTGATTAGTAAACTCTTTGTATCTTTTAGACATTCTAAGAAGTGTTTCATTTTGTTGAAATTTGATTGTTTTAAACTGATAAAAACTTTGATTATGAAAGTATTTTTTGTATTGTACATTAAGAATTCTAAGACTTGTATAATTCTTTTATACCTTACTCAAAACAGAATAATTCAGTAGTTCTATACATGTATAGTATAAGATAAGAAGGTGGTGAAAGAAATCAATTTGAAAGAAATGGAAATTGCATGATCACTAGTAAATAAAATAAGGATGATTACAGCATTATGTTCCATTCAAATTTGTTAATCATTGTTATCTCTCTTTTTTGTGAAATCTAAAAAATATCTCAAATATTTGAATCTCAAATTCATATAGATATCAACTCATCATATTAATATTCGAATGTTTGAATATTCATTGACATCCAAAATTATAATATTGAAAAAATATTGAAATTTAAAATTAGCATAAAATTATTGAATGACCTTTTTGCACTCATAAAATATCAAATTTTTATTATTTTTCCATTATGAACTGAATGCCGATTGGCTGAAAACAACATGCAATTTCAAAAAAATGAAATAGAAATTTTTTTTTGTCAGTAAGTGTATGAGGTCATTTTTAAAAGAATTTCATTCCAGAAAAATTTAAGGCCTATGGGATCTACAACAGAGACTTTAGTTCTTCTTTAAATAACTGACTTGACTGTGATTGAAAGTATCTTCTGTTTTTTCATGTTGTTGTTTCATAAATGTTTGAATTTTAATACATGTAGTAGGTACATGTACATAATAATTATGTTAGCTGATATTAATTGAATTTTAAACTACCTAAGGATGCTTCCATATCAATATAACAAATGACTCTCCTGTTCTTGAGCAGAATATTATTAAAGATTTTTCCTATACGTTCCTTTGTAAAAATTTGATCCCCCATTGTGGCCCCCCCCCCCCCCCCCATCTCCTGGGGTCATCATTTGAACAAACTTGAATCTACACTACCTGAGGATGCTTCCATATCAAAAACTAATCATGGCTTTGCTGTTCTTGAGATGAAGATTTTTCATGTACATTCCTATGTTAAACTTTGATCACCCATTGTGGCCCCACCCTACCCCCTGGGGTCATCATTTGAGCAAGCTTGAATCTACACTACCTGAGGATGCTTCAATATCAATATGACTAAACATGGCTTTTCTGTTCTTGAGAAGATTTTTCCTATATATTCCTATGTAAAACTTTGATCCCCCATTGTGGCCCCATTCTACCCCCGAGGGGTCATGATTTAAAAAAAAAACTTGAATCTACACTACCTGAGGATGCTTCCTTATCAAAATGACTAATCCTGGCTTTGCTGTTCTTGAGATGAAGATTTTTAGAGATTTTTCATGTATATTCCTATTTAAAACTTTGATCCCACATTGTGGCCCCACCCTACCCCCCAGGGCATATTTTGAACAAGCTTGAATCTACACTACCTGAGGATGCTTCAATATCAGTATGACTAAACAAGGCTTTGCTGTTCTTGAGATGAAGATTTTTAGAAATTTTTCATATACATTCCTATGTAAAACTTTGATCCCACATTGTGGCACCCTACCCCCAGGGGTCATCATTTGAACAAACTTGAATTTACACTATGTGAAGATGGTTTCCTATAAGTTTCAGCTTTTTTGGCCCGTTGATTCTTGAGAAGAGGATTTTTTAAAACATGCCAGCAAGTTTTGTCTATTTCTGAATTATCACCTGTTGAATGAGGGCGTGGCCCTTCTTTGCACAAACTTGAATTCCCTTCCCCAAAGGATGCTTTGTGGCAAGTTTGGTTGAAATTGGCCCAGTGGTTCTGGAGAGGAAGTCAAAAATGTCAAAAGTTTACAGATGGACTTCAGGTGAGCTAAAAATCAAAATTCATGCTTACATTGAAGAGTTAACGGTAGTAGCTGTTGGATTGACTCTTCTATTAATTGTAACTTACCTAGGATAATACAACGATTTTGAAATATAGATCACATTTGCAGACGAGGCAGTGAATTAAAAAATTCAAAGGATTGAATTGCTGTCTTTTGAAAGAAGAAGTCCCATAACTGCAACAGTGTGTGCAAACAAATTTTCATAATGTGCTAACACACATTACTCAATTTTTTGCATACACCATTGCAGTTAAAAGATTCATCATTCAAAAAATTTAATTAATTCAATACTTAATTAACATTTTAACACTTTCAGCTTCGTCTCTGGAACTGCTAAACCAATTTTGGTACATGTATGTAGCATCTCTGGGCAAAGGGGAACAAAAAGCATGAATTTCATGTTCTCTAGCTCCCCCTGGGGCCTATGGGGTGGAGCTAAAACCATCCAAATTAATGCAATTTTTTAACTCCTGGAAATCAAGCTGTCATTACAAACTGTTGGCAAGATTATAATGAACATTGAGCCCTCTACCAAAATTATAAAATTCATGGCCCCAGGGTCAGGGGTTCTGACACTCGCACAATACATTCACTTCTATCATTGGCTCATGGATATATCAGAGATGAGCACAAGAAATAGTGGGTTTGTTTTAATTCATTATAATTGCCTGCATAATTTTTATCCTTTAATGTAGATATTTTTAAAGTAAATCTCGAACCATAAAAAATCCTTGGAATATCATGGTGTTTTTTTTTAACTTTAATAATGTCAAAAATTTTGATGCTAGCCCATTGCAGAGGTATCTGAGAGAGGAACGAAGGACAATTCTGCAAAGGAGATAGGGGTTCTGGTGGTAGGATGGGGCTCTATTGATCTTACAGTGAAAATGCATTAAATTTTTTGAAAATCACCTCTGCTTTTGAGTGTTAAGCAGACAAAGTTAGTGCATGGTTTTGATGAGCAAGGGTGCCTCTTCCAAAATTTGTGGCCCTTGGGTGAGGGATTCTTGTGTAAGGGTGGGGCTCTTTTGATCATGTAGTTAATTCTTAGAAAAGCTTCTTCTCTGCTCCTGGGTATTAGCAGACAAATTAAGTGCATTGTTATGTTGGGCATGAGTGCTTCTTCAAAAATTTTGAAATTTATAGCATTTGGGTCAGAGGTTTGGAGTTAGGTCAGTACTCTATTGATTATATGGTGAAAATGCATTAATTCTTTGAAAATCTTCTCTGCTTCTGAGAATTAAGCAAGAAAACTAAATGCATGGTATGATGAACAAAGATGTCTCTTTAGCAAAATTTTGAAAATCATGACCTATGGATAATGTGTTCTTGGTTAGAACGGAACTCTATTAATGAGAATGAAAATGCTTTAAGTTTTTGAAATTCTTCTCTTCTCCTGGGTATAAAGCACACAAACTAAGTGCATAGTTATGATGAGCAAGAGTGCTTCTACCAAAATTGTCAAATTTATGGCCCCTGGATCAGGGGTTCTGATGTTAGGGCGGGATATTATTGATTACTTAGTGATAATACATTATTGTTCAAAAATCTTCTTTTCTGCTCCTAGGTATCAAGCAGACTTTTCTGCTCCTAGGTATTAAGCAGACAAACTAAGTGCATGGTTTTGATGAGCCAGGGGATTTTCTGTAAATTTTGAAGTTCATAACCCTTGGGTCAGGGGTTTTGGTGTAAGGTTATGTGTTAGGGCATTTGTGAGAATGCATTAATTCTTCGAAAATCTCTTCTCAGCTTCTGGATGATTAGCAAACAACAAAGTGCATGGTTTTGATGAGGAAGAGTGCATCTTCCAATATTGTGAAATACATGGCCCCTGGGTCAGGAGTTCTGAAATTAAGGCAGGGCTCTATTACAATGCATAGGAGTTTTTACTCTGCTTTAAGAGAAGTTATTCCCATATGTCATTCGCCGATGATAATTAATAAATTTTAATAATGTAATTGATAAGTAAATTAAATAGAAGAATTATGATGGGTTGTTGCTGATTATATTGTTATCCCTGATCATTCTATTCCTCTTTTTTTGAGCAGCACTTATATATCTTCATCTATCAGTATATTTCATTTTATTATATACTGGTAATTATAAAATTACCATTCTAAGGTTTTATTATACTCAGGTGACCATTAAAGCCCTTGGGCCTCTTGATTTTATAGTTCATTAAATTGTTTGAACTATATAATATTTGTGGGTTTTTTTTGCAGAATCTGACTCGATCAGGCTAATGTTGCTTAATGTAGATATGATAGAAAGCAGAGGAAAAGATGTTCAATTCAGGGTCATATGACAAAATGTCATGAATTTTACACCATGGAAAATGTTGTGACGTGCAAAACTCCCGTGAGAATTTTTAAAAGTTGGCATGCTTATGTATCATGATACCTCTGATGTTCTAATGTTTTCCATATAAAACAGTAACAGTAATATTGAAATATATACGAGTATAATTGAATTACAGTCAAACCTCCTTATCTCAAACTTGTTGGGACAGAGGAAAAACTTTGGGATATCCGAGGTATCGAGATATTGAGTGTAAAGTACTTAAGAAATATGTGGTAAGGACTTCCCAATCACTTTGACATATCCATGGTATTCGACATATCCGTGTTCGAGATACTGAATTTCAACTGTATCTAGTATTTTTTGTCCTGCATTACATAATGCCATTATTTAATGAGCATGGATCTAATACCCTGTTTTTATGGTGAGTTTTACTCTTGAGCAAATAATTTGCATGTGTGTAAATTTTATACATTCCTATAAGCATATCTCACTGTATAAACACACATATATGCAAAAAATACTCCTGTAAGCATATTTGCACCTTATATTCAGGGGCACATAAAATCACAGGAGAACACATAGTAAATTTGCTTATGCACACAGGAGCAAATTCTCATGAGCAAATGTACTTATGAGTAAATGTACTCGTGAGTAAATTTCTAGCCATGTAAACACAATATTATTAATTAAGTTTGTTACTGTGCCACTGATGCTTTCACACATTTCTTTGATTTTTAAGACAGATCAATGTACTAGCAGACTACCTCTGTTTGCTTATAGTATGTTAAATTTAAGATTTTTTATATCCTCTTCTCCAGATAAATTTGAAATTAATTTGAAAATACAGTGGTAGGTTGTAGATATAAGATGGGTCAAGAGGGGAAAGGGGGAGGAAGGGAGTTGGAGCATGATGTAGGGGGTATTCTATATGTACCTTTTTTTCTCACAATATTATAAGTGCAGGTACTATGCTGAGTACAATTTTATCTGTTGAACACTTAAATATTTAGTTAGTCTTGTTATGTGTAAAAAAAACAAAACCTTAATTGTCATGTATGAATCGGTAATAAAAATATTTATCATACACACACTTTCTAGAGATTAATTGTTTGGGCATATTGTTGTTATCCTGGTTTGTCCATTCATCTATCACAACTTTCTTCTTCCTCAAACCAATCTTAAATTTTAAGCAGTGGCCAACTCATCTTTTGGAATAGGATTGGTGGTGCCTTGAACATATATATGCAGAAAGATTTTAAAAATTTTCATTTTCTCCCGGGGGTCAAATGGGGGTTAAAAAATACAAAAACCTGGTTCCCTGAACTGACCTCTTACATTTTTTGCAGTATAGCCAACTCATCTTTTGATATATGATTGGTGGTCTCCTGTAGGGCAGAGAGGTTTACAGAAAACTAAGCATAAACTGTGACTGTCCACCTGTAAGGCTGTCTCGGTCAATTATTGTTGCATTGAATGTCCTTGGAAATTTAATTTTCATTTTAATGTTAATTTTCTTTTCATATTACATGTCATAGAAGCCTTTAAGTGTAATAAATAGTTCCATTTACAGTATACTTCTCTTGTTAGCTGTTGTGGTTTACTGTTCTGACATTGCAGGCTCTCATTACTTTTAGTACTTTGATTTAAAAAAAACCTTGCAAACTGAAAGTAGACCTCATGTGTACTCTAGTCTTGCCAGTCGAGTGTTTCCTGTATGTTGATCATTATGTTTGTGCAAAATGAGTTTGTCCACCAGAGTAATTCAAACAACTGAGAAGTATCACGGAAATACTTAAAGAAATGCACTCATAATCACTTTGAATCATTCACGAAGACCCCATGGCAAATCGGCGGATGATAAGTAACTCCAAAGAACAGCTGTAGGATAGACATGTCACTGTTGGTACAGTGCAGAAATTGGATGGTTGCATTCATCTGGAATTTCATAATTTCCGTCTGGATGTCCAGTCAAATGATATGTTGTGGTATGTTTTTTGTTTACACAAAGTATTTGCAATATTATCTGATGACATCTCTTACATTCAAGTTGCTACTGTAGTGTTTTTTTTTAGGTCAACTCAGGTGACCTAAATTTCTACTGTGTCTGTTTTCCTTCGCCATCGTGCGATGTGCGTTAACATTTGAACATTTTCAGCTTCTTTTCTGAAACCGCTCAACCAATTTCAACCAATTTTGGCATATAACATCTATGGGTGAAGGGGAACAAAAAATTTGAATTTCATGGTCCCTGACCCCCACCCCACCCCCACCCCGGGACCTGAGGGGTGGGACAAAACCACTAAAATTAATGCAATCTTTAAAAATCTTCTTTACACCTGGACATCAAGCCGTCAAACTGTTGGCATGATTGTAATATCATCATTGAGGCCTCTACCAAAACTGTGAAATTCATGGCCCCAGGGTCAGGGGTTCTGGTGCTAGCGTGGGGCTCTGTTGAATATATAGTGAAAATGCATTAATTTCTTTAAAAATCTTCTCCTCTGCTCATGGGTACTAATTAGCAAACAAACTAAATGCTTAATTATGATGAGGAAGGTCCACTGCGCCTCTTCCAAAAGTTTGAATTTCATGGCCCCTGGGTTAGGAGTTCTGGTGTTAGTTGGGCTCTAATGAAAATACATTAATTCTTTGAAAATCTTCTCCTCTGCACCTAAGTATTTAGCTGATATGAGCTGTAAGTACATTGAAGTTCACAATGCATAAATTCTTTAAAAATCTTCTTAATCAAGGGTGCTTCTTCGAAAATTGTGGCCCCAAGGTGAGGGGTTCTGCTGGGGGGGGGGGGGGGGGGGCTCTATATTGATTACGTACCCGTTAGTGAAAGTGCATTATTTTTTAAAAATCTTCTTCTCTGCTCCTATGTATTAAGCAGATAAACCAAGTATATAGTTGTGACAATTATGACCCGGCGAGTTTTCCTTTGAAGTCAGCCATACAATAACTGCGATACAGAACACTTTTAGTGAGCATTTCTTATGCAAATGAGCAGAAACTGTACTGTATCTGAAAAATATCAACGATACAGTACGGTTTATTTTTAGCGATGACAGAAAACTGAATCCGTATCTTAAATAATATAGACATAAGAATCAATCAAATTGCAAGATAGCGCTGTTAGTATTTATTCAAAATTTGAGATGAATTAAGAATAGAATTTTACAACATAAAGTTACCAGTGGCGGATTAAAAAATTTTAGGAAGGAGCAAGTGGGGGCAGTACACAAATGGTTTTCATCGAAAAAAAAAATGTTCAAACTGGAAAATCGGGAGTTTCGTGGGGGGGAGGGGGGGTGTGTAGATTCATAATCAGGCCTGATACTGTATGTGCGTGATCGTTTCGTGTTGATAAATTAAAAGTGTATACAAGTTTAGCAAACATAATTTTTGAAAGCCAAAAAAGAAAAAAAATCGAAAGGGGGGGGGGGGGGGAGTACCGATGCGCGCGAGTGAGTGCTGGATCTGCCTTGGTTCCTCTACATTTTGTTTCAAACATGAAGGTAATATGCCCCCTTTCTTACATCTGTTTCTTTCAATTTGGAGCCAAGAATTTTGTATACACATGTATGACGACCGGTCGATGACATTGTCGGACATTTCTCTCAGAATACAACCTCCCCGAAACATTTTTGCTTCAAATACATTCCCATATATGATTCTTATGTATCAAAATGTTTTGCACTAAATTTGTAGCTTATTTAAAAAAAAAAGTCAGCAAGAGCTAAATAGAAAGGAAAGAAACCTACACAATCAAAATAAATTAAATTTTGGGAAAACACATTAAATAATGCATCTCATAATTATAATTATTTAAATTGATAGATACCTGCACGTCCACCTCACTCGGTATTTCAGTTGTGACTGATAAAAATGGGGTACTAAATCATCTTTCTGCAAAATCATCTGATTGGTTGAGAGATGTATACCCAAATACACATGTAAAAAAGCAAGGTCAGAAGAAAGGTCATGTCACAAGTCATTTAGAATACTCGTTTCCTACTGTATCGGAGATACAGGGCGGGGCCCGGCTCGAGCTTTCGCTCTCGCCTTAAGTCCCGCCCTGTATCTCCGATACAGTAGGAAACTCGTACTCTAAATATAACTTATGATGATCATAGGCGCTTCTTCAAAAATTGTAAATAACTGAATATCTTGGTCCCTAGGTCTGGGGTTCTGGTGTAAGGATGGGGCTCTATTGATCATGTAGTGAAAATACATAAATTATTTTAAAATCATCTTCTCTCTCCCTGTATATAAAGCAGATAAAGTAGGTGCATGGTTATGATGATCAGGGGAGCCTCTTCCAAAATTGTGAAATTTGTGGCCCCAGGGTGAGGGGTTCTGCCTAGGGGGGTCTATTGATTATATAGTGAAAGTGCATTATTTCTTTTCAAACCTTCTCTGCTCCTTATATTAAGCAGATAAACCAAGTTTATAGTTATGATGAGCAAGGGCACCTCTTCCAAAATTGTAAATATTTTGGTCCCTGGGTTAGGGGTTCAGGTTCTGACGGGAAGGGGGGGGGTTTATTGATTACATAAAGTGCTTTATTTTCAGGTCACCTGAGAAACTCAGGTGACCTATTGCTATCTGTTTTCATCCATTGCTGTTCGTCAGTCATGAACTATTCAACATTTTCAGCTTTTTGGCATATAGAATCTATGGGTGAACGGGAACAAAAATTGTGATATTCTTGGCCCCTGCCCCACTGGGGCCTGAGGGGTGGGTCTAAAGCCATAAAAAATAATGCAATCTTTAAAAATCTTCTTCTTTACTCCTGGACATCAAGAAGTCAAACTGGTGGTATGATTGGCATGAGAATTAAGCCCGCTACCAAAATTGTGAAATTCATGGCCCCAGGGTCAGGGAGTTCTGGTGCTAGGGTGGGCTCAGGCCTGTTTTACAAAAGAACTTATGACTAAGGCCATCATTAAAAATATCTTTGTTTCCCCTAACCCAACCCTAAATTCTCAAGTTGGGTAGGTAGGTAAATTTTTTTTTTTCTCACAGTAACTCTGAATGAGATTGTAAAAAACTTAGGTCAAGTGTCACAGTAGATCCTTGCACAAAAAAGATCCCTCGCTACTCAGTGGTACATGTAAATATTGCCGAGTACAAGCCTAAGTTTGGAGCCCTTCACCTGGCAAATGTTCAAATGTTGTCAACCCAAAAATTCTCAAAACTTTAAAGCAGTTTAAAGAAGCAATAAATCTTCAAGAACCAAATTTACGAAAAATACACTTGACATCTGGTCGCCAGCGTGGCGCAGTGGTTAGAGCATCTGCTCAAGAGTGGAGAAGTATAAAGTGCTGATCCCTATGTCTCAAGTTCGAATCCACTGCGGTACATGGGGACTGGTCCTTTGGATGAAACCGTATAAACTGAGGCTCCGTATTCGAATCCATTGCAGGACATGGAGACTGGTAACCCAAGGTCCCATGTCGCAGTAGGTGTTGGCATGAAAAAGACCCCTCACTGCTCAGTGGCCCTGAGTGCCGAGTATAGGTATAAATTTGCAGCCCCTAGCTTATCTGCTCATGAGACGAACCTTACTATGCTTACTCTGTACCTTAATTTTAAAAGACAAGTTTGTAAATACCACCGGAACACTTCTAATTAGCCATGGTATATTTTATTAATGAAATATTTCAAGAGTGTCGGATTCTAAGAAGCTAAAGGCATAAGGCTGATACATTGCCGTTGTTTTATAACCAAACTACTCTGTGATCACATTTGGGCACCACTTTGTTTCCAACAAATACTTTATAATCACACCAGAGCAAAATCGGCCGCTCTAATAAAGACAGATTTTGATGAAAATGTATTTTATAAATTTGATAAAATTTTAAAAAATATATTTGAATAATCTTAGCAAAAAATTTTCAGTCGGTGCGATTTAATTGGGTCGGTTGCGTTAGGGGAAACAAAGGTATTTTTTTTATTTCGGCCTAAGACAAAAAAATTCAGTTGATTGTAAAATTTTGCAAAATTAATGATTCTGTTTGAAAATGCTCACATTGAAAATATCTTGTTAAATTCTTTTTAAAAGATTAAAACCATTTTCAAATCAATGTAAAATAGAGAGAATGAACAGAATTAAATTTTGGTCTTAGTTAAAAGTTCTTTTGTAAAATGGGCCCCTGTTGAATATACAGTTAAAATGCATTATTTCTTTAAAAAATCTCCTCCTTTGCTCCTGGGTAGTAAGGAAACAAATGCATAGTTATGATGAGGAAGGTGTCTCTTCCAGAATTGTGAATTTCATGGCCCCTGGTTCAGGGGTTCTGCTGTTAGGGTGGGGCTCTGTTTATTATATAGTGAAAATGAATTATTTCCTTAAAAAATCTTCTCCTCTGCTCCTCAGGGTAGTAAGGAAACAAATTAAATGCATAGTTATGATGAGAAAGGTTGTCTCTTTCAGAATAGTGAATTTCATGGCCCCTGGGTCAGGGGTTCTGGAGTTAGGGTGGGGCTCTGTTGATTATATAGTGAAAATGCATTATTTCCTTAAGAAATCTTCTCCTCTGCTCCTGGGTATTGAGCCAATGAATTAAATGCATTGGTATGATGAGTTAGGGTGTCTCTTCTAAAATTGTGTTATGGCCCCAGGGTCAGGGGTTCATTGAGGGGGGAGGGGTTATCTATAGATTATATAGTGAAAATGAATTATTGCTTTAAAAAATCTCCTCCCCTGCTTCTGGTTATTATGCAAACAAGCTAAATACATAATTATGATGAGGATGCATGTCTCTTTCAAAATTGTGAATATCATGGTCCCTGGGTCAGGGGTTCTCATGTTAGGGCGGGGCTCTAGTGATTATATAGTGAAAATGCATTAATTCTTTAAAAATCTTCTTCTCTGCTCCTGGGTATTAAGCAGATGAACTAAATGCATTGTTATGATGACCTAGGGTGCCTCTTCTAAAATTGTGAAATATATGGCCACAGGATCAGGGGTTCACTGAAGGGGGGGGGGGGGTCCTATAGATTATATAGTGAAAAGGAATTAATGCTTTGAAAATCTTTTCCACTGCTCCTGTGTATTAAGCAAACAAACTAAATACAAAGTTATGATGAGCTAGAGTGCTTCTTCCAAAACTGTGAATTTCATGGCCCCAGGGTCAGGGGTTCTGGTGTTAGGGCAGGGTTTTATTGATTATATAGTGAAAATGCATTCATTCTTTGAAAATCTTCTCTGTGCTTGGGTATTATGTAAACAAACTAAGTGCATGGTTATGATAGTAAAGGATTCCTCTTCCAAATCTGTGAAATTTTTGGCCCCAGGTTTGGGGGTTCTGGTGAAGGGGGGAGGGGCTATAGATTATATAGTGAAAATGCATAATTTCTTTGAATATCTTCTCTGCCTCTGGGCATATCAGAGTCAAACAGGAAAAGTTTTAATAAGCATGGGTATTTTTACCAGATTTATGCAATTCTTGACCATTAACTCAAGTGTTCTGGTGCTTGCCAGGGCTCTATTCATTTGTATTCTACCAACTACAGAGAGAAGTTATTCCCCTTTGTCATTCACCTTTGATAAGTAATCATTGTTAATAACGTATTTGAAAGGTTTATAGAATAAGAGAATTATGCAAGAATTTTTATTGTATTATACAGAAAGTACTTTCGTAGTTTTAATGACCAGGCAAACTTGTAAATAATAGATAGATAAAAATGAGATAAAAATAACTTATGTTATTAGATGTTCTTCAAAGACCAAGAGACAAATGTAGAATGTCATATAAATGGGTTAAAAGTAGTAGTACGGAAGAACTAATGCTTTGTTAATGTCTGCATGGTGATAGGGATAAATGGGGACAAGAAGAACTTACTGTATGAGCTGTTACTGAGTACTAGACTCAGTATTTAAATTATCATTGAATTTCTCTTGCTTTTGGGCAACAAAGCTTCCTCTCTATCAGTTTATTTTATACTTCTATGGATCCTCTAAATTGTTGTATTACACTCTGGTGACTGTTAAGGCCCTTGGGCCTCTTGTTTTTAATTATGTCTATGTATGATTGTTCGATTTTGATGGAATTTATGCCTAAAATTATATAAATATTTTGATTCACATGTATTTCACTACCGATCGAGAAGAAAAGCATTAATTAACAGAGTCCAAATTATTATGATTCATTCTTCAAGGGGTGGCAAATATTGTCCTCTTTAACAAGTATTTTGATTCATTGTAATTAATGGTGTATGTAACAATATGTTGGAACATTGGTGTATTAGGGTTTTACATGAATCAGAGAGTTTATATTTGTGTAAACAATGTACAGTGCCATGACAAAAAAAAAAGTATTCTCGATTCGTCAAAATAGTAGATGTTAACAGAGATACGCCTTATAAATGAACAAACATTAACATGATTAAATATCATAAAAAAATTATTTTATACTTACCGTATATTTGTGATATGTTTCTTACCCTTAATGATAATCTCGGTGGAGATTTGGCTCAGCTAGATATTTGGTCTGACGCCTCCACTGAATCTCGGGACAGTCCTTCATAATTCACGTCTGGAAATTCAGCCCCAACTTCGGCTGGCTATAGCAAGAATTATTCACCTAGGCGACACTGTCTTTCACTTCAATTAAGTCATTTAGTTAACTCTCTGTCACTATTATTTCCACATTGTTTACCGTCTAGGCATGTAAATCTCAACATAAAAACATTCACTGAAATCTACTTTCAAAATATGGATCCACTGACGTAATTGTTGATAAAATATTGTGAAACATCATTAAAATTTTTCTCTCACAATACACAGCCCAATAACAACACCATGATATATCAATAAAGTAATTTATTTAATTATATAATTATTGTAAAATGTTGATAGAATTCTCATCTTTAATAATAAGGTACATGTATATTCTTGTTTAGCACCACCCATGGAACAGTTAGTGCAAAAGTCAGTTTTGCAGTATAATCTTCACAGCAAATTTATGCAAAGATGTTTTCATTATAGGAAGACCAAATATTTTACTCATTGTTTTGGATGATTTCCGACCTATTCTACAAAGTTATGGAAACCAGTTGCTAAAGGCTCCTAACATGGATAAATTAGCAAGGGACTCGGTAGTCTTTACTAAAGCATTTGCTCAAGTGAGATTCTTCATTTTAAGTGCTAATTAGCTTGTTAAGTAACCTGAGTTTATGACATTACAATGATTTTGCAGTCATGTGACGAACCTTTATTAACTCACCTGAGCCAAAGGCTCAAGTGAGTTTTTCTGATCAAAATGTGTCTGGCGTCCTTCTGTCTGTTGTATGATGTTTGTTGTCTGAACTTTTCACATTTTCGATTTCTTCTCCAAAACCAATACCGGGCAGTTTGTTCATATGAAGGGTCAGTCGCACCCTCTTTCAAGGGGAGATAGTTAAGAATTAAGGAAAACTTAATGGCATCTTTTAAAAATCTTCTTCTCAAAACCACTGAGCCAGAAAAGATGAAACTAATACTTATATGAAAGCTTCATTACATAGTGCAAATTCAAATTTGTTCAAATCATGACCCCTGGGGTTAGGGTGCGGCCACAACATGGGATAAAAGTTATACATAGGAATATATAGGAAATATCTTAAAAAAATCTTCTTAAAAACAGCAAAGCAATGATCAGTCATAATAATACAGAAGCTTCTTAATATAGTACAAATTCAAGATTGTTCAAATTGTCCGGTCACAACAAGGCATCAAAGTCATGTATAAGAAACATATATAGGAAATATCTTTAAAAATCTTCATCTCAAGAACAGCAAAGCTGTGCACATGATCAGTCATATCAATAAAGAAGCATCCTCATGTAGTATAGATTTGTAGATTCAAGTTTGTTCAAATCATGATTCTGTGGTAGGGTGTGGCCATAACAGGGGATTAGAATTATACATAGGAATATATAAGAAATCATGCTGCAAACTACAGGTTGACATGGATGTTTCTTGCAATGTTCCTGCAAACATGTTGAGTTCCTGCTTATTTGCTGCAAGCTTGCAGCAATTGTCACAATGTTTACACAAGATTGCAGCTAGCAGCAATCATATCTGCTAACAAAAAAAGTTTTCTTCCTGTGATCAATTCTGATTGCTGCAAAACTTGCAGCAGACTTGTTGCTGATCTGCAGCTTGGTAACAGATGTTTTAATTGTTCATTTCTATTTGTGAATATTAATGAGCTAATCTGGTAATCAATGAGAATCTAGTTCACTATTTGACAGGCAGTAATTATGTAGTGATGAGAATGTCACACCCTACTGAAAGTCTAAGAATACTATATATATTTGTACTCAGCAAGGAAAAATTCACCACAAAATTAAATGTATTGTTAAGAATGAGCTTTATATGTTTTTAAACCTATTAATTTGTTGTAGCACTTAAAAATTGTACCCAATTTGTACATGATAGTCTCACTCTCAATGTGAATTATGGCATTATCTTTTACAGGCTGTTTCCAGCATATCATAATCAGAAAGTGAACCAAAGTGTTTGACTCTCACAAAAAACAAAAACCCACTGCTCTTCCAGTCACAATTTGAACACTAGACTTTAACAAAGTGAACAGGTTTAAGCTCACCTGAGCTTGCTAGGAAGGGGCCATAATAGATGATCAAAGTTTTATACAGGAATTTATAGGAAAATATTTTTAAAACGTGATTCTCAAGAACAGCAAATCTATGATTAGTCAGATAAATTTATATGGAAGTGTAGATTTAATTTTGTTCAAATCATGAACCTTGGGTGTAGGATGGGGCAACAAAAATGTGATCAAATTTCACCTAGGAATACATGTACATAGGGAAAAAAATCTTATGAAGAACCAGGGTCAAAGTGACTTAGCTGAGCATTGTGGCCCATGGGCCTCCTGTTTGTCTCTCGCAGTGTAATTTTAATACTGTAAACCAACTTTTATTAGCATGCAAGAAATATCCACGAGTTTCGCGACCTTCTTTAACTCGTGAATATTAATCACCGTGAACCATTTATTTTGCTTTGTATTTGTAGAGAATGTTTTCTCAGTCGTGAAAATTAATCATTGCGGACTGATTTCAAACTGACGAATCGCGAACGATAGTTGGTTTACAGTAATTTACCTATTCGTACCTGAATATGTTTTTGTCAGAGTTCATAGGCACTATGTATCTCATATCCAAGTTATCTGACATAAATAATTGATATGATTAATTCATAGCAAGCCCTTTGTGGACCCAGCAGGACTTCATTTCTAACAAGTCGTAGGCCAGACACGACAAAACTCTGGGATGTACATTATTACTGGCGAAAATCTTCTGGTAACTACACAACTCTGCCACAGTACTTCAAAGAAAATGGGTATCATACAGAATCCTTTGGAAAAATATTTCATCCAGGTAATAATGAGATTTAAATCTAAAAATTTAATCAAGGTGCACGAGTATTGCATGTCAGAAGGAGTATTTCTGAATTCCTGTTGCCAACATGAACTTAGATGGAGGGGGCTCTACGAAGGCAAATAACTGGGTCACAAATATTTGGATATATTGCAGCCGAGGAAGATGTCTATTATCATTGAAAAGCAACATGCATGTATTATTAGCTCACCTGATCCAAAGACTGTTTGTCATAGTAAACTTTTCACTTTTCATATTCTCCAGAACAACCTAATCAGTTTCAACCAAACATGGTAAAAAGTATCCTAATCAAAGGAAACTCAAATTTCTTCAAATGAAGAGCCTTTCCCTTTCTAATGAGGGATAATCAAAAGAAAGGCAAAAATAGGGTAAGTCCTTAAATACTCTTCTCATGAAACAATTGGCCAGGAAAGATGAGTGAAAACTTCCTGACATTATATGGATTAAAGTTTGTTCAAATTAAGCCTTCTTCTGAAGAAGAACGACTGGGCCATTATTGATATGCACTCATCCTCAAGTAGTGTAGAATAAAGTTTGTTCAAATCATGGCCCCCGAGACTAGGGTGAGGCTGTAATAGGAATTCAAAGTTTTACATGAAGATGTATAGGAAATTTATATTTAAAACATCTTTTCAAGAGTACCAGGGCCATACTAAATCGTATTTTAACATCAAATTTTCTTATGTGTGGATTTTTTTTTTTTTGGGGGGGGGGGGGGGGTCTGGAGGATGTTTGTCCAAAATATCTATCCCAGAAGGCTACAGTTCTGCAGCTAGTTTAGATCATGACACCTTTGAGCAAAGGTGGGGCCAAAATATGAGGTACCATTTGTCAGAAAACTATATAGCTATGTATGAACTTATTTAAATGTGTGTTTTACTTACTGTGGAATCATCATTGTTCGTGGAGACCAATGTTCATGGGTCACCTTTACCCACAAATTTACATCCCCATGAATGTTTTTTTTTTCAACATATTGATTCATTGAATCTACAGTATATAAGAAGTTACCAAGAAATTACATCCCCAGGAACCAGTAAAATTCTGCTGCCCACAAACATTGACCTCCATGAATTAAAATGATCCATAGAAGATATTTATGTTAAATATTTGTATGAGTTAAAAAAAAAGGTTGCAACATGTAATCCCTGTGAAAGTCAGTGTCAGGAAACAGAATCACCATGCAGATACAATGTCTGAAATTACAATATAAAATCATTTTATTTAATGCTAGATAAAATCAAACAAATGACTTATTCTATGGGATCATTTCCCTTGACCTGACCCGTGCAGTGACCTGACCTGACCTTGGCCATTGGTCAGGTCAGCGCACCTCATGGATCTTCATTTCACCATGTTTACCTTGCAAAGGGTAACTAATTGTATATTGATATGCAAACATTCTCAAGGTGTGTGGATATAATTTTTTTTCCCCAATTTATGGACCCTGGTATCAGGATGGTGATAATATCAGGGGTCAAATTTTACTTAATGCATGTATTCAGGAGAAAAAAATCTTATTAGAAAGTGTTTTGAAGAACAGCAAAGCCATATTAGTCATATTGATATTAAAGTATTTCCATTTAGAGTATTATGTGATTTCAAATTTGATTAAGTCATCAGCCCTTAGTCCAAGGGTGGGACCAAGCTATGTGAATATTTTGTGTGGGAATAAAGAAGGAAAAATAATTCTAACAATTTTTTTTCTGAAGAACAGCAGGGTTAAGGTGATTCATGTGGCCCATGGGCTTCTTGTTTAATATGGATGTTGACAGAATTAATTTCCTAAAAGAAATCTGTATTTCTTTAACAGGAATAGTTTCAGGAAAGACCACAGATTATCCCTACAGCTGGTCTGTTCCTCCATATTTACCGTCAACAGAACAATACCGCATGAAAAGGGTAACTTCTTCAGAATCTATTCTCACCATTTATTTTAAAGATTGATGATGGCCTTTTCTCTTTGAGTGATTTATCAAGTACATGCTTGAACATTGTTTCTAAACTCTTGATTTATATAAAGTGTTTTATAGTTTTATGGCAACATATAAAAGAAATGAAATATTTCATACGATTTTGGTGTTATTTTATTATATAATAAATGATATGTGTTATTATGGCATATGTGTTATTATTAAAAAGCTAATGATGGGGTTTAGGTTAAACAGATAAGTAGAAGAACATCTTGACAGAGTGCTTGCGAAAATTATGAAAGGTAAAACTGTAATTACCTTGGAAATATGTCTTGAAGCAGGGACCCCCCCCCCCCCCCAATTTGTTTACAAATTTTGTTTCTTACCTGGTGTATTTTTATTATACCGTACAACTGTACAAGACTATTCTCTAAATATAAGAAAAAGTGCAACATTTTATAATTTTGAGAAATTAAAAGCTCTTACATTTTTTTTGTTAGCTCACCTGATCCGAAGGCTCAAATGAGCTTTTCTGATTGAAATTTGTCCGTTGTCTGTCGTCGTAGTCGTTGTCGTAAACTTTTTACATTTTCATCTTCTTCTCAAGAACCACTGGGCCAATTTCAACCAAACTTGCCACAAAGTATCCTTGGGTAAAGGGGAATCAAGTTTGTTCAAATGAAGGGCCACACCTTCTTCCAAGGGGAGATAATTATGAATTCATGGAAAATTAATGGCATCATTTAAAATCTTCTTCTCAAAAACCACTGTGCTTGAAAATATGAAACTTATATGGAAGCATCCTCAGGTAGTGTAGATTCAAATTTGTTCAAATCATGATCCCCAGGGGTAGGGTGGGGCCACAATGGGCGATCAAAGTTTTACATAAGAAAACATAGGAAAAATCTTTAAAAATCTTCTTCTCAAGAACAACAAAACCATGATGGGTCATATTTATGTGGAAGCATCCTCAGGTAGTGTAGATTCAAGTTTGTTCCAGTCATGACCCCCGGGGGTAGGGTGGGGCCACAATGGGCGATCAAAGTTTTACATAAGAAAACATAGGAAAAATCTTTAAAAATCTTCTTCTCAAGAACAGCAAATCCATGATTGGTCATATTTATATGGAAGCATCCTCAGGTAGTGTAGATTCAAATTTGTTCAAATCATGACCCCCGGGTGAAGGGTGGGGCCACAATGAGCGATCAAAGTTTTACATAGGAATATACAGGAAAAATCTTTAAAAATCTTCTTCTTAAGAACAGCAAACCCATGATGGGTCATATTTATATGGAAGCATCCTCAGGTAGTGTAGATTCAAGTTTGTTCCAGTCATGACCCCCGGGGGTAGGGTGGGGCCACAATGGGCGATCAAAGTTTTACATAAGAAAACATAGGAAAAATCTTCTTCTCAAAAACAGCAAAGCCATGATTGGTCATATTTATATGGAAGCATCCTCAGGTAGTGTAGATTCAAATTTGTTCAAATCATGACCCCCAGGGGTAGGGTGGGGCCGCAATGGGGGATCAAAGTTTTACATAGGAATTTATAGGGAACATCTTTAAAAATCTTCTCAGGAACAGCAAAGCCATGATTAGTCATATTTAAATGGAAGCATCATCAGGTAATGTAGATTCAAATTTGTACAAATCATGATCCCCTGGAGAATAGAGGGGCCATAACAGGGGATCATACAAAGGATATATCAATCAAAATTTTCTTCTTAAGAACAGCAAAGCCATTATTTGTCATATTAATTCAAAAGCATCCCTATACAGTTTAGACTCAAGTTAGTTCAAATACCCCCCCCCCCCCCCCCCCCCCCGAACCAGTTTTATATTTAAACTTTTCAAGACTGAACTGATTTCTGCTTTTTCCTAGCCAGAGTGCTCAGGTGAGCGATGTGGCCCCTGGGCCTCTTGTTTAAAAAGGGGGGGGGGGGGGGGGCTATTGATCACTTCAGGCGCCTGTGACTAAAAAGAGACGAGTTTGATGTTCAGCAAGAACATGTTCAGCAGTGTCTACTCAAAATGAACCTTGCTCTATTCGGACCATGGCATAAGGCCCTATACCGTAAATATGACGTTTTGTTCAAAACTGAAATTTTTTATCAGTCACCTGAGTAACTTAGTTGACCTTTTGCAATCTTCAAATTCAAAAAAGCTTTTGAAATTGTATTTCATGTTCGATGCCATTGAAGCTTTTCAGGCTTTTGATTTGTATACACTTTTTATCTCACCTGAGCCAAAGACTCAAGTAAACTTTTCTGGTCAAATTTTGTCCAATGTCTGTCGTTGTTGTCAGTGTTATCGTCATAAAGTTTCTTTTTACAATTTCATCTTCTTCTCCAGAACCATTGGGTCAATTTCAACCAAACTTGACACAGAGTACCCTTGGGTGAAGAGGATTCAAGTTGTTGTTTTTTTTTTTTTTCAAATGAAGGGCCACACGCTTTTATAAGGGGAGATAATTAAGAAAAAGAAAAAAATTGGTAGGGGTCATTTAATAATCTTCTCAAGAACTACTGGGCCAGAAAAGATAAAATTTATATGAAAGCTTCCTGACATAGTGTAAATTCATGTTTGCTCAAATCATGACCTCCCAGGGTAAGGTAGGGCCACTATGAGCAATCAAAGTTTTGCATAGGTATAAATAGGGAAAATATTTAAAAATTGTCTTCTCAAGAACAACAAAGCCATGATCACTCATTTATATGGAAGTATCTTCAGATAGTGTAAATTTAAATTTGTTCAAATCATGACCCCTTGGGGGTATAGGGTGGGGCAACTATGGGCGAACAAAGTTTTACTTGGATATAAATAGAAAGAATCTTTAAAAATATTCTTCTCAAGAATAGGAAAGCCATGATAAATCATATTATTATGAAAGTATCCTCAGATAGTTTAGATTCAAATTTTTCAAATCATGACCCACTGGGGTTAGGATGGAGATACAATGAGGTCAAAGTTTTCCATAGGAATACATAGGAGGAATTATTAAAAAAATCTTCGGATGAAGAACAACAAACCCAGGGATAGGGTGGGGCTACAAAGGGTGATCAAGTTTTAAATGGTAATATATAGGAAAAAGAATCTGCAATAAAGAACAAGAAGGGCCATAGTTACTCAGGTGAGCGTTGTGTCCCATGGGCCTCTTGTTTATGTAGGTCTGCCCTGGTCCACAAGGCAAGCTACAGATGAATATTGTTTGTCCAGTGAATGTCTCCACACAGCCAGAACAGACTCTACCAGATATCCAATCAACACAGCATGCTATACAATTCATAGAAAATTGGACCAATCAGAGCAAACCATTCTTTCTGGCTCTTGGGTACCACAAACCTCACATCCCATTTAAATTTCCAGAGGAGTTCCTAAGTATATACAATCTTATAATAAAATGAAGATCTGTAATGACTTTTTAAAGAATGATTAGTTAGTATAGATAATTAGCATGTGATCATTGCTGAAAGAAAATTTCTGAAAAGAATGTTGAATATGCATAGTGTCTTCTAATGAAGTTTTGACTTAAGTTTGATGGTTTTGTATTAAAAAAAAAACAAAAAAACTTACTTCTGTCAAAACAGAATTGAGCCAGACATGAATAGAGTCCTTTTTTTTAGATGTTTAAATTTTAGATGATTTTATTTTGCCTTTGTAGAATTCTACCCCATAGAGGATATCAAACTAGCCAAGTACCCCACCAAACCCCCAGGACTACCCTCCGTAGCCTGGAATCCATGGGCTGATCTGAGAGAAAGAGATGATGTTAAGAGTCTTAATGTTAGTTTTCCTTATGGCCCAGTTCCTGACTACTTCCAGGTATACTATAACATGTAACCTGGAAATGTTATTATGCCCCCCTTCGCAGAAGGGAGGGCATATTGCTTTGCTGCTGTCTGTCTGTCAGTCGGTCTATCGTTCCATCAGCAGTTTGCGTTCATTTTCTTCGCAGTGGTTGCACATACTGAAGTGAAATTTGGTATACAGATTTATCATAAGAATATCGAGGTCAAGTTTTGTTTTGGGTACGATCGAGCAATTTTTGACAGAGTTATGGCCTTGGACTTAGAAAAATTCCAATTATTTGGGGGGGAGGGATGGGGGCATAAGTGTTTCAAAAACATCTCTTGTATTTTATGAGTGTTAATTTTCATGGATTTCTTACCCATATATTTTAAACTCCACAAATATTGGGAAATTGGTAAAGTCATTTATATGAAGACATTTGCCCATAAAATTTTTAGCAATCCACAAAAATTGGTCCCAACAAATTAGAATTCTGTGGACTCAGTATATCATGAACAGAAGCAAAGCCTGGGCACAAAATCACATAATGATAAAGGTGAACCCTGCTTGTATGTTTTATTAATTAAAAATAGTTACTTCCATTAATATGTTAACTTAATATATCTTGTTGAACTTGAAATTAAAGACACCACAGAGTCTGCCATATCTGTTTCATATTTGGATGTTTTACTAACTATAGATGATAAGGGCCAACTAAGAACTAAATTGCATGACAAACAAGATGACTTCAACTTTTCCATCATCTACTTTCCTCATTTATGTAATAATATTCTGCTATCACTTGAATATGTTTTTTTTTTCTTTTTAAGTTTTGATTCAAATTTGCTCAATTCAAAAGCCACAATTTTTCTTTTTGGATGGTGGTGGGTGGTTGTTGGGGGGGAGGGGAGGGGTTCAGAGTTCAGGAGTAGTAATCATGTGGTCAGTAGGAGCAACATTACACTTGCTTACTTGATTATTGTGACCCCTTTTCATGCACGGATCTGGGGGGGGGGGGGGGGGATCAGACACTCCCTGGAATTTGCAGAGTTATTAAAAATGTATACTTAAGCAAATAAAAAATGACTTTGGACCCCTCTAGAAAACATGGACCCCACCATCACCAAAACGAAATAGGTCTTTATCACTTTCGGGAAATGGATTTCACGTTTTTTTTGGGGGGGGGGTGTTTATTTGTTTGTTGTTTTTTTTTTTTTTTTGCTTGTCAAGAAATTTTCTGGGATTTATACGTTTGGAAAGGGAATTCATTTTTTCTTTCTTTCTTTCTGGTTAAGAAATTTCTGGGTTGGAAGTTTTTTTGACTGGGGTGGACCCCCCCTGGAAAAAATTCCTGGATCCATGCCTGCCTTTTGCATCTTGTTCTTTAGGATCACTGGTATACTCTCTTAACATTTCATTTGTTCTTACAGAAGAAGATGATTCAGAGTTACTATGCCTCAGTGACCTACATAGATGACCTTTTGGGTCATGTGCTGACTGCCTTACACAAGAATGGCTTCACCAAAAACACTATCACTGTACTTCTTGGAGATCATGGTAAACTGTGATGTCACAAGTTGTAAAATGTCTTACTAATATTCTGTACATAGACCAAGTAATTTTCTAATGACTTTTTCCACAGGTTGGGCCCTCGGTGAGAACCAAGAATGGTCCAAGTTCAGTAATTTTGAGGTGGCCACTCAAGTACCTTTGTTGGTGTCAGTACCAGGATTGACCTTTGACCTTCTCCATAGACCTCCTCAACATATCTCTTTATCCAAAATGGCAGACAGTAAATATCAGAGCACAGATGGTCTTGTAGAACTGGTAGACATTTTTCCTTCTCTTGTGGAACTTGCAGGACTGCCCGTCTTAAAGACCTGTCCACAGAGTTCCTTTAATATAACACTGTGTACAGAAGGACACAGCTTTGTGCCTTTGATAAGAAATGCTACAAAACCAGACATTTATCCTCCCCTGACTAGCTGGAAGTCTGGAGTATTTAGTCAGTATCCCCGTCCAAGTCTGAAGCCTCAGGAGAACAGTGATCAACCAAAGGCAGTGGACAGCAGGATCATGGGCTACTCCTTAAGATCCAAGAATAGCAGATACACAGAATGGATTCAGTTTTATCCCAACAACTTCACAATTAACTGGAACAAAGTATTTGCCAGGGAGCTGTATTTACATGACACAGATCCAGAAGAACATTACAATGTTGCCTCTTTTCCTTCATACCAACCTATTGTACATAAACTGTCTGTAAAACTGAGACAAGGCTGGAGAGCAGCACTGCCACAAAACTTCAAGTATATCTCCTCATTCAATTAAGAAATAAATAACAAGTTTGAAAACTTCACTGGGAAATGAAGTGGGTCGGTCACATGATCAAATCCTGTGAAGGCCAAAAGCCTTCTCAGAAGATTTCATCTCGTACCGACCCACTTCATTTCCCAGTGAAATTTTTAAACTTGTTATTTATTACTTATATATACATTTGAGCTGAACAATCAAATATAAATATTGCACTAACTGTCCGTCATAGATTTTGAAAAAATTATGCAAGGTGTAAATCGGCTTGAAAAGTGGTTGAGCTTCGAATATATCTGGCAAAGGATTCTGTTTTGAATGGAATATTTTGTGAAAGGCTACTTGTGGTCAATAATAGTGAGCATATTGTTGCCTGGGAATTTTGGTATTCGTGAGAACCGATATTCGATATTGAAAAGGCACAAGAAACACGTCGGATGTTTGAATATATTAAATCTGGAGGAATTTTGGTTGGAAAGGTATGGATGGAGACACTAGTCTGAGCCAGTTAACTTTAAATCAAGATTCTCTGTATAAAATTTGACCAAAAACATCATATCTACAATTTCAGTAAGGCATATTTATTATGATGTAGACATACATGTAGAGACACTGGCAACAGCTTACTATTAAGACATCACTCTTGATGCATGTGATGATGGACGTGTGCTTTCCGAGATGTTTGTGGCATGTATTCATTGATATTTTCCAGCAGATTTGCAAATTAATTGTGAGTAAAGTTTATTGAAGAAAACATTTTATTGAATACCATCCAGAGTTTATGATGAAGATGAAACTAATGGTCTACAGGAAAAATAAGGATAAACGATGAGACCGCCCAGGCTGACATAAAACTTATAACGTAGTTTTTTATTCTCTATGTAAAATTGCCAAAGAATTTGATTAAATACTTGTTTACATTTTAAATAAAATGATTATAATTTTACGTGCACATTTTGTACATTTTTTGTACACGAAAAGCATGCTAAAATTGATAAGTAGAACAAGTCATTTTTTATTAGATATTATTACGCCGTGTGATTAGGTCACCTAATGACCTATGACCTTTAAAAAACTTCATACAGGTATGAGGATATTTGCTCTCTGCATGTTTATATAATAGAGAGATACCACAAATGTATATAATCCTGCATAAATAAAAAGAATTTATTTGTATCTTTATTGTGGTATTTTAATACGTTTGTATATGCAGTGTACCACCTTGTTAATTTGGTTTTATCAGAATTCTGTAGTTTTCTTCTGCTTTCAGGTCAAAAATATTCAAAACACGTTCCGAACCTCTTTAAATTTACTTTGGATTTAAAAGTATTCCTCATCTGATTTCATGACTGTTCAAAACAATGGAAAGGTTTGAAATGACATTAGCACCATGCAGTTCATGCTCACTAGTCCATGAATAAAAGGGGTGTTCGATTAGGCTATTGTATTGTGTCACTGTTGGATATCTAAATGGGCTAGATCCCATTGTATTACAGCAAAGTTGGATATATGAATGGGTAAATGTTTCTTTTGGGTCCAAAAAGGGGAGGGTTTTTTTAAGTAAGATAGAAAAAACATAATTGAGAAGCAAAAAATAGCGCATGTAAAAATGACAACCCCTTCTAAAAAAGGGGGAATCAGTTTCACGGGTGCTTGAGCCCCCCCCCCCCTCCGATATAGACTCCCCCGCGGGCCTTTTCGACTTTTTTTCTCAAAAATTATCTATGAGTGACATAACTGTGATATAATCTGTACCAACAATTCGAAAAATTACCTGAAACAAACATTTTATAAAGTCTACCCCAATAATACAAAGTATTTTACAATAGGAACAAGAATATACCTTAATAGCTTTATATTTAAACTTTATTTGCTCATTTATAACGAAATTTAGATCGGTCAGGTCATTACATATTTGGTCAGGTCATTAAATTTTCATGAAAAATATGATTAAATAATTATCAATGCCGCAAAAATGTTACTTAAACCCTATAATACAAAGTATTTTACAATGTGAACAAGAATATATCTCGGTAGTTTTAAATTTAAACTTTATATGCTCATTTATAACGAAATTTAGGTTGGTCAGGTCATTACATATTTGGTCAGGTCATTAAATTTTCATGAAAAATATGATTAAATAATTATCAATGCCGCAAAAATGTTTCTGAAACCCTCTAACACAAAGTATTATACAATATAAACAAGAATATATCTCAATAGTTTTAAATTTAAACTTTATATGCTCATTTATAACGGAATTTATGTTGGTCATGTCAGTCAGGTCTTTAGTAGATCAGGTCTTTAGTATGTCCCTCGGGGTAGTGTATGGGGGGGGGGGGGGGTCCTGTCCTCAAGCACCTGTGTCAGTTTAAACTCAAAACCCTAATTCGTGGTGCTGGGGATATATACTCACTCTTAAAAGGGGGTTAAGTTTCAGACTGTTATCAGAAAACCCCTTCCCCATAGGCACTTGATTTCAGGAAGGTGTAATTATGTATTTTTCTAGGTGTGTCTCAATACACTCATTAAAATAAAAGAAAAAATGACTGAAATTAGCACGTTTTAAGAATATCATATTACTGTATATAAAAAGAGTGATATGATATTTTTAAAACGTGCTAATTTCAGCCATTTTTTATTTTTATTTTAAGGTATTCAATGTATATAACGACCATATTTTGTACCTAATAAATGAATGGTCCGAAATGATTAATCATGGTAACATTTTGAAGGTGTTATGAAATAAACATACCCCACCAAAGGAATTTACAAAATTTTAATTACTGTCCAATTAATTGCACCTTAAATTTTACATTGACGTCTATGGGTAGCGCGCATGTTTTATTAAGATATTGTAAAACGTAATGTGAATTTCATACAATTCTCTTGGTGAAAATATGCATGGACTTTCTTTTTATTAAAATATGAAATAAAATGAATCATTTACCACAGATATTTTGACAAAATTAAAATTTTCCTCTTTTCATCAAGGGCAGATAACTCTTCAAAAACTTTTCAGGTGCAAAATGATCAGCTTCTTACTTGTTATCAGTCATGTGAATTTGGCTCATTTCACTTTCATCGTTATCTAGCAATGTATTTTTAACTAGTTTAAAACGATTCAAAATTGTTCAAAATCCCTTCTTTATACATTGAATACCTTAATGAGTATATTCATGCAGACACATCCAGAAAAAATACAATACACAAATTACACCCCTCATGAAACCATAAGCGCCTTTGCCCTTCCCCACTTTGAGTTGCCTGTGATAGGTAGTGTTTCGATTTAAAACTTCATATTTTCCAATAAAAAACACTCATTCCCTGTGCTTTGTGGATTTTTAGATAAGCTCTTTTCGGTTTTCTTTCTTTTTTTTCGAGAGGGAGAGAGTTGGTTAGCATGGTTAGTTTTGTGTAATGATGATTAATAATTTGTATAATATTTGTGATCCATGTGTGTGTCACTGTGGCCTTGACAACAAAGTAAACACTGGCACCTACTGCTTGCTTGGACATATTACAACGTGCTTTTGTTTACGGTTCGTCACTAAACTTACTATTTTGTAAAACGTATTTTGATTAGTTTATTTTTCCGGAAGCCAGTTTGCTCAGCCAATTATAGACAGTTTTTCAGATGTTTGAGAGCAACATTAAGGAATATAACTTAGACAACTTGCATTTTCATATTTATTGGTATTTTTAAACGTTTTAAAAAGGTAAATTGTGTATTACAATATGTACGGTAACTGTCAGGGAGGGGACGTACTTTTAAATCAAATGTTTTCTGATTCTTTATAGTAGAGGTGAATTTACTTACTTTATAGTAGTGAATTTACTTTTGTAGTCAGAAATTCCTCTGTATGTAATTGTTATTCCCTATGTGTATCGTGTAGTATACATCCAATAAGTATAGATCATGCTTAGTTCATTATCGTTTTGAAACTTAGACTTGGATTGTTATTCAGCTTGTGCATGAATCTTTAGACAGGTAATGAAGGTAACATGATGGCGCACATGTTACCACATGGGCATATTATCCGCTCTATTCTCTCTCATGTATTGTGTATTGATTATATGTGTAATAGAGAACAAAGATGCCCTTGTGATCATACACCAATTAAGTATGCCAAATCAGATATTTCCTATCGATTTGTTATAAATGCCAATTTGATAAAATAAGGGTGACATATTAGGGGAAAGGGGTTACATTGTAACAGGAAAGGAGGAATTGTATGACTGGACCAGGAATTGAACCCAGGACTCCTGCATCACTCGTCAGGTGCTCTACCGACTGAGCTACCCAGGCTGATATCCAGGGCCCAAACCATTACATTCCTCCCTCCTTAAATTGTCTTCGCCCTCGAAGACACAACCAAGTTCTTATTTGCCCCTGGCAGAACTTTCACCTGCAAGTCCAGGGGTGGTCAACGGCACCAAATCTGTAACAGGAAAGGAGAAAATGTATGGCTGGATCAGGAATCGAACCCGGGACCCCTGCATCACTAGTCAGGTGCTCTTCCGACTGAGCTACCCAGGCTGATATCCATGGCTCAAACCATTACACATTTTAACATTTGTGTTTTCACAAAAGTGAATTGGATTGAGCAGCAGGCACAGCCTATTTTAGCTGTTTTCCTAAACAAGGTCAAAGATGAAGGTGAACCAAGATGAATACTCACAAAGTTAAAATATCAAATAAAGCAGGCATTATGTAGAAAAAGAAATGCATATCAGTTGTACATGTAGCCCAATAATTTTGCTGAAATCAAAAATAAGTACTCAAAATAAACTCTAGTCACTTGTAGTATTATATGTGGTCATGTGGATGGCAGGTTTTGGATATAGAATAACAAAATAAAAGTTGCCAGTTTACAAATAAAAATATTCATTGTACTACATATGAACTTTAATACTTTTTGAGATAGGCATTGATCAATTTGCAGAACTATTATATTTAAGTTTCATTTTTGGATGAATAGCCTGTCTGCATGAAATATTCATCATTTAATAAATTAGATTTGTTAATGATTATTTCATGTTTATAGGAGAACAAACATTTTACAAACTTTTCATATATAATGATTATCAGATAGATAACGATGCAGAACAATGTTGCCATTTGCAAGTATTTGTATTATGAAAGTTTTTTATTTATTGACATTTTATATTAAATGGAATTTTTTTATAACTTAGGATTCAAAATGGCACAGAATGCCTTGGAACATCAGTTGCTTGAGGCAACAAGGATCATGGAGCAGCAAGTGGATGCTGAGATTGAGAAGTTAGATCGTATGGATGATGATGACTTTGATAAACTTCGTGAGAGGAGATTGGAAGCCATGAGGCAAGCCCAGAAACAGAAACAGGAACTGCTTGCCAAAGGTCACGGGAAATACTACGAAATAGCCACAGAAAAAGATTTCTTTGATGAGTGCAAAAGGAGCAAGAAAGTTGTGTGTCATTTTTATAGGGACAGTACATTTAGATGCAAAATTGTTGACAAACACCTAGAAATTTTGGCTCCCAAGCATGTGGAGACAAAATTTATTAAGATTAATGCAGAGAAATGTCCATTTTTAGTAGAAAGGCTTAGAATTGTTGTAATGCCTACTATCTGTGTTGCCATTGAAGGCAAAACTACGGACTATATTGTGGGCTTTGATGATCTGGGAGGAGTTGATGATTTCCCCACAGAGATGCTGGAATGGAGATTGGGCCGTGCTCAGGCAATCAATTACCAGGGGGATCTTTTGAATCCTCCAGAGATAGGGGAGAAAAAGAAAGGGGGAATTTTAGGATATAGTAAAACATCAAAAACCATCAAAGGACGGGATGATGATGGTAGCAGTGATGAAGATGACTGGTGACCATATACAGTTCCTGTGTTCTTTTATCACTTTACTGACATAAAATTTTCATATTTATTTCATGCATTAACAGACATTTATTAGTCAAAAAAATTGCATTATCAAATCATTCATTTAATAAATGGATGTTAAGCTATTAAAATTTGTGTTTTGATATCAGACTTCACAGTGTACTCTGAAATTCCTGTAGTAAATGACTGTATACTATGATAGGTGTTGCAATGATTCACATGTTCATTTTCAATTCATTTTACTTGACACTGCACTTCATATGCTAATCACGGGAGGGAAAAGGCTGCGTCCCTCTTGAATTCTGTATTTACTATATAATGTCAGCAGATCTATGTAGTACTCTAATGAGCAAGATCTGCCAGTGTTGGACATGTCAGTGGATTTACAGGACGTTTTAGCAGAAAAAATGGATTTTAGTGGAAAATTTGTAGACATTAGCAGAATTTAAAATACGTATAGGATGTGGTCATTTAAGCGGGATTTAATTAAGGATACCGATACATACCACAAACAAATTTTCTTATCTCCCATACAGTGGAGTTACATTGCTATTTTTTCAATCCATGTATATCTTTCAATCAAAATCTAATTAGAAAATTTTGATTATGTGAAAAGTAAAAATAGACAAAGGAAGATGTTCCTAGAAACTTTTCAGTAACTAAACTTATGTATTTCTTAAATTTTTCAAAAATTATTTTTAGCTGTAAAGTTACATTTTCCTACTTTTCACCAAATTATGCAGCTTGGTCAAACATAAAGTCGTTCAACTAAACAAATATCACTTCTGTAGTCAGAGAGGCCTCTATTTAAGCAAAGATATTTAAATTTTGAAAGAAAAAAATTTTGTGTTATTTATCCTTAAGTCAACTATACATATACCTTTTCCGTTGGCCAGGTTAAGTCTGCTGCTCCTTTCTTACCAATGGCATGGGAGGTGGAAGTAAGATTTTGAGAAGGATTAAGTTTACTTTAATACAGTTGAATTAATAACTAAATATGTCAGATTGGATATATGAGATCTGGAGTGTTTTACAGAGCATCTCCAAAAACATCAGATTTTAACAATTCATCAACTCTGCACTGAAACCAGTGTGTCACACATGCTTCTCTTCCCTTGATTCGTTTTTTCTACCCCTTTACCAGTGTTCTTCTTGTACAAGTATGAAATGTATGTGTTAGAGAGTTTTATTCAAGTGAAGATTTTAACCTTTACCATCAGGCCCGTTTCAAAAACGGGAGGGGGGGGGCTTCCCCCCCCCCCCCCCCCAAAAAAAAAAATCTGACAAGCAAAAAAAAAAAATAATAATAATAATAATAATAAACTGACCAAAAGTGGGGGGGGGGGGGATGGACTTCCCAAAATTATCTGAAAAGCAAAATAAAAAAAAAATTCTGTCCAAATCCTGGAATTTGCCAGTGCTTGACCTTACAACAAAAGGGGGGGGGTAACCAGCATCTAAAGAAAAATTTACTGCATGTACAGCAGAATACTATACTCGGAAAAAAGTGCCCCCCCCCCCCCCGCGCGTTCTACGGGAAACCTCCATTAGAATTGGAAACTTAGTCACTGATCTGCTGACAATCATGATCAATTTTTGCTGAGTTTATATTGATTGTTAAAAAGAATTAAAGAGCTAGGTTCACTTTATGCATAAAATGGCCCTGTAGATATACCAATTTATTGATTAACACCTTATGTTCCATTTTAAACATCAAGATAAAGTAGAGACATAGTGCTTTCATTTCCTATTAAAATTTTTTACAATGTTCTTGAATTTTAAGGAAAACAGGTAGGCCTATATTTATGTACTTACAGAGAAGAAAAATAATACGAGCGCACAAATAAAACATATTTTGTAATCCCCAGAAACGGTTCTATCAGTAAATAATTGCATATTTTAGATCAGAGATTGCGCTCTATATAAAATATCGAAAAATAGCTTTAGAAATAGGCTGTTTTTGTAGAATTCTTCAGGATATGAGGAAAATGACGCATTTCATGACGTCATAATGCATTGACTAGCCAGAAAATTACGTCATTTTTGGTAGATTCGCAATCTCCAAATGTCTAAATGAAATTTAATGCATTGTCAACTAAAACTAAGCAGTTTCAGTTTTTCAGAAATTCACAGGGCCAAAAAAGGCCCTAAGTGAACCTTGTTCTTTATATCTGACATAAAATCTGCTTTAATGTTCATTGAATTTTTACAGGTAATTTTTTTCGTTACTATGTCCAGTAAAGTTCCTGCTAAAATGTCCGTTCACACCTTTAGAAAATGAACTACGCCAAGACCTGCAACCAGTGTCTCCCAATATGAAAATTTTTGGCACATTTATCACCTTGAGGAGAAAAAAGGGCTATATTTGACAGCACATTTGGATGCTACTATACGTACGCTGGAATACTGACCACACACCTCTGTTCTAAAACTGTCTCCAAATTTGAATAAATTTATAAAATATTCTTTCACACAATTTTGTATTGACCAAACTGAAAAAAAAATTGAGAATCCAAATAGAAAAATGGGATAAATTTTACTACCGGTTTGAAGAGCCCCCCCCCCTTTTCTTGCTCTAAATCTAATGCGTGTTTCAAAGCTAAAAGCCTAAGTACATGTTTAAAACACTTTGTAAATGTTCCAAAGACGAATTGTGTATTCATTCTCAGTAATACGTCAACAATGCATGCTCCTTTTGAATTACCTTTGTCACTCGCATGAACTGTTATTATCTGCTCCCATTTATAATCATTCATTTTCAGCTTTGTCCTTGAAATGGCAGATCGAGAAGAAGCTCCATTTGCCTATAGCAAAACTGGGCGATACTCGTAAATATGTTCTACGCTTATTTAGGCCTAATACTAGTACTAAGGATGCTTTTATATTTAGGGTCCGTCACAACAATGAGCTACAGTCGATGGGCAACAGTGGCGGATCCAGGAATTTCATAACGGGGGGTGGGGCACAGTAGAAGGCAGGGCCCGGGAATTGAAGCCCCCAGTGGGTTCAGGGCAAAGCCCTGGTGGGGGTCCGGGGGCTTCGAATGACTGACGAATTTTAACAAATAAGAGATGTTTTCCCTTGATTTTAGGATAATACAAACAAAATTTCAAAAAAAAAATTCAAGCGGGGGGAGGGAGGACGCCCGGCGCTGGATCCGCCTTTGGGCAAGACCAAAGTCTTTGGAAAAGCATTAAGTACATGTATTTTCTAGGGATTACTTACCATGACATTGTAAAATTGAGCTATATGTAAGTTCAAAACGATTACAATAAGGAAAAAAAAAACATGCACGAATGCACTGTCAACATTTTACAAGGTGCCACTTGTACTAATTAATCTATGTCATGGATTGCTAAGTTATAAATGGGTGTTTGTCGCGAGATGGAATGGTGCAAGGTTGACGTATGAAAGATTAAGAATGCCTGTTCCTGCCTCCTTGAATTATTGAATTAAGTCTCCCACTGTTCAGATTTGCTGTTTGTGTTTCCAGCCTCTTTGGTAATCGCTTACACCAGGTTAGTGTAGACAGACAGTTTAATGCTATCAATATCGGGTCATATGAGACGATTACGTACTCCATGTGCATATTTGTCTTCTTGTTCATTAGATTTATTAGTTCCCCAAAACACACAATTTTTGAGTTGACATTTTTTCCTCGGGGTCAATAATTCCAATTTTCCATCGATTGTTGCGGCGAGCTGTCGACCACAGGGCCTGAAATAAGAATAAAACTCCTAATTCGCGAGTCAGTGTTGCGAATTTGTTAACGGGAATTGACAAGGTAAGATCTCTCTTCTCTCTCTCTCTCTCTCTTGCAACATCCGGACCGAGTTTATGGGCTGCGTATTCAAAACCGTGTAACTTTTCGTATATATATTATGCAAAATTTACCATTTATCTTGTGTGACATTTCGATTCGTGATAAGAGATTCAGGTTTGCACATAAGCAAGGGCGCTCTGTTTCGTTCTATATATTGATCAAGATTCAGCAATATTCTCGTGTTTACCGTTTTGTCGTTTGAGAGGTTGATAAATCGGCATAGTTGTGGATGGACAGGTAGAAACCGGTATTCAAGAGAGTGCGAGAGAGAGAACCCTCTTCCCCTTAAGTAGATGGTTTATGAAGTCGATTTGTAGGCTTCTTTAAAAGGAAAAGGGTTGTTAAGCAGATGTGTACCATGGTATAAAACTAGGGAAAATGCATGTTTCAAGAGATAGGGCACTAGATACATGTAATATCATACAGGTGTAAGCTGGCGTACTACATACTTGTGTAGTTAAAACGCGTTGTTAAATGTAAGGGCGGATCCAGAGGAGATGTCCTGGGGCATCCGGACCCCATTTAGCACTCATAAAAATATCACTGGATAGGAAGTCTTATAACTACCTGATGTTACGTACACAAGCAAAGGGGGTGTCAGGGTGGGTTGTGAAAACTGCCTAAACGATCATTTGGTGGACCCCCCCCCCCTTTTTTTTTCTTCAAAGATTACTGGATCCGCCTCGGTAATATGTGTAAGACTTTTTACATGTATATGCATGCATGTTTTATAATATTACTGAATTTTTTTTAGAGTCTTTAAAACATTAAGGTGCAGAAAATGGATATACTCTGAAATTCGTTGGTTGCACTTATAGCAATTCAAGTTGTTTGACCTGGCTGTGTCATTTTGATATAATAAAAATGAAGAGGAGAGTATGGGTAACTGTACCAGAAAGATTTGTTTCCTGTTCAAAAGCCAACCTGGTTATTTTCACTTGCATTGAAATTTAACTGTTTAATGCGAACCATTAAGAGAGTTGTATAGTGTGATAGTAAATTCATTTTCTGTCACAATTGATATAACCAAAAACTCAAAGTTAGCGAGTCGAGGACGGAAGGTCCAGGAATAGGGGCCGAGGAGAGAGAGGGACAGAGCGCACTTGATCTTGAGAGAGGGAGGAGAAGCTTCGTTAGGTACATCTTAATGTGGTTTTCCTAGCTTTTGAGTGTTTTAAAAGAGTGCATTTTCACAAGGGGTCCAATTTCCATTTCAGCTTAGTATATTTTGTAAATTTATAAACTCTGACAACCCCCTGTCCCTCGGACTGGAAACGCCCGAACACATCTATTCATCGAGTTATACTTATTATATTATCATTCTTTGGAAGTTACTTTCAACACATTAAATAGTACTATATTATGATAAAGTTGGCATCAGTATTAAAGTGAACATATAAGAACTGGTTTTATTTATACAGAATAAACAAGGAGTTCCTAAATGTCTGAGTCCGGCAATAGACGGGTTGTCCTGGCCTACAGCGGGGGACTGGACACGTCCTGTATTCTGGTCTGGCTTATAGAACAAGGATATGAAGTCATTGCCTTCTGTGTAAGTTTAAGCTAGTATTGGCAAAAGCTGATAATGAGCTACAATATATTATAACATGTCACAGGCACTTGATTGGGTAATAAATTTTTTAACCCATAGTATAATAATAACATTATTTATTGTTATTATTATACTATGGGTTTAAAAAATTATTACCGAATCAAGTGCCTGTAATACATGTATAATTTATGATTGTTCGTTTACTATATATACATGCATGGTTCCAAAAAAAAAACAACAAATTTTATATGAAGAGCCAGCTTTTGTCTTTTAATTTAAATACAGGCTAACATCGGACAGGATGAAGATTTCGATGCTGCAAAAGAAAAGGCACTAAAGCTTGGTGCTAAGCGGGTAGGATATATAAATAATTTCGTGTATCAAATGTGAAAATGAAAAGGTAGCAACTCCATACTTTCTAAGTCAGAGAAATTTTCTGTCTGTATGAACAGATTTTATATTCGTTATCGTTGACAGTCCCTTCAGGACATTTGCTACAAACAAACAAAAGAAGGGATACGCGATATGGAATTAGTTTTTGACTTATTTTGTTCGTAAATGATGCAAATACATATTAAGAATTTGTAGACTAAATTCTCACTTTTTGTCGTTCCCCTTATAATCTACTGGTAAACATTTTTTTTATCACTTTAGAGCAAATTGTTAAGACATCTTTTTAAAAAAAATGTGGGTAAACTAATACTAAACTTTGTCATTTTACTTATATAAACAGATTTGGTATCAATTTTCATGATTTTTGAAAAGAAGTTTGTATAGCAAGTGGTCCTTTAAAAAGGTGGTTATGAATTATCACACAGACCATGGGCCAGGGCCACAACGCTCACCTGTGTCACCTTTGACCTGCTGTTCTTCAAAAGATTTCTCAAAGTTTTTTTCCCATTGATATTAACAAACAATAATAAAAACAAATCATCTCAAGTAATTTTAGTAATTTCAGTAACTATGTGCGTGTTCATGTTCATTTTATATTTGTTGATTTAGATGGTAATTCCTGATGTACGTGTTGAATTTGTGGAGGAGTTTATATGGCCCGCTATTCAGGCAAATGCTGCTTACGAGGACCGTTACCTCCTGGGTACCGCTCTGGCAAGGCCCTGCATCGCGAGGTGAAGGTTGTGAGGTTCGTCATCGTTATCATACAGTGATTGAAGAGAAACATTGACTGCTATGATTTTTTTTTTATGTTTTAGGGCCATGATCAAGGTTGCCGTTGAAGAGAAGGCGCAGTATGTCTCCCATGGGGCCACAGGCAAGGGCAATGATCAGATTAGATTTGAATTAGGGGCTTACGCATTGCACCCCACAATTAAGGTTGTAACTCAAAGCATATATTACCTTTGACTTTGTAATATGATCAGTAAAACTACATAAATATGTTTCCATGCAAAGTTTTTTTTACCAACCTCTTTATGTACAGGTTATTTCGCCCTGGAGGTTGCCGGAATTTTACAACCGTTTTCAAGGCAGAGCAGATCTTTTCAAATATGCACAGGTAAAATAATTCTTCTGAAAATATTTAGAATTTGTTCTCATCAATTTATAGTAGTGAAAATGCATATAAAAATTTTGTATACTATTACTGTATTACTGTATAATAAGTAGACCGTTAGCAGAGGTGATCTTTGCATGAAATCTGGAATCTTGTGAAAAAACATACCGGTAATTTATCACTATAAAATACGTACACCTGTAGCTATAGATGTGTTGTATATTCCTGCATTATTTCAGGAACATGGCATAGCTCTACCAGTGACCCCAAAAGCCCCATGGAGTATGGATGCCAATTTAATGCATATAAGGTAACGCTTTATATAATTATAATAGACACATGTTTTATAAATGAGCATGAGCTGTTTTGATAAACTTACTCAAAATAGATTATGAAGGCTTTTGAATTTTGAAAAAAAAATTATTTAATTTGTTGCAAGTTTTTATTATTTATTGGGGTTGTTGTTGTTGTTGTTATAGGGTACTCACTTTTGAGTGCTTGCTACAGACATTGTTATTGGTCAGTTGACTTCTACACCAAGATGTTTTAAATATCCTTTATGGTAGCAATGAATATAGATTATGATAAGTTGACTGTTACATAATAAAGTGAAATGTACTGATTGGAGGTCTTATCTATGTCAAGGTCAGATTTCCCACAGGTACTTGGGGAAGGAACACCCACCCACCCCCACGGCGTTCTGTACCCCAGGGGTTCTTAGACTTTTATTTTTAAAATATTATTCTATGAAACATTCATGTAGTATTACAATTGAAAAATCCAAAATATAACCTGAAACTAACCTTTTACAAAAATGCGCACTCTGATACTGAAAGAGAACTTTGAGTACACACCCACCTGTAACACGAATGTACAAATATAAATCAAATGAAATCTATCTTTAATACGATCGCGGAGTTTTTGCTGTTGGGATTCGATATCTTTTCTCTTTATAGCTACATTTCCACAGAAAGATTTAGTTTTTAGCTCACCTGAGCCGAAGGCTCAAGTGAGCTTTTCTGATCACATTTTGTCTGTAGTCCGTCTGTCCGTCTGTCCGTCTGTCTGTCCGTCTGTCCGTCTGTAAACTTTTCACATTTTCGACTTCTTCTCAAGAACCACTGGGCCAATTTCAACCAAACTTGCCACAAAGTATCCTTGGGTAAAGGGGATTCAAGTTTGTTCAAATGAAGGGCCACGCCCTCTTCCAAGGGGAGATAATTAAGAATTCGTGAAAAATTAATGGCATCATTAAAAAATCTTCTTCTCAAGAACCACTGTGCTTGAAAACATGAAACTTATGTGGAAGCATCCTCAGGTAGTGTAGATTCAAATTTGTTCAAATCATGACCCCCGGGGGTAGGGTGGGGCCGCAATGGGCGATCAAAGTTTTACATAGGAAATATACAGGAAAAATCTTTAAAAATCTTCTTCTCAAGAACAGCAAAGCCATACTTGGTCATATTTATATGGTAGCATCCTCAGATAGTGTACATTCAAGTTTGTTCAAATCATGACCCCCGGGGGTCGGGTGGGGCCACAATGGGCCATCAAAGTTTAACATAGGAATATATAGGAAAAATCTTCAAAAATCTTCTTCTCAAGAACAGCAAAGCCATGATTGGTCATATTTACTTGGAAGCATCCTCAGGTAGTGTAGATTCAATTTTGTTCAAATCATGACCCCCGGGGATAGGGTGGGGCCACAATGGGCGATCAAAGTTTTACATAGGAATATATAGGAAAAATCTTTAAAAATCTTCTTCTCAAGAACAGCAAAGCCATGATTGGTCATATTTACATGGAAGCATCTTCAGGTAGTGTAGATTCAAATTTGTTCAAATCATGACCCCCGGGGGTCGGGTGGGGCCACAATGGGCGATCAAAGTTTTGCATAGGAATATATAGGAAAAATCTTTAAAATTCTTCTTCTCAAGAACAGCAAAGCCACGATTGGTCATATTTACATGGAAGCATCCTCTGATAGTGTAGATTCAAATTTATTCAACTCATGACCCCCGGGGGTCGGGTGGGGCCACAATGGGCGATCAAAGTTTTACATAGGAACACATAGTAAAAATTCTAAAAAAATAACAATTTGTTAAGAATAGCAAAGCCATGATTGGTCATATTTATATGGTAGCATCCTCAGATAGTGTACATACAAATTTGTTCGAATCATGACCCCCGGGGGTCGGGTGGGGCCACAATGGGCGATCAAAGTTTTACATTGGAACACATAGTAAAAATCTTTAAAAAAAACTATTTGTTAAGAATAGCAAAGCCATGATTAGTCATATTCATATGGAAGCATTCTTAGATAGTGTACATTCAAGTTTGTTCAAACATGACCCCTGGGGGTCGGGTGGGGCCACAATGGGTGATCAAAGTTTTACATAGGAATACATAGGTTAAATCTTTAAAAATCTTCTACTCAAGAAAGCAAAGCCATGATTGGTCATATTTAAATGGAAGCATCCTCAGATAATATAGATTCAAATTTGTTCAATTCCTGACACCCCCCCCCCCCCAATCACTTTTATATTTAAACTTTTCAACCTTTCAAGATTGAAGTGATTTCTGCTTTTTCCTAGCCATAGTGCTCAGGTGAGCGATGTGGCCCCTGGGCCTCTTGTTTTAATGAACTTTGGTGCATAAATCTCTCGAATACAGTTACGAGTCTGGGGTTTTGGAGGATCCAGCCAAACATGCCCCAGCTGGGATTTTCCAGATGACCGTGGATCCGGAACAAGCACCTGATCAAGCGGAGAAAATCGTCATCTCCTTTAAAAATGGTTATAGTTTTCACGTTATTTTTATTTTTGCATAAAAGGATACAGAAATTATTCTTATTTTGAATCTCAAGATTTTCTTAGTACTGTTTTATTAAAGAGTTAACCATTCCAAAAAAAAAAAAATAATGAATGAAATAAATTATTAATTAACAAAATGTTTTGTTCAATTCCACAGGCTTGCCCGTCCATGTTAAGAATTTAGGAAATAACGCGGAAAAGGACACGCCACTAGAAATTTTCTCCTACATGAATGAACTAGGGTCTGTCAAACTTTACTAGAAACACATACTGAAATTGCAAAGCGAAATAGTATTCTGTTGTTATACAAATTGTTTTTTTTTCCATGTAATTCTAGTGGAAAGCATGCCATTGGAAGAATTGACATAGTGGAGAATAGGTTCATTGGAATGAAGTCTAGAGGTAACATACATCTACATGTATCTGAATTCAATGTCTCGCCGTCAAAGACGTACATATTTCATGGAACGCTGTCACTGCTTTTCAAAAAAAAAAAATTGAAAAGTTATTTGGGGCAGATATTAAATATTTCATTTTATTTTTATCTTGGGAAAATGATGTCTCTCTGTTTTCCTACCTATTTTTAACGGGTTGTATTTAACTATTTATGGTATGATCTGTCTGTCCATCTGTTAGTTATTCATGTCCTGGTCATATATTTTCACTGTCAAGCCAAGGATAATCAAACCATGAGATGAGGCATTTTGGAAGGAAGTGTTGCAGTACAAAATTAGGTCAACATAAAATTTTAAAATCATATAGATATGTATAGCCAAATTGTGTCTTAATCTGTCTTCCTTCGTGTTAACCTTGAATCAAACCCTTTCATTTGATGCGTCTTTGGGTGAAGGGAGCTAAAAGTAGGTTACTATGTCTGTAGCCTTATATATATATATATATATATATATATATATATATATATATATATATATATATATATATATATATATATATATATATATAAGGGCTGGGACGATATAGTGGTATATTGATTCTGTGTGATGATGATACGCTTTTCGATAGAGAGAACACAATTTTTAAATTAATTGTTTTATTGTTTTACTTGACTTTTTGGGTTTAAAATGTAAAAATTAATATTTTAAATTTAGTTATAAACATGACATATGTAATACCGGTAATTAACACCACTTTTGTTAAATAATTTGTTTTTTTTTTCAATTGAAAATCTAAGTATCACAAGAACGGCATTATGAATAAGAACATCTACCGGTAATAAAAAAAGCTTTTTTAAACATTTTCGAAAAAGACTTCATAAAAATAGCATATATAAAGACTTTAAGGGTGTTATAAAATTATACAAATTCTATGAATATGTATTTCAATTATATACAAGATGGATGGCAAGATAGAGCTCTATGGCCAGTTTTGATTTTTTTCCCCCTAGGTCTTTATGAGAGTTTTGATTTTTCCCCCTAGGTCTTTATGAGAGTTTTGATTTTTTTCCCTAGGTCTTTATGAGACACCTGGCGGAACTATTTTACTAGCTGCACATATGGATATTGAGTTGTTCACCTTAGATAGGGTAATGTTATCAAAGTCTACAAATATCACTCCGATGCTTCAAAGTGAACATGATATTGAACCAAAATTGTATCAAGAAATTCCAAATATTTTATTTTAATCTCGACTCTCAGACTCTCACTTCAATAGATGTAGACATTAAAGAAAGATTAACGAGTTTGTACGAGTTATTTAATCATTGAATCATATAGTATTTAACAATTATTGCCTATTTTAGCCAATACTATATAGTGCCGTGATTTAATAACCCTTGATGTACAATATTCTCCCCGTCCTTAGGGATCCGTGAATATTGTACTCCTCGGGTAGCTAAATCATTGACCTAAAAAAATATCAAGAATTGTATATAATAAACCCATCAGACCATAGACTTTACTGTAATATTCACAGCATTTAAATCATTACTTTCAGGAAGTAAGGAAAATAAAGAGGAATCTCGACATCTCCTTCTCGGATCAGGTGTATAGGGGTACAGTATCATTATATGTAAACAATCATGAATATAACACGAAGGTGTTGAGGGATACAGTAATTATCATAAATAAATAATGTGTATAAAACATGATGGTATGTAGGGGTACAGTAATTATCATAAATAAACAATGTGTATAGAACATGATGGTATGTAGGGGTACAGTAATTATCATAAATAAACAATGTGTATAAAACATGATGGTATGTAGGGGTACAGTAATTATCATAAATAAACAATGTGTATAGAACATGATGGTATGTAGGGGTACAGTAATTATCATAAATAAACAATGTGTATAAAACATGATGGTATGTAGGGTACAGTAATTATCATAAATAAACAATGTGTATAGAACATGATGGTATGTAGGGGTACAGTAATTATCATAAATAAACAATGTGTATAAAACATGATGGTATGTAGGGGTACAGTAATTATCATAAATAAACAATGTGTATAGAACATGATGGTATGTAGGGGTACAGTAATTATCATGACAGTAGTAAAGAACCATGCTGTATTTAACACGATGTTGAAAGTTTTCACACACGGACTGTTTTTAAAGGGTTTTGGTTCAGTCCCGAGTGTGAGTACACACGCACCTGCATTCAGGGGAGCCAGAATCACGTCACTGGTAACGTAACTGTTAAACTGTACAAAGGAGGAGTTTACATCCTGGGCCGGGAGTCTCCGTTATCTCTGTACAATGCAGAGCTCGTCAGGTCAGACAAATAACATTCATGGAGAACAATTATCCCAAATATGCTTTTTTATGATGTATCATTGGTATCTACGGAAGTCCCGTTTAGGACATATCCAAATAAGAAAAAATTCAATTCGATATAACGAATTGTCAGATTTATTAATTAAAAGGAATTTATTTCGTTATAACATTTTTTTTAATTCGTTACAACGAATTTAATTTGCTATAACAAATTTGTTGCATTCGTCATAACGAATTCCAAAATTAATACGTTTAAACAAATTCCAAAATTTGTTATAACGAATTAAATTCGTTAAATCGAATTCGACACTTAGGACCTATAGGAAATTAATTATGAAATCGATGTGGCAAATTGTTGAATTCGTTTAAACGAATTTAATTCGTCAACAAATTTAAGAATTCATTTGAAGGAATTTAATTCATTATTAAATACACATTTAAGAATTCGTTGTTACAAATTTTTGAATACGTTATAACGAATTCAACAAATTTGTTATAACAAATAAAACTGATTAAATTTGAATTAAAAAAAATGATATAACGAATTAAATTCGTTTGAATTAATTCGACAATTTTTGAATTATTATTAAATTATTGAATTCTTATAGGTCCTAACAGGGCTTCCGTTGTTCCTATACATAAATATAATAGTTAATGGAAATGAAAATAAACTTTTGTAATTGATAAAATGTCTTACGCAAAAATTCAGAAAGAATATAGTGGGAATTGCATGTATCATAAGAACACAAATCAGTAAACTATACTTGTGGAAATAGGTGAGTGCAGTATTAGGAATCGTTCTATTTCATCTTCATTACGTTAATTTAGGAATTGTTTCGTTTGACAGTATGGATGTACAAGGTGACTATGAACCAACAGATGCAGGTGGATTCATCAAAATCAATGCATTAAGGTAAAAAAAACCCAGCTTCTTACATAACTTTCTAATTATAGAAAACTTCATAAAGTCGGGGGACTTTTTTTGGCAGGTTGTTTAATTGAGAAAAAAAAGAGGGGTATCGGGTTTCACATCATGTTACAATGAAATATAAAAGAGTATAGGGTATATTAACGACAAGGTGAAAAAATCGAGATTTTGTTTCAGATTACAAGAATATTGTCGACTGCGGCAGAATCAAGCTACAGGGAAATGAAAGTCCTCCTCTCTGACAGTGTACATAGGAGGAATTCGTAAAGCATCACTTAGGGAGATTAGTGTTCTGTTTCTTTTAAAAGACGTTTAAATTTACTTTATCATGTTGTTTCTTCCTTTGATTGCTGTTCATATTCATAATTGTCACTTAGCATTGTAGAAGATGCACTTAAATAATGATAAACTATTGTATGGTTTGTCAACACTTTTCAGTTTTATTACTCGATGATTTCATATAAATATTAAAAAAATTATAAATATGTATAAAAAAAAAAAGAAGTATACATCTTATGTTACTCTTGCACATTCATACTTTTATTCCACTCTTGTCCGACAACTGAAAACAGCATTCTAGCAACAAAGCATCTTTACAGCAGAAAATTAATAACAAATCATTTTGACCACCACAACAGTTACTGAGCAGTTACTGTTTATATAAACTAATGCTCCATCTGAAGGTGATGGTCACATTTCTTACAACAACGAATTCCACTCATCCGGATAGACATAGAATTTTAAGCTTCATTAAGGCGCGGATCCAATTTCAGTCATTCCTGGGTTCCGGTGTTCTTTTCTGTCGTTTATGCCTCTCGTATTCTAGGAAATAAATTGGAGAAAAGTTATAAAGCATAATGGTGTATCCTTAGTCTACATCTATGTTTTTCCTCAATGTTAATTTAATTTTTGTACTTACCACTTAATTAGAGATATGGGTAAACTCATCTACTTAATAGCACTAATTTAATTATCATATTTCAGCGATATTGAAAGTAAACATATAATAATGAGCCATTTCAGTGTTGTATAAGGAAGTTCGTAATACAATATTGTCTAATCATCAATAGATAAAATGATCGGGAAACCCAAGGACCTGTAATAATGCCTTTCAGCGTTACACGAAGTAGAGCTAGATATCTTCCTTTTGGCATTGAAATCTTCACGAGGTGAATGTCCTGTATTATTTTTTGCATAGATGAATTTCTCTAGTTCCCAACTTTTATTTTAGTATATATATATATATATATATATATATATATATATATATATATATATATATATATATATATATATATATATATTCAACATTAAACAAGATAAAAGGCTATTTCACTTTTCGTAAGTTCCTCAGAGAAATATTTATATTCAAAAGGGTTTTTTTTCTTCGTCAATGGTTTAATGCAATTTATTGTGGTGCAGAATCTTAATAAAATCTAGGATCCGCATCTTTATTTGATCTCTCCGGATTGTGTTGATATCCCTATAATAAATCGAATGTAATCCTTTTCCTCCTAGGCACAATCTTTCCAAAAACAATAGAAACATTGGAAAATGTTTAGTTGTTACGGGATGAAGACAGACATACCCCCACGCCCTTTAAAATAATAGGGAGAAGTCCCACCAGTCCTATCTCTCACAGCCGGTATTCTTTTTTAGCTCACTGGAGCCAAAGGCCCGTAAACCGGTTTTTTGATCAAAGTATGTCTGTCTGTTAACTTGTCACATTTTCATCCAACCAAACTTGCCACAAAGCATCTTTGGAGCCATACGTTAGTTTTAAGTATCTTTGTATACTGTATAGTTTTAAGTATCTTTGTGCACATGCCTATTTTTCCTTTTATATAGTTCTCTAGTCAAGGGTGACAATCCGTTCCTCTCCTTTTTTCACAGAGGAGAGGAGCGGATCGTCTTGTATACTATATAGCAAAACTTTCAATTTATGACGTAAATGTTTCTTTCATCCTGTGTGTGATTTACTAGTAAATGTTATATACCTTTACTCGAATACTTTTTCTTGACATTTTTGAATTCTGGAGGTGCTGGTAGTTCGTTAACATCGTGGAACATAAAACGGGACTCGAGATCTAAAATACAACAGTGACTCAATGATTACACTTTAATATTTACATCCCACTACAACTCACTATTGTGTATTACTAATATACTTGGAGTGGAAACTCAAGTAATCCCCAGAACAGAGGATAGATTCACTAGAGATGAAATGTGGCTTTGTTGAATCATTTGTTCATTTATGATAAGCATACTTTTAAACCTTCTTCATCAAATTACATGTAGAACTTTTTATTCTGTTAAAAATACAGATTCTTTATAAGACCGGGAAATGTTTTGCTTTCATGCAGACAAAGTTTAAAGGTAAATTCAAATTACGGAACTTTGAAAGCCCCCCCCCCCCCCAATGGTAGCGTTTCTTTTTGTTTGCAGCAGTTCAATAAGCATAAAAGTGCACACGTTGCTTGCATGAGTACGTTTTCGGTACAAGTATCCAAACAATTGTTAAAGATAACATGAATGTGTGAAAAAGTAAATAAGTTTGAATGTTAAGATACCAAGAATATGTCCAAAAAATCTAAACTTTTGATCTGTACAGCTTTTTTCTTAAAAGAGACTTACTTTTTGAATAATCATCATGTACATACATGTGAGGACCCTTGCTGCGCCTTTAATACAATCGCCTTTTTTGTATTTCAAATTATTAAGGTGCTGAGTTGAAGTTTAAGAATTGCGAACGCTTGAATATTTTAGCTATACATTTTTAAACTACTCGTAAACAGCGATTCCGAGTGCCTAGCAGTTATATGACTTCCTCTTTTCATCAATATAATTAAACTGATGCCAGCTAAGGGCTAAATAGGGATCAAATACTTGCAGAATGTTCCTCAACTGGATGTATTATTTTATACCTCTATCTGAATAAAATAAAATGTAATTTTGATTTTGTGTCTCATTATTATGGAAATTTCAAAACTTTCATGCAATGCTGAATATCAAAATATTCAAGTATGGGCATCAACTGATAACTATTCCAGATAACGCTGTGAAAATGTTCTGTAAAAATGTTATCGAAAAGCCATTTCCGCTCTTCACAGCAATACCAAACCTAAATAAATGTTTGATGTTTTTACAAGCGGATAAACTATATATTTACATGTATCGAGTAATTGATCAACATTATCATATAAATCATTTCTTGATTTTTTTGTTTGTTTATTGTTAGTTTTTTGTTTGTTTGTTTTTGTTTTGTTTTTTTTTTTAAATAACATAGCACCACTTGTGTTTATTTTAAAGTCGATGGATACCTTTTATACTACTTAATTATTGCTTCAAATTAGCAAAGCCTGTCAAGGTGAAAGGTGAAATACATGTAATTAATTAATAAATGTATTCTGAAGAACGTACCGTCACTCTCTTGGATGGGAGCTGGAATGGAGCCATTCGTCAGGTGGGGCCTCGCACTGGAGGAATGTGCGCCATGGAAGGAACTCCCCCTACGAGGGGGTAGTCTAGGGGGTTCAGCATCTTTGCTCTGAAGGTTAGATTCACTTCGTGAATTTCTGGGTAAAGTATGTGAACTATGTCTTTGTTGGTTAACCTGGGCGGGGGGTAAACTTGCAGTGGAGGGAGGGGTAGGTGGGAGGGGGTCGTGTCTATTTCTTGGCGGGGGTGGGGGTAATTCATCTGATGATCCTCTTCGGTTCCTGGGAGACTGACTGGACTGTGGTCTGGATGTGCTTGTGGGACCTCTACGAGGGAGGGTGCTAACTGATGGTGGGTCTGGTCGCCCTGCCCTGCTAGGTAACGGTGGAGGTGCTCCACTCATAGCGAGGGCTGCCATTTCTTAAATCATGATCTGAAACAGAAAAAAAAGTTTGTCTAAATCGTATATATTATGATGTTTGAATTTCATACCGTGGTCTTTTCAGTATATATAAAAAAAACACTAGCTGTTGGATGGGACAATTTTTGAGAGAAATTAATATATGTATTCGGTCCATGACTTCTTTCTATTTTCTTCTTTGCTTTCTGAAACTAACATGTCACAAGGGCGGCTTTAATTTACTCTGGATGATTCCCCTGGATGTGTCCTGCTTGCAGGATTGGAGTCAGAGATTTTCCAGGATTGTTATTCTGAGTGACCACTTCTGATTTAAATACATTTTATCTTGTACTTGTTAATGCTCATGAAACCGAAATACACAGTACTTAAAGATATTTAATAAATTTAATGCCAATCAACTTGAGGCCCGAAATTAAGGTTCAGAAACCTGTGCCGGAATAGTGTAAAGTGAATGGACAACTATCCAGAATACTTAATGTCCATTCGGACCTCGTAGAAAGGTGTATCTGCTAGTATCCATCCATGATGGGCCGATAAGGAGGCCAACAGGCATAATCACTCCCAAACAACTAACTTTAAGATCCACCACCGTTTTGAATTAGTGAGGATCTCTTGTCGAGTGCACAGGCACTTGGCCTTTTTAACTTTCCTCTTGATTGATAAAAAAATCCCCATCTTTTATTATAGTATCGGATTTTTTATCAATGAGGAGAAGGGGTTTTAAACTTTATTTTTAGCTCTACCGGTCAGAGACCAGAAGAGCTTATGCGATGGTAAGGTGTCCTCCGTCCGTCCGTCTGTCTGTCCGTCTGCAAACAATTCTTCAAAATGCTACTCCTCCTACAATTTTGGTCTGGTTTCAATATAACTTGGCAGACAAGTAGACTACACTAAGGTACATAATTCTGTGTATCGGTTTTTGATTTTGATGAACGGTGTTGTCGTGGTTGCTAAAAATAGAAATTTCTGTGAAATACCCTCAAAATGCTACTCCTCCAACAGTTTTAGTCTGATTTCAATATCACTAAGCACATATATAGACTACACTAAGATGCATAATTCTCTTTATCGGTTTTTGATTTCGATGAGCGGTGTTGCCATGGTTACTAAAAATAGAAATTTCTTTGAAATGGTTCCAAAATGCTTATCCTCCCACAGTTTTGGTCTGATTTCAGCATTACTTGGCACACAAGTAGACTAGATAAAGATACATATTTCTCTGTAGTTGTTTTCGATTTCAATGAACGGTGTTTCCATGGTTACTAAAATTGGAAATTTCTTCGAAATACATTCAAAATGCTACTCCTCCTACAGTTTTGGTCTGATTTCAAAATAACTTGGCACACAAGTAGACTACAATGAGATACTAGTACATAACTGTCTTTTTTGTTTTTTGATTAAGGTGAATGATGTTGCCATGGTAACTAAAATCGAAATTTCTGTAAAATTCTTTTAAAACGCTACTCCCCCAGTTTTAATTTGATTGCAATCTCGCCACAAAAAGAGACTAAATCAAGAATCATTCTATTTATTGTTGTTGCAAAGTTTCAAGTCCAAGTCAAGCTACTTTTTTCTTCCCTTGTTACAAGTACAAACCAGTAGAGCTACAGTCTCGACAGAGACCTCTGGTTTAGATTTCTGACATAGGATGACTTTCTACTAGCTGCTACTTCGTCATTCTCAGTGAATATCATATCTGTAAAAGTCGGGTGTCCACTGGTGCTTCATGTTGACGCCAACGGCACCATATTGGACAAAGGATGACTGCACTTAAGGACATGCGGAATTTGCGACAAAATAAACTTTCAAAACAAGGATTTTTCTTTTCATTGCAAGAATGGTCAACATCCAATCTACAACTTTATGTAATTAGGTTTAATAAAAGTGTGTATTTACGAAGTTCGAATCTGTTTTCAAAGGCAGGGGTCATCACAATTTCTTGAATCTCCGTTCGATAATGAGGACGCCCACTTTTTTACTGACTTTATACATAGTCAGAGTATGTTTGTCTGTTCTACGTGTAACAGTAGTTGTATATTTGCATAAATAATAATGTGTCAAAAGGAGATTAATAGACAAACATGAGCTCATGGTTAAAAAGAGAAAAAACGGCTTCTTCTTACATTCGCTCTCTGTGTTGTAACCAAGGATTGTGACATGTTGAATATTATAATTCACCACGTGATTTCTTATCTCAGGTAACTTTGTGAATACTAAATTCCGTCACGTGACTTGTAAGGTAGCATGTTAAGTGCTAACTAGGACATTGTGTTCGAACACGTTAAGTCATCTGGCATTGATATAAAATATGCTTTAATTACATTGACGTGCTCGTATTGTTAATTTCGTTTTGAAGCCTTTGTCAGAAGTGTATTTGTGCCATACAGAATGGAGAGGGGGATTGGAAAGAGTGATCACGTTCGTTTTTTCCAAACATGTCATTGTTATTTATCAAGTCTAATTTTAGACCCACTCTAACAATGTTAGCTCCGCCTCTCATGCATATCTAATGTTCAATTAAGGGCAGGTAAGTGTAAATTCACTATATTTGGAAAGCAGTAAGGACAAAAAACATTGAATCATTTTATTGTATCACAGTCTAAAATCATTTTAAGATTTAAATGTGGTTCCAAATTGACAGTATTCTTTCATAAACACACAAAAGTGAGATAAGGTTTAGATTTAAAAGCAACAGAAGCAACCGAAAAAGACCCAAAAACAGGCGTTAAGTGCAGTCATCCTTTCACTATACACTTATCATAGATAATAATTTTATACTTTGACTTCCTTTCAACAAACATGAATAAACGCTTCATATTTCAATGTAGCCATTTACAGCCTGAATACACTTGACATTTCAGAATATTTTCCTGTATATTGTGTTATATAACACTTGATTCCATTATGTCCGCATTCAGGGACGTCCAGATTTGATTACATACTGCTAAAGAGGGAGAAGATCCTTCTTAATTATACACGTTTTAACTCTGTACATGGAAATGCTTTGATGTGAGTAAGATGTTATGGGGGGGGGGGGGTTAAAAGAAATATAGGTGCAATACAACTGCAAACCAATTTCTCAATAATAAAGTAGATTTGGTGTTCCTTAATTCAGGAATTTTTGAAGATCCTTTTTTTTTATCATAAAGTAATGACCCCATCTTTGCCCTAGCCTGTTCCAAAGAAAATATACACAGAATATGTACATGCATTTTATAATACTGTAAATTTTTTTGGATGTAACATATTTATGTGAGAAAATGGGCATACCATGGTCTATGTGTAAATCAATGAAGCTTATAACTTTTAAGAAACAACTAAAAAAAAGTATTAGATGATATCCGACAATACTGGTTTCTGAAAAAGAGAAAGAGGTTGTCTGTCAGATAAACTTGCAACATATTTCCGTATAAAAAGAAGTTTTGAAATTGAAAAGTTTTTATTTTTAAAAAATGAGTAAGCACACATAACCTCAGGATTGAAAGTGAAAGATATGGAATAATTATAAACACGGAAGGACAGCAAACCATCCTTGAAAGAATTAGTAGAATGTATGACATGAATTGTGTGGAAGATGAGATTCATTCACTGATTGAATTTCCCTTATATAAACGAAATAGACATGATCTTTTTATGCCCCCGTATCGAAGATTCGGGGGTATATAGTTTTTGCCCTGTCCGTCCGTCTGTCTGTCTGTCCGTTTTTCTGTTTGTCTGCAAAAACTTTAACATTGCCCATAACTTTTGATCGGTTGGAGCTATGGCTTTCATATTTCACATGTGTATTCCTTGTGACAAGACCTTTCTTTGGGTGTCACCATATTTGACCTTTTGACCTTGGAGTTTGACCTAGTTTTACAAAATTTTACCGAACTTTAACCTTGGCCATAACTTGTGAACCGTTGGTGCTAGGGATGTCATACTTCAGATATGTAATCCTTGTGACAAGACCTTCCTTTGGATACCAACAATTGTAATCCATTGACCTTGACCTTGGAGTTTGACCTACTTTTGGAAAACCTAAACCTTGGTCATAACTTTTGAACGATTGGTGCTTCAGCTTTCATATTTCACCAGTATTTTACCATTTGACCTTGATCTTGATGTTTGACTTACTTTTGAAAAACTTTAACCTTTTCCATATCTATTCAGTGGTTGCTGCTAGAGCTATATATTTCACAGGTATATTCCTCGAGACAAGACTTTACTTTGGGTACCAACATATTTGATTTGCATTTGAGAAAGTTTAACCTTTGCTATAAGTTGCCATACGGGGGCATCAGTGTTTCACAAACACATCTTTTTTTTTTATTATAATTTAATAAATAAAGAAAAATTTCTCTTTCAAATTTGACTTTCTTCTTAAGTGTGTTACTCTTTACTTGTATGCTCAAGGTACCCTAATTGGTTTCAATAAATCTTATCTTATATACTTTTTTTATATACTAGTATCTACGCTATGTATAGATAAAATGCTTGTTTGTTGTTGAAACTTGGTAGCTCAATTTAGTGTTACCTAAGTGTGACCAATTGTTTGAACAACCTTCAAATCCTTGATGATCTCAGTCATGGTTTGTGCTTAAAGGATTACGAACAACCTCACGATGATAGGCCATTTGCAAGACTGCAACACAAAGTTTCAAAAGTTACTTTGGGTGGATTTTTAGAACACCAGAATTGCAAACTCTTCAAAAACAACGTGCGCCATCGAAACGGATCACATTTATTGAACACTGGGTAAATACCAAAGGGGAACAGCTGGACTAGAGACTAACCATTGCCATTTTCATCGCTCAGTGTAATCGAGATTCAAACTTTTTTTTTCGAGATTCAATCTGAACTTTGAAAGCTAAAATTGAAAAATTCTGGTACAGACGACAAGCAGAAGGACAGTTTTACTAACAAATGGTTTTTGAGAGGAAAATGTTTCTTTGCCGGAAAATACGCCAAGAGACACGATCAGGGAACTTCTGAAAAAAAAATCTAGGATGTCAGCAACTGATTGTCACTATAAAAAGAAAATGTAGAACAAAGTGTTTTCCTTCTTGGCAACATTGAGGACAGAGAAGTAAGTGATCGAACGAATGATTCAACAAGACCAAGAAGCTCCGTCCAGTGGAGCCCCAAAAAACAGTGCCCAATCCACAAATTGTCGGAAATGCTCGATCCCAGTAACACCGGAAAAATCGGAAACAAGAAGGCGTGAATCGGGGATTTAAATGATTATTGTCACTGTGTGCAATAGGCAAATTTTGAGTGAAATAATTTCCTTTTTTTTAATTTGATACCTTAAATGCAGGACATTTGGATACTACCGGTATTTTCGGTAACTGAGTATAAAATCCCTTCATGCTAATTGTGTTTGTATGTTCGAAGTTACTCTTCATTTAATACTTTTTTTTAGAGAATGATAATTATAACTTGATTGTTTAATACAAGATCGTCAGTTGGAAACTGGACCCCCTGCTGTCCACGACTCCAGATCGTGTAGAAAATTGTACTATGAGGCAAAACCTTTTACATATTCTATATATTCCCCTTGCTTTTCCCCGCATAATTTACTACCTGTCAAATAAATAATTAAGTGTATTAATTAGTGTTAAGTTTCAAAGTCTAGAGACATGTACAGGAATTGACCTTTACTGAACCCTCACTTTCATTTGACTGTCAACTCGATGTATAGCTATAACGGATATATAAGTAGGTCACATGTGTATATCTAATAGATAGGCATATAAGACATTTTAAAGAGACGTCAATCAAATAGGAAACCAAGTGATTCAAATTTGACAAACTATAAGAATGAATAAACATTTTTAAACATGTCTGGGTTGTTGATTTTGACAATCTGTGAGACATGGACACAGGCTATCCGACATGGACACAAAGTCCAATGAGGGTTTAGGAGCCAATGTACCTCCTAACCCCCACCCCGTGAAAAATTTTACTTACCTCAGTAGATACCGATTGTCGTGTCCAGCTTCTGGTAGTATTCCAAATGGGATAGGAAAAATCAAAGACTTCTGCTGATTTTTATCTTATGTCAGAAATTCTAACGAAGTGCATTTCAACTGACAAAGCTAGACACGGAAGAAAATTTAATCTGAGCACAATCCGGGGCCACACGAAAGGGAATTCCGATAGGTGGTTTAAACAGACGACAGCGTAAGGAATTTGGAAGACATCAAGCAAGACGCGCCTTAATTTGTGGACTTTCACTACTTTAGTTTCCGGACATGAAATCAGTTTAAGATGTGGATTCTCAGTTTATTTTCCATTGTATTGTGCAATGGAGAATGAATGTAACGGATGTGACTTTGATTATAAGTACTCTGGCTAATCTATCACGAGCATATAGCCGTTCCTATTTATCAAATATTGAACTTGACTTTTAGAAAATTCATTCTACCCCCTCACCCAGCCGGGTAGTCCGAAATATCTGACGTTTTCCAGGCTTTTTTCACGATTTTGATATTATACGTTTTTTCCTGGCACGTAAAATATCAAAATCGTGAAAAAAGCCTGGAAAACGTCAGATATTTCGGACTACCAGCCGGGTATAAAGAATATCTGTGGTGTGCACAATTCTCTCTTTCTCTCTCTCTCTCTCTGGGTCCTTGCGAAGAATTGATCAACGAATAAATAATTTGGATATTCGTAACTTTGTAGAGGTTGCATGCTTTCATAACACCTCAATGTTTATTCACCTAATTAGTGTTAAATGCATCCTAGTGTTTTTGTGGTTTATATGTAAAAAAAAAAAAAAAAAAAAAAAAAAAAAAAAAATTAAATAAATAAATAAATACATATTGGTATGTGCAGGGCATTTGAAAATCCGTTTTCTTTCATAGCATCGTGTTTGTCCTTTTACTAGGAACACACACATTTTGAAAAAAAAAGCAAATAAAGAATATAATTAGAGATTAAGGGAATAGGATATCAATATTAAGGTCAGACGACACGTTCCTCAAAGATATGTTTTGTATACCTTGGTATTATATCAAAAATTATTCATAATTGTCATTCTCTTGTGATTTCTAAATTGTTTTCATTGTGTTTTTTAAAATAAGTATACCAAAAATTGTGACATTGACAATTCAAAAGATTACCCATAAGGATTATATAAGAAATATCACCCTCTGGTATCTTGCCCAAATGCCTGGTAAGGTATCTCAATTTTTGGTGAGGAAACTTGTTTAAGTAGCGATATGGCAAATGGCAAATTCTTGGGAAAAATTATATATTTTCGAGGAACGTGTCGTCTGACCTTAAAATTAAACGGTCATGTTATAAATTTCTCCTGAACACAAAGAAGGTTATATGGGGTTAAATTTATTTCTGCGAATAAATAAATAATAATATACAATGTCATTAAACGATGTGGCCTCTGTTTGGTATTTTCACCTAGACAGTTCTTCCTGATTGAAAATTAAACATTGAATTCCTCAAGTAACCCAACTTCGCTTGAAAGTGTGCATTTTCTAACTGCGGCTCACGTACGTCTTCCCGTTTCATCCCATAGATGTTTAATTTGGATAAGGTTTGTGCTCAAGAAGGGCTGATAAAGATTTGGGCTAAGTAAGGGCTAAAAAAAAGTGTGAGCTCAGGGAGGGGTGACAGGTCTGGGCTCAGGAGAGCTGATTCAGGTCTAGGCTCAAAAAGGGATTAATAAAGTCGGTGTCAGGAAAGGCTGATTAGGGTCTGGGCTTAAAAATGAATGAATAAGGTCTGAGCTCAGAAAGCGATGAATTAGTTCTGGTTTCATAAAGGACTGATTAAGGTATAAGCTCAGGAAGGGCTAAATAAGGACTGGGCTGGAAGGGGTGAATAAGTTCTGGGCTCAGAGACGGCTGATTAAGGTCTGGGTACTGGAAGGAGTGAATAAGTTCTGGGCTCAGAGAGGGCTGATTTAGGTCGGGGCTTAAGGTGCCAACTAAATTCAGGGCTCAGAAAGAGGTTGCTGAGGTCAAGTATAAAGGAGGAATGTCTAAGGTCTGAGCTCAGGCAAGGCTGATTAAGGTCTGAGCTAAGGAAGGGACCACAAAGGTCTTGGCTGTATAAGGGGTGACTATGGTCTCAACTCAGGAAGGTCTGACTTAGAATTGGGATCAAAAACATATGAATTAAGTCTGTATTTCTGAATTCAGGAAAGGCTGGTTAAAGTCTTGGTTCAGGAAAGGGTGACTAAAAGTCTGAGCTTAGGAAACTTTACTAACGTTTGGGTTCAGGAAAAAGAGTTTTATGTCTGGGCTCCAGAAGGGATAACTTAGGTCTGGGTTCAGGAAGGGATGACAAAGGTCTTGGCCAAAGAAGGGATAACTATGGTCTCAGATAGAATTGAATTTGGTCTTGGATAATGAAGGGGTAACTAAAGTACTAGCCCTGTAAGGGGCTACTAAGATCTGGGTTCATGAAGGGGTGACTAAGGTACTAGCCCTGTAAGGGGCTACTACGAACTGGGTTCATGAAGGGGTGACTAAGGTCTGGGCTTTGGAGGGGACAATGGTCTTGGATCTGGACATCCTCACAATGTCAAGGTTTTGTGATTTTGGAACTTCACACAAACCCTTGACATAAGTCGTTATCTAAAAGTTGGGCTAGAAAGCTACCATTTCATTTGTTCCTGGTCTAGGACTGGAACCTACGGAAGCCGGTAGGTGCCAGGTAGAACAAATATTTTATCTGGCGGCCGCCAAATAATTTTCTGGCGGCCGCCAGATAAGAAAAATATTTTATCTGGCGGCCGCCAGATAAGTTATCTGGCGGCCACCAGAAAATTATTTGGCGGCCGCCAGATAAAATATTTTTTCTACCTGGCACCAACCGGCATCTGTAGGAACCAATCAGAAAACAGCTTTTATTGTAGGTGAGTTTTGTAAGCAAATATGACTCGTCTTTAAAATGGAAAGAGTCGATATAGTAGGATTTGTGACTAGTTATATTAAATGAAACATCGGGGATTAATTTTTGGAAGATCGTCATCCTAACAGTAACAAAAGATATGCTCTGGAGTTGGGCCATTTGAAAAGCAGAAGGATAAAACGTACGCTCAACTAGGACCTTAGGTCACCGGCTCAGTTCACAGCTATCAAACCTGTTTACTCCGCGACAAAATGTAGTGCATTGCAACCGTAAAGTAAAAATAGAATAAATCGCACTACTGTGAAGCCTTTACAGTGTAAAACAACAAACAGAAAATCTATTTTTGTCAAAGGAATAATCATCTGATATGAGGAAAGATACAGGGGGGAGCAACATTGACTGCAATATATTATAAAATATAAGTTATACAGCAATGGATTACGTAGGGTGACCTGTGGTCTCCCTAATGATATTATTATTCCATGTAAGGCAACAGTATCTATTTAACACAGTAGCTAACCTTTGATCTCATTTTAATATATCAGGGTAGGCGACCTCCTGTCTCTGCATTCGCAGATCTAACAGATAGGGGGAGGAGGTACATTGTAGGTCTTGCCCCCCCCACCCCGCTCGGACTCTTCACTGATCCTTAAAGATAATGGAATAATTATTTGGTAATAAATTATATTAGGTGTCCTTTGGTCTCCCTTTTGAGGTCATACCTCAATAGGCGACCTTATCAGTTTAACACTCTAGTAAACCTCTGGTTAATATTAATCTTACAGAGTAGATGTATGCCCAGTCTTGCAAGGATGGAGGCTGATGTTCTCCTTCCCTTTCCCTGGAATTTACACTTATCAAATTCATAAACGAATCAAAACTACTAGTATATTTTCCAAAATAACAAACTTAAAAAAACATGGACCCTTTGTCAATTGCTTGTGGGATACATATACTGTATATGAAGGAAAAGTTGTCTAATGTCATCCCCCATCCAATTACATAAATTTAGAGAATAAATTTGGAGAAATTGTGAAATTGTTTGCTTGTAAAAAAAATCAGGGTCTCAAGTTTTGTTTTGAGTGAATTTGAAAAATAATTCTTCACATGCAACATTTTTTAAATTGTCTTCTTATAACTTCAAGTGACCCCATGTTTTCCTAATAATGAACAATATAAGATTACCTCTGGTCTACTGATTCATATACCACTTCGTCTGACCTCTGATATCCTTATTGATGTACAGTATAAGACAAACTCATGTTTCCATATTCTTTATGTGGGGAGCAGAGGAAACATAAAGTTTATATGAATAGGGAGACCATAGGTCCCCTTATATTGTACATCATTAGGAGGACCAAAGATCACATTGTATTGTACATCAAAAGAAAGACAAGAGGTCCCCTTATACCCTACATCTATAGGGAGACCAGAGGTGGTCCCCTTATATCCTACATCTATAGGGAGACCAGAGGACACCTTATATTGTACATAAATAGGGGGACCAGAGGTCACCTTATATCAAATATTAATAGGGAGACCAGATGTCCCCTCATATCCTACATCTTTAGGGAGACCAGAGGGCACCCTGTATTGTACATCAAGAGGGAAACCAGGGATCATTTGTACATCAACAGGGAGACCAAAGGTCCCCTTATACCCTACATCAGTAGGGAGACCAGAGGACACTTTATATATTACATCAATAGGGAGACCAGAGGTCCCCTATATTCTACATCAACAGGGAGACCAGAGGTCCCCTTATATCCTACATCCATAAGGAGACCAGAAGACACCTTATATTGTACATCAAAAGGGAGACCAGAGATCTCTTATAATTTATATTGTACATCAAAAGGGAGACCAAAGATCCCCTCATATCCTACATCTTTAGGGAGACCAGAGGGCACCTTGTATTGTACATCAATAGGGAAACCAGTGATCATTTGTACATCAACAGGGAGACCAAAGGTCCCCTTATACCCTACATCAGTAGGGAGATCAGAGGACACTTTATATATTACATCAATAGGGAGACCAGAGGTCCCCTATATCCTACATCAACAGGGAGACCAGAGGTCCCCTTATATCCTACATCCATAAGGAGACCAGAAGACACCTTATATTGTACATCAAAAGGGAGATCAGAGATCTCTTATATTGTACATCAATAGGGAGACCAGAGGTCACCTTATATTGTACATTAGTAGAGAGACCAGAAGTCACATTATATTGTACATGAATACGGAGACCTGGGGTCCCCTTATTTTATTAATCATTGGGGTGACCATATTTCATATAAAAGT